CAACTGCCAGCGGTGAGCCGCAGTTCCGCTTATATACCCCCGGTCAGGTTCAAGAACATTCAATTTCGTTATTCTTTTTGATCGTCATGCCTCCAGAACCTTCCAATAATTTCGTTATTCATTTTTATTTATTCTCCTTCTCGCTCCTTAATTTTTCATTACTTTCACTCAAATATTCCAGAAAGTTCGACAAAACTTCCATCAACTAAAAAACTTCATGTTTACGGCGGGACTCGAACTCGGGGTCTCTGTGGTGTAATCCACACGCCTTACCGATTACACCAACTCGTGTTGACAATTCACGACGAAATTTACAATCTCTAGGCAACGTTTGACAACCATCCATTGACGTCATGATGTCAAAGAGTTTTCTGTCACAATACATTTTTCTGAATATACCTTTTTTAGTTAAATTTCAAAGGGAATGCCGTAAGGGGCGAGTCGATGCATCAAAATAATTATTTAATTTTTAAATTTTTCAATCGCCCCGTAAGGGTTTTCATAAGGGGCGAACCACAACTCCAAATTAATAAAAAACGGGGCGAGTGGAACGTTTTAATCGGAAGGGGCAAGATCCAGGGGGCGAGCTTATACTACACCGAAAATAGAACAAGAAACACCATGATCTCTAAAAAATCTGTTACATGTCGAAATACAATGTCCTATTCCACAAGATTTTTGAAAAAATATTATTCACGTGCACGGTATTGTCTTCATGAAATCATCAGCAAGGAACAACAACGCAAGGTATCGAGGAAAGCGCCATATACTAGACAAATACAAGTAATTTTCAACGAAGCCTACCTCCCTACCAGCTTTACTGTTGCCATTTCCTCTTTCTTAAACAACTGACATACAATACCATCAAACAATACTATCAATTAATTTCATAAAAAGAATATAGTTAATAACTACACTTATAATAATCTCATAAATAATGAATACCTCTAATCTACAGCGCAAAGAATTATACCATTTGAGAGATCAGAAAACAATCAGATTGAAAGGCAAAGCCAAACGACTGTAGATCCAGTTCTTTCATCAGTTAGAGGAAAAATACTGGACGACTATCGTGAATACCTTGATACATTAAATTCGGATGAGCAGAAAGAAGAGATTGTAGAACTCATAGAAAAACAAGTTGATATACCCATAGAAGACATCACTGATGAACAGCACGACACCAAAGTGGTTCACCAAGAGACTTGAACCAAACAATCAGATTCCAAAGCTGTCAAAAATAAAGAAATAATCACAGAACCTAAAAAGAGTGTGGCCTTAGAAGAAGCAAATGTAAGAAACATACTTGTTAAGGTAGTGACATCTGACGGAGATGCGACTAAAACAAAATATCGTAAAAAGGAAGAAAATATTTCATCAGATGACCATCATAAAGAAGAGAATGAACCTTCTGCGGAACGTAATGAAAGTACGCCGGTAACTCCTAATAGAGCGGGTGATAGTAAAATTATTGATATCAGTGATGGGAGTGGTGAAACGCTTATAATAGATGGAATGGATGACGCGCAACTAGATAAACTTGTTGAAATAATTAGTATGGAAAGAAAAAACACATAAAAGGAACAATCGACAGAGAGAAAACAATACCGCGACGATACAACATCAAGGAACCTCACAAAACTGGATGGACCAAACGTACGTAATGTGACTACGACAGTGGAAGTAAATATGAAACGTAAGTATTAACTAAATACTTTCGTGGAATTATATATAAATACGATAACTGCCAGCATAGAGCCGTTGCTCGACCTAAAACTACAGTAACTAAGTATAAGTTTATCTGCTATCCAGGTATGCCGCAATCTACAACCACGATGCTTCCATACTTCCAAATGATTGATGATCTGAATGAGGGGTATATGGTGGTGTTCTTAATCGAACTGATGAGGATCATGGCTTATAAAGACAAAGATGATCTATTTGAAGTTCTCGTTCATACTGAACAGATAGTGTTGCAGTGAGTATAATATAATTTGTTCACTTTCTTTCTTCCATTTTTTTTCAATTGCTTTCGGTTTTCGGGTTTGAAGAAGTTTTCTACTTCTCTTTTAGATTCTATCAAGCTGGAAAACTTATCTGGCTCGGTCAGCCTCTCTTAGATATCACAAAGAATTCGTCACAGAAGCTGAAACGAAAGTTATACAAAGTAAGTCATACACATGGAAGCAGTGACCCATGTAGTGTTTTGTCCAGTCAATTGATGGTAGTCAGGTTCACTTGACAACGACACAGTCACGTACTTGGATATCGTCATGAGCGAATGTTTACAGTAAATTATTAAGCGGGTAGTAACGTGAAAAGTAATTATTTGAATACTTTGGAAAGCTTGACGTTCCAACCTGGTTGCACAGGTCGTGCACTGAATTTTCGCGTTAATACCCGCTGAATTGTATGTTGTTAACATGAAACGCGAAAGTGTAAAAGTTAGGTAATGTTCACTTGGGAATTACATTTATTCTAATGGTGATCTTGCAGAATACGCTTTGGAACTAAAAAGGAAGTTAAGTGGGCGTCAGCAAGAGCTATCTTCTGAAGTAAATACCATCATAGACTATTCTGATATGTTGTATGATGATGAAGAAGGCAGGAAGCTCTTCAGTGTGCTCAAAGATTTTGATGAATATCCTAACAGTATGTACTTATCGCATATTATTCGATTGATGAAATCTTTTGACTCGGTTTTGATTTTGATTTCTTACATATTTTAGCTACACAGCGGGGCTGTACAGTATGTTTAGCATTGATAGAGAACTTCCTTAAGCCATATCGCCGACTCAGTCATACAGAGCTACGCCAACAATTGCTAGACTCTATTAACGCGGAGCTAAGAGCTACAATTCCTGAAGCAGACCGAGAGGGGAATGTTTTGAAATATCTAGGCATTAGCGAAGGTACGTTAAAGTCACTGCTGTTCCCTCAAGCTATTAACAACTTGAATGATTACAAATTTTATAACCACCGTTACTTTCATAGAAATGCAACAAAGGCCGTCAGTGGAATCAGACAGCGGTACAGTCTCGTTTTCAAGGAAAATACAAAATAAATTGAGACAGAAACTACAAAAGCTGAAGTCGAAACCAAAGCATACATCAAACAAGAGGAAAAAAACAATAACCCAGCCAGATTACAGCAACGGAAATGTTTTTAGACGTAGATTCAATAATGAGCCGATTGCAAATATACAGAGACGGTTTAAAATTGTCACTCGGACATTTCCACATAGATCAACTGCATCTAGCTACACTGTAAACTTAATCAGTAGACCCACCAAGGAGTTCACAACTAAACTAAATAAAGCTAACAATCAAAAGAACTAGTATTGTCTTGATTCTTAGCTTTTATTGCATCTTCACAAGCCTGTACGATTTCGAAAGCACTCTAAAATTACGGAATGGAAAGTTTTCATAATAGAAATGCAATTAATTTTTATTAAAACAAAACACTATTTTACAGTCAAATGAGGGACATAATAATTCGCAAATATAGGATTTAATGAAGACAAGCAGACAGAGTAGTGAGTGTTAAATTTTGAAGCTTAAACACGTATTAATAAAAAGCTAGTTATAAAGTGGCCATGAAAAGATTGAAACAAAACCTAACGTTAGTAATAGAAAAGATGACAACTAAACTATTGTTGAAAAACTGTGTCCGGAGCTTGACAACATACTCGTATCAATATATTAACATGTTGTGGGCGGCGCCGATCACTTACCATCAGGTGATCTGTTTGCTCGTTTTCCTCCTATTCCATAAAAAAACTATCCTTACACGATCATTACCGTCATCGTCATTATCTTCTTGCCCCACCACAAGTTACTCGGAGTTACCGCAATTAGACAAATTTTAACTATAATGAGGCAGTTTGTAATAAATTAAAAACGTGTGTATTTTTTAAATTGTTTTATTTCCTTTTGTATTAAGACTGCTATAATTACAATTATATTGTAAGTATGTGCATTGTGCATTGCTCGTCCAAAACATTGATATTAATTGAGAAAAAGTAGCCGTGAAGTATCTTGCTCGTTCTTCTCCAGGGAAATCTATACAAAGAATATATGACGCTTTTTAATTTTTTTATTTACATGTTTTGTTTAGTACACATATCATATACACAAGTCAAGCATAATATTAAAAGGACACTGAGAGATCATTTTTCTTTAAATTCCTGAGCTGTCATTGTCTTCTCTGATAGTCCATTTAACTATAGACATCGCTTGGAAGGGATACGTCTGAGTCTGTGAAAACAAAAGTATTGTGACGGAAAAGTGGTTCAAACTCTTTGACATCATGACGTCAATGGATGGTTGTCAAACGTTGCCTAGAGATTGTAAATTTCGTCGTGAATTGTCAACACGAGTTGGTGTAATCGGTAAGACGTGTGGATTACACCAGAGAGACCCCGAGTTCGAGTCCCGCCGTAAGCAAGAAGCTTTTTAGTTGATCGAAGTTTTTATGGAACTTTCTGGAAGCTTTTGTGTGAAAGAAATGAAAAATTAAAGAGCGAGAAGGAGAATAAATAAAAATGAATAACGAAATTATTGGAAGGTTCTGGAGTCATGACGATCAAAAAGAATAACGAAATTGAATGTTCCAGAACCTAACCGGGGTATATAAGCGGAACTGCGGCTTACCGCTGGCAGTTGAGTTCTAAGTCCAAAGCGATTCGGAAGAAAAGGAAGAAGTGAAAAGAAGAAAAGTGAGTGAAATAGTGAAGTACAGTGAAATAGTGAAGTGCAGTCAGTTAAGTGAGTTAAGTCAGCGTGAACAGTGAACGGCAAAGTTGTGTCAGTCGGCCGGACTCTGCTGGAGAGGAACGCCGATAACTTAACTCCGTGGACGCTGTTACTTAAGTGCAATAGAAAGTCTGAAAACCGGTATTACTGTTTAATTTCATCCAATCCCGTAACCCAAGCCCGCATAGTAAGGAACGTGACGTCAGGCTCGTAACAGTATATTGGTTAATTAATAAAATGTCACCTTTAACACACCGAAATAGTCCATAGCTGGATGTCTACATAAAAGCCAGTATCAGGCGGGTTGGAGATCGCTGTTTGAAACACGTCAGGTGTGTAGAAAGTGAAATTTCAAATGTGTTCCATTCTTTTGTCACAACAGCGCTTTTATCTGGAAATACTGATCAAATACCATTTTTACAAATAAACTAAAACTTCTATTAAAAATTACCTGAGTTTTTACTGGGAATATTGTGATTATTATCTTCTTTTAAAATCCGAGCATAAGGTTTTAAAGCTTTCATCTTGTTATAATTTACATTGCCTTGCGCGTTTTCAATAGCATTTCGTAAATTTTTCTTCATAGCGTCGATTTCATTTGTTGAAATATGACTATTTTCTTCAAACGTCGGCGTTTCATCAACATCAGTATAATGCGATTTTTGATTTGTATGACCGTCTACATCGATTTTACTTTCTTCCTGGTTTTCAAAAGATGTATCTAATAATATTTTTTTGTAATTTATTGGCGATTCGTCATATTCATTATATTTTACTTTCTCTTTAGAAGATTTAAAATATATTTTATTTTCCGCGAACATATCATTGTTGACGACTGGTGTTATCATATCTTTCGCATAGTTTGATGAGCGTTTCAATGATTCAATATTTTTGAGTCGAGAAGAGAAGTGTTTTATGACGTCATCAACAACTTCTTGCTTCTTGATTTTTCTCATTCTTTTGTTTGTGTTGCGATTGTGTAATTTTCGAAGATATTTTGGTTTAGCTTTAGTTGCTGTGAAGGGTACATAATCAAAATAAAATTAAAATTATCTTATCAATTTTGCAAGAGACAAGACGACAACACAAGTCTTGGTGTGCTGCGTATTTGAGAAAATTTGTGAACGCACCCACGACACAAGAGACAATATAAAAATCGTGTATAAGTAAAGTGAATGCACAGTTGACGCGGTGGCTGGGCAACGTGCCTCTGGTTTCGTTCCCAAACATAACGACTGTTTGTGACATTCACAAGTTGTTTTTCCAGGTCTGGGTGGCATGAGTATGTGCAATTGTATGTTTGTTAAAGCAGTCACGATACATATGTATAAGAGTCGTCATGTGGGCAAATGTTTTCTTTTTTAAAGATTGTATTTTATTAAGACTTACTTTGAAAATTTAAAATATCTTCAAAAAAGTTTGTTCGCAAAGGGAATCTGATCTTTAAGGCATAGTTAATAGAGTCAAGAAGCGTTTGCCTGCGCTCAGAATAGCTGAGTCGTCTGTAGGGGCTCATAAAACTGTCGAATATAAATTCACAAAGCTGTTTTGCATTTTTCGTACCTGAAATGAATTACTGATTAATATTTGTCATAGCCTACGTTACGAAATGCCATGTCACGGCATGTCATGTTACCATTTGGGTATTCTTCGTATTCCATTATAGCATCGAAGAGTTGCCCTCCCTCATCATCCGTATACAGCAGATCAGCATAATCTATGATGGAGTTTACGTCCACTGCTACAGCAGTCTTCCTGACTTTCAACAACTGATATACCATTGATGAGTAGCCTAGGAAAAATAAAGACCAGAATTCAAGGTTATTTCGTTTCCGTGATTGTGAGTAAAGAGTATTTAGTTACCGCAGCCTCGGTTCTAAGCAGGAGCTGGAACGGGGTGCTTGCAAATCGGTAAGAGTTTTTACTCCGACACTTGCCTCACCCAGAGCCGAGAGAGATATTCTCGAATTTCGTATCAACAAAGGCACTTTTTTAAAGTCAAATCTTCTTTTTTATTCTATAGGACAAATTTAGGAATCAAAAACTATTTCTTCATAGAAACTTACTTCTTACATAATCAATCGGTGCTTCGCTTATAAACCGGGAAAGTTTTTGGATGACGTCAGCTAGGGGTTGGCCGAACCACATCAATTGATCGGTGTTATACCAACTGTAAAATATGAAGTGAATATGGATGTATTGTGTGGTATGGAAGAAAAAAAGTGTCGTAATTTGACGATATTTGATAGGGAAACATTAGAAAGAAAAATGGCAGAGTCAAAGACATGAAGCCAAAAAGTTGACGATGTTGATGAAAAATGTGCAACTTTATATGGAATTTGGCAAAGGGTACTAACGTATTTATATGTAGTTCTACTTCCAGTAAGACTTCTTTAACTAGTTTCTCATCTTTCAAGGAAGTAATTTTTAATATTTCCAATAGAAAGATGGTCAGATATCCTTCGTTTTGTTCCTCCATCATCTGGAAGTAGACTTGTCTTGGAGATGGGGCCAAATCGGTAGTGGTTTTGATTCCAATGCCTTTAAACATAGATAAAAATACACACGATTTCTTTTGTCACACGATGAACTAAAAAGGAAACTACAGGGCTTCGGGAACAAGGACCGACCGACTTTCTTCAGTTTTTGAAAATTCTCACTAGAACCACATTTCTGTCCTGAATGTGGCGTAGCGTCCAGTATATGGTGCTTTTGTGTACTCTTCAATAGAATAAATGTTATGAAAGTTATCAACAATCACAATTATGGAAAAATATATTATAATTTACTAAAACTTTACTTGACATGCGATACATACCTCCATACAATACTTCCCCTGCAGAGCCTGGTAATGCAGTAACTATAGTTGTGCTCGTTAAAGGGTTGTGCTCTGGTGTAGTTGTAAAAATCTCATAAAGTTCCGTCTCTGGTACAAGCCTTTACAAAAATAATTGCAACAACTGCATAAGAATTGACTGACTCTTATATTTGTTTAAAAACAAACACGGAAGGAGAACATCGCCAGGTAACTTAAACTTATTTTTTTTAAACGTAATTTTTTCGTAATGGTACGCAATAGGCATCGCCAAAGGACTCTGGAAGGAGTTACAAGTGATTTGCTTAAATAAGGCTTTTGGTAACCTCACTCTTGTTCAACGTGTGAGTGAAGCACAATGCAAGAATTGTTCCACGCAGGTTTCATGTAAGAATTCCATTCGTGCCGAAGCGTGGTTTTGCCACGTATAAAAAATATTAGATTGTGGTGTACCTCTCTGTTTGGCCTGTGGAGAAGGAAAATTCGTTGTCTGTTGCAGGTGGAGGATATCTGGGAGGAGACAAAGAACCTTCTCTGTGTATACGAGCGCCGGAATTCTTCATTAGATTCTGAACCCACAATTGCGCTTTTGATAAAGTGGTTTTTGGCTGTGACACTGTGAAATCCATAACATCATTAACTACGCCTGTGGTTATTTCGTAAGCCGAGTCGCAAGGGCTACTATTGAGCATAATATTATTAGTTGTTGGATATAACTCACTGAGAGCACGCAATTTGGAAAAGGGGCCTCTGAGGTTTAGTTACTTTTATCTCAATTTAAATAAAACGTTGGACTCGAACAGTACAATTTCACATACACATGGCAACCAGACCCATCTAAGAATTGAGGGTTGTTTATAACTTACATGTAGTCAGCCCGGCCCAGGATGAAGTTCTGGCTGTCCATCTTTGAACGCGTATCCTCGGGGTCACTGGGCTAAATATGTTCATAAAATTATGGCTTTCTTTCGATTTTTGTACGTTCGTAGTGAAAGGAATATTTGTAGAAACTGTTGGTTCCATTTTAAAAGGTTTTTTAACAGTGTAAAGGTTATCGATATCAAGAGGCGAGTAAACATAAGGTGGATAAGCTTTAGTAGTGACTGTGGCATCAGTATGCAAGGGAAAAGTTGCAAAAAATGATTTTTTTGTGACACCAATATTGACCGCATGGAATTCTTTGTGATAATCGTAATCAGCGTCGTTTTTAACCTTATGTGTCATGTTTACGAAGTTGGGTGGTGTTATAATTATATCAAAGGAATCGTTCCTTGTCGGTACAGGCTCCTGTGGCGCGGTTAATGCAGGGATGGTTTGGTAAAGTTGTGGAGGTTCATATGGATATCTAGGGAAGTATTTGCTGGTAGTGTACGCAGGTGTTGTCAAACTTGGCCAAGTAATCTCTTCTTCGTTTATTTCTTCTGGAGTCTGAACCGGCGCTACTGTTTCTGGTGTTGCTAAGAATGTAGATGTTTTATCTTCATGTGTCATCCCATCCAATCCAGTTTGTTCGCCCCAAAACAAATCTGTGACGTCATAATTCAGAAAATCACCATCATCTGGTATTGGAGCGTTTTCATAATCTATTCTAGATTTGAGGATTATCCTTTGTTTGTTAATTTCTTTTTGGACTCCGTCGAGGAGGGCGTCGATTTGTTTTAGGGATTTGTGTACTTTCTTTGCCAGAAGTGTATCGTTTAAGAGTTCTGAAACAAAATTATGAACTATTTTTGATCAATTTCACCTTGGCAAAGTGTCCGTTTACCATCAGGCGGGCCGTAAGCTCTGTTGGGACAGTTTAATGATAAACGAATTTAAATGCTTACCCTTACGAATAATTTGACAGACGACCAATTCGTAATAAAGAAACAAAGTAATCAATATTACTTTCATAGCGAATAGGTACTTTCAAGTCAATCATAAAATTAATAGAACTTCATATATAGACGTTCATATGTTTCTCATGAAGAATAGCTAGTTTGGAATTATGTCTTAAATATTCTTTTTTTTGTTTTGTTGAATCGCTGCGATATTGTAATTCGAATAGATTATACTTAAAACGATACACACGCTTGTTGTTATTTTTATTACTTAGAAATGTTTAAATAATCTGCTGTTTTGAAACATTCAGTCTGGTAACAATTGGCGGTATTGTGAGTGTCTGTATTTTAATAAACCCGTTACTATTTCGAAATAAGATTGGTTTCAAACTACGTACAGTTGATGATTGTTGGCTTGTTAAAAATCAGAAACTATTCTGTTCAGTGTCAATAAAAAAGTTGTAATAATTTTATTGTATCTCACATAAAATAGTTTATGTGAAAAATATAAAAAGTATAACAAAATGTAAAATATTAGTATTTTTGTATTAAAATGACGGTGTGCGCTTGTGTTCTACTGTTCGCCGTATTCGGTATTTATTTTCTCATTATTTCCACACAGTATTTTTCATTCACTTCCTTTTATATAATGGATTAAAATTCTTATTTACTGTCGCATATAAAGCACAAATAATATAATTTAATATTTTTAATAACGCAGAGCTTTTAACTGCTACGTTCAAAATGCATGCGCTTGGCGTAAAGCTCGGACGTATTATTTTTTCATCTCATGTTAATGCACGTACATGGAAATTATAATGACATAGTTGCACGAATGTGTAATAAGTTATCGAAACAATTATTTTAATAATGTTTTAAAATTCATTTGTTAATTTATGTCTGTGCTAGCTTTCTGCCCGCGGCTTCGCCCGCGTGTTATTCGGTTGTATTGCGCTGTTAAAGCACTACTATAAGAAACTGAGTTATCCCTGTCCCTGTCCCTGTCCCTGTCCCTGTCCCTGTCCCTGTCCCTGTCCCTGTCCCTGTCCCTGTCCCTGTCCCTGTCCCTGTCCCTGTCCCTGTCCCTGTCCCTGTCCCTGTCCCTGTCCCTGTCCCTGTCCCTGTCCCTGTCCCTGTCCCTGTCCCTGTCCCTGTCCCTGTCCCTGTCCCTGTCCCTGTCCCTGTCCCTGTCCCTGTTCCTGTCCCTGTCCCTGTCCCTGTCCCTGTCCCTGTCCCTGTCCCTGTCCCTGTCCCTGTCCCTGTCCCTGTCCCTGTCCCTGTCCCTGTCCCTGTCCCTGTCCCTGCCCCTGTCCCTGTCCCTGTCCCTGTCCCTGTCCCTGTCCCTGTCCCTGTCCCTGTCCCTGTCCCTGTCCTGTCCCTGTCCCTGTCCCTGTCCCTGTCCCTGTCCCTGTCCCTGTCCCTGTCCCTGTCCCTGTCCCTGTCCCTGTCCCTGTCCCTGTCCCTGTCCCTGTCCCTGTCCCTGTCCCTGTCCCTGTCCCTGTCCCTGTCCCTGTCCCTGTCCCTGTCCCTGTCCCTGTCCCTGTCCCTGTCCCTGTCCCTGTCCCTGTCCCTGTCCCTGTCCCTGTCCCTGTCCCTGTCCCTGTCCCTGTCCCTGTCCCTGTCCCTGTCCCTGTCCCTGTCCCTGTCCCTGTCCCTGTCCCTGTCCCTGTCCCTGTCCTGTCCCTGTCCCTGTCCCTGTCCCTGTCCCTGTCCCTGTCCCTGTCCCTGTCCCTGTCCCTGTCCCTGTCCCTGTCCCTGTCCCTGTCCCTGTCCCTGTCCCTGTCCCTGTCCCTGTCCCTGTCCCTGTCCCTGTCCCTGTCCCTGTCCCTGTCCCTGTCACAGTACAGTACAGGACAGTACAGTACGTGATTTGTTGACTAGTCCGTCTCGCTGCCATTAGTTGGCTGGACAATCTTCACGATGTATTAATATTTTCTGTAACTTCTTAAATCAGTTTTCATTTATTTCACAGTCTACTTAGGTAGAAACGCTGCTCTGTCTCCACCATTGAGCGAGAAGAGCGTCCATTTGGCTCTCGAAACTGTCCTAGAATTCAATGACAAAGATAAGGAATCAGATTTAAAATTTCTTGACAACATACAGAACTTCGTAAATAAAGTAAAGTCTGCAATTGATAAAACAGGAAGCCATGGAAGGAATTCCAAAGACGTACGCATCGAATCGCTCACTGATTTTGTTCAACAAGCTGTCAGTATATTAAATTTATATGATGACACGACTTTTATAGATTTTTTGGAAACTCTGGATGATGAAATTAGGAAGTACCATTATAGGGGTTGTAAGTTTCATGAATTGATGGACAATTATGAGCTTCGATCGTTAATTGTATCTACATTGGATTTGATTAAAGGAAAGCCAGTCAAAGTGATTAAGGCGTACATCAATGTGTTTGTTGATATGTTAAAAGAAGAAAATTACGACAGAAGTGCAAAAGAAATTGTAGATTATATCAATTCCTTATACGGGCAAGACTCTAAACCGAAATTGATTAAAGTTTTACGAGACATAGATAACTATGGGAAACCGACTTCGGAAAAGAATCGGAATACTTTAGTCAGGATTATCAGAGAAGGCATTCGATCTATAATATTTGATCATTACACACAATTAAACCCTAAAACTAAAAAAGAATTGAAAGCAAAGATAGAAGCGTACATGAAGAGAAACAAACGAACTTCATCGAAAATTGCAATACCAAACACTCGGGCGAACAAAACGCTCCTTTACGGCGTGTATAAGAAAGAAGCTGTGAAGCCATCTGAAAGGAAATTGGAGATAATTGAAATAAAGCAAACTGACTTAAAAAATAATCTTTTGGATAGTGAAGTTCAGGACAAGAATCAAAGGATCCAACAAACAAGAAAAGAAAAGAAAACACAATCGAAGATTACTGAAATTATCATGCCGACTATAGAACAAGAGGAAAAAGAACTGATAGCTCATTCAGCAGACGAGGAAGACGAAGATGGATCATCAACTAGTGAAACTTTTGAAAGTAATTCAATACAACTGTCACTAGAAAGACAGAAAGAGTTTAATACTATGAGGTATGTAACACTGTATCCCGAAGCATTTACACCACTTGCGCCAAAATATCAAAAACATTTCAAAATTGTTCATCGATCTGTCAAGGCTACTACACCAGACAACCAAAAACTTTTAACAATCTGGGTTGAAGAATCAACAGGGATAATCCCGAAATACATACTGAATAAATACACGACTACAACGCCGAAACCTCAAAAACATAAGCACAATAAGGCTCACAAAATACATGAGAAGAAACTAAAAGAGGAACAGACCAAATCTAAAGGAAAACATCGTAATAAATATAAAAGCACGACAGGAGGTATAAAACAGAAACATGGTCACAAATCTTATAAACACGACACTACTAGATATACAAAGAAACACGATTCCAAACACAGAACTACCTACAAACCTAATCTAAAGTATGAAAAAGAGAAATACACTAATAATAAAAAGGTACAGAGTTTATTCGAAGAAAATGAGCTTCTATCTACAAACAAAGTTATGAATATGTTTGGACTTGTAAGATTGGATGTTAAGTAAGTTTTAGAAAATCGTTTTTTATCAGCGACAATAATCTAATCATAGTATCCTTCCTCTATTTGAAATCTCTCTAAAACCTTACTTTAACTGTTGTCATCATTATTGCCGCTTGTGGGACGTCTGTTGAATATAGGTCCTTTACAATTTGGTACAAACTGGTCACTATTAAATTGTCTTTCCAACCAACCTCTACCATAATTATCTTAATTTTTTTTTCTCTGAGAAAAATGAGATTGATTTGAGATCATGATTTGAGATTTTATGTCATTATTTTTACTCGGAAGAAGTACATATTACAATTATATTTCTAGTAATAATATATTCTTTAACTTACAGCCAGAACCTACTACTAAATAATGTAACGGCAAAATTACCTCGAGCAACATATCGAGGCCCATCCATTTTGCGGACGCCATCCTTTATGCGACATAGACAGAACATTCAACAATTGAAAACTTCTCTCTCGTCTGACCTTCCAAGTAATAAGCTACGTATAGGCGTTCTACGCCCAGCATCCTTAGCTGCCATTCAGAAAAGATACAAAATGTTATCGAATCCTCAAAATTGGAATGAGAGGAAAAACAGTAAACACCACACACGATCTGACGAAGGATTTGTCGAAGAACGTGGTCAAAACAATGGAGATATGTTAAGAATGAAAGACCCTGCTCTAATACAGCGCTTGCGTCAGCTTGAAAAGGAACTTAAAGAAGTAAAGAATAATATAAACACAGTCTCCAAAAACACTAAGAAAAAAGTTATAGCTAGAAGAAGTAAAGACAAAGTAGATGCTGAGACGACAGACAAACAAATGGTAAAAGATACAGGAAGCGAAGACACTGGTAATAGTATTCATGTTAATAAAACTGCTGAAATAATCACGACCCAACAACAGTTAATGAGCACTGTCAAAAAGCCAGAGTATCAAATCGAATATAAAGTAGTCAAAGAAAAAGGTTCCAGTTTCAAAGAAATCGTACCTGATTATACAACAAAAGAAAATGAGGTAAGGGGGATGAAACCATTAAAATATGGTGCAATTAAACTCCAGTCAAACGATGAAAGACAAGTGGAGTTACACAATAAATCAATCCTGATTAATTCAACAAAATTATCACCAAGTACAACCGAGACAATATATACAACTACTGTAAAAACGGTTGAAGTAAACACTAAAACGGCTAAACTCTTCACAGCAAAAGCTTTAAGAGTTGCAACGAGTACTATTCAACCAAAGACTACTAAAGGAGACGTTCATACAAACACGAAGCCAATAACTGTTACAGTAGCTCCTACCACCAGTTTCACAACTGCAAATGCTAATGAGACTACGACTAGTGACGCCATAGTATATGCATTTAAAAATAATGTTGAAGATCTACCCGCGTCTGCAACATCATCACCAAGTACGACCACGACAAAATATACAAGTACTATAAAAGTGACTGAAGTAGTTGCTTTAACAAAAAAGGTCGTCACAGCAAATCGTGCAAGGGATATTACGAGCACCATTCAACCAACAACTCCTGAACGACACGTCCATACTAACACCACGCCAATATCTACTACAGTAGCTTCTAACACCAATTTTGCCAATGTCCATACGAATAAAACTATGACTAGTGACGTCATAATGGATTCATTTGAAAATATTCGAAAGATCTACCCGCGTCTGCTAATGCACAGAATGTAACGGCATATCAATGCAACGGTTACTCCCTTACTGCAAAGTACTAAACATAATCCGATGCGAAGTAAATATACGATTGTTAAGTACAAAATAATGTCAAGAAGAAAAATCTGGGAAAGATGTATTTAATTATAATATTTGTTCAACTGGATATTTGGGTTAGTTATGTATTGAAATTCATTACGAACTTGCACACCTTTCCATGTTTTAAATATATTTATTTTGCCAAACTATTTTATCGACGCAGTAAATAAAATAATAATATACACGTTTTTTGGTTTTATTGTTTTCAATTTTCTATTTCCTTTAATGCTTGTTTGCTTTAAAATACTTTTGATATCATAATTCATCCGCCTGTAAATGATTTCTACTGAGCAAGGACCTCATCTCACGTGAAGTCTCAAGGTGATTGGCATTCCGAAACCATACCCTCATGCATGCAGCGGTTACTGAAGGGACTTAATTTCCCTAAGATTTCTCAAACAACGACATCTATAACCCGATCATAAATCTCAAAACAGTTGAGGGTAATTTAAAATTAACTGTATAAAAATTAAACCTTTTTGTTCAATCATAACATTCTTTACTATCTTTGAGTGAGTTCAGTCACGATTTGTTTAACAAGTTTTTAATATTTATTTTTATTATGAATTTGCGTTCAAATGTTAATATGGCTACAAGGGCCCAAATAATAGCATTGCATAATCAAAGCTTAAATTATACTGGAATTTCTAGAGATACTGGCTTAAACGTAAGTATTCTTATAAATGACCGTTTGTTATTTATTTTATTATCCATGGTTATCGATACATGAAAATAATAAATAATACACGTCCCTTACAGGTAAAGACTGCCACTTTATGGATATCTAAAGCTGTTTCAAGAAGAGGGTTCATTGGAGCACCGTAGTGGATCTGGCAGAAGACGTGATATTGACTCAGACCAGTTTCAACTTATGGGGTAAGGTTATGAGGAAAATTACTGGAGCATTGTCATCTTCAGTGATGCAAACCGTGAAAACTACATAGATGTGCTGAATGACGTAATGAAGATGTGCTAGTGATAACGTTCGTGCAGGACAATTGTCCTATGTGTAATGTTCCATAATTGTGTTTAGTCAGCAATCAGACATACGGATTATTCCTTGGCCAGCGAGATAGGAGAAATAGGATCGATAAAAATGGCGGCTACACTAGTTCTTAGATGAAAAGATATTGTTGACTAAAGGATTAAGCAATTACAAGACCGGGGTTGCTATAATTTATTTAATGGATAAATGTTCAAACTTAGTGTTAGTAGGATAAATTTATTGACTACTTTATAACCAGCAACTGTTATTTACAGTAATGATTTTAATGTTTAATGTTTGCTATTGATTGCAAAAAAAATAATTATTTATTTATTATTACTGTAAACAATTCGTCCCACATCTAATGAATGCTATATCCCGGTCTTAGAAATGTTATTGATTTAAGGTCTAGCTTCAATTTCTTCCCTGTTCTGGAACGAATACTTAAGCTATGGGCCTTTGTCATAACATGATGCACAAAATGAATCACTTTAGTCAATACTTTAATTAAATCTAAATTTTAAATTTTATGGGGAGATCAAATAGTTGCAGAAGTAAGGTTGCATATTATATAGAATCGTATTATAACATTGTGTTTAAAACTAACTAATAAATGACTAGCACATCAAAATTTTGATTTAAAATACTTATTAATCTTATAAAAAGTGTATTAAATAATGTGTCAGTTAGCTGAAAAGTTATTAGGTCAGGGTATACACTATATAAGAAAGAAATAAATATTATGTTTTAAAAAATAAATGTCTCAAATTATAATGTCACTAAAATAGTTTTATTTGTTATCCTTTATGAGAATAAAACTTAGTATTAGTCTTAATCTGTAAGAAAAATATGTTACTTTTACATTAATAGTCAGCACATATTATAAAAGTTATTTATATATATTTATTAATATAATTTTATTCTAAAATAATATATATATTTATTTTTGTTATCTTTTATAAATATTAAACGTCAAATACTTTATTTATATATTATTATTATTGATTTAATATAAAAAAAAATAAAAAAGACCATTGTTAAAAAACCTGAATATAAAAATGATAACCCGGAATTGAACCGGTGCCCTTCGAATTCATTATTCTATCATTCTTTTTCATCCGAGCTACCGATCGCATATTTAAGATGTTGAAAATGCGGGTTAGTTTATAACTTTTATTATTGTCTATTATTCATTATTGACGCCATCTTTTAATTGGTTTGCTTGACTTGACTTAGATGGCGCTATATTAAGTCATCGGAAATGAGAAAATTAACATAATTTATGTGTATGAGATTTCTCAAAGACAACTTCAATATAATAAAGAGTAGGATAATTTCAATACATTTCAAGGTTACGTAATGGCCTAATGGCTAGTGGCATCGGTTAATTTTATGCTACCGAGTTCGAATCCTGGTTATTGCGTGCTTTGCTTTAAAAAGGTTTGGAATATCGTAGCATTAATTTGTATAAAAATTTATTAAGTTAATAACTTTGTATCTGATAAAAACTATGAATGTATATTTTTCAATACCACTAGTATACTAGCGCCATCTATGTCGTCCATGGTATATAATTAAGGCGATGAAACGCCGTACAAACGATTTTGATTTAGAATCATCCATGCACTTATGACACTGATAGTACGTGCATTAACATGAGATGAAAAAAGAATACGTCCGAGTTTACGTCAAGCGCATGCATTTTGAACGTAGCAGTTAAAAGCTCAGCGTTATAAAAATTATAAATTATATTATTTGTGCTTCATATGCGGCAGTAAATAATTATTTTAATCCATTATATAAAAGGAAGTGAATGAAAAGTACTGTGTGGAAATAATGTCAAAATAAATACCGAATACGGCGAACAGTAGAACACAAGCGCACACCGTCATTTTAATACAAAAATACTAATATTTTACATTTTGTTATACATTTTATATTTTTCACATAAACTATTTTATGTGTAATCCAATAAAATTATTACAACTTTTTTATTGACACTGAACAGAATAGTTTCTGATTTTTAACAAGCCAACAATCATCAACTGTACGTAGTTTGAAACCAATCTTATTTCGAAATAGTAACGGGTTTATTAAAATACAGACACTCACAATACCGCCAATTGTTACCAGACTGAATGTATCAAAACAGCAGATTATTTAAACATTTCTAAGAAATAAAAATAACAACAAGCGTGTGTATCGTTTTAAGTATAATCTATTCGAATTACAATATCGCAGCGATTCAACAAAACAAAAAAAAGAATATTTAAGACATAATTCCAATCTAGCTATTCTTCATGAGAAACATATGAACGTCTGTATATGAAGTTCTATTTATTTTATGATTGACTTGAAAGTGCCTATTCGCTATGAAAGTAATATTGATTACTTTGTTTCTTAATTACGAATTGTTCGTCTGTCAAATTATTCGTAAGGGTAAGCATTTAAATTCGTTTATCATTAAACTGTCCCAACAGAGCTTACGGCCCGCCTGATGGTAAACGGACACTTTGCCAAGGTGAAATTGATCAAAAATAGTTCATAATTTTGTTTCAGAACTCTTAAACGATACACTTCTGGCAAAGAAAGTACACAAATCCCTAAAACAAATCGACGCCCTCCTCAACGGAGTCCAAAAAGAAATTAACAAACAAAGGATAATCCTCAAATCTAGAATAGATTATGAAAACGCTCCAATACCAGATGATGGTGATTTTCTGAATTATGACGTCACAGATTTGTTTTGGGGCGAACAAACTGGATTGGATGGGATGACACATGAAGATAAAACATCTACATTCTTAGCAACACCAGAAACAGTAGCGCCGGTTCAGACTCCAGAAGAAATATACGAAGAAGAGATTACTTGGCCAAGTTTGACAACACCTGAGTACACTACCAGCAAATACTTCCCTAGATATCCATATGAACCTCCACAACTTTACCAAACCATCCCTGCATTAACCGCGCCACAGGAGCCTGTACCGACAAGGAACGATTCCTTTGATATAATTATAACACCACCCAACTTCGTAAACATGACACATAAGGTTAAAAAGGACGCTGATTACGATTATCACAAAGAATTCCATGCGGTCAATATTGGTGTCACAAAAAAATCATTTTTTGCAACTTTTCCCTTGCATACTGATGCCACAGTCACTGCTAAAGCTTATCCACCTTATGTTTACTCGCTACTTGATATCGATAACCTTTACACTGTTAAAAAACCTTTTACAATGGAACCAACAGTTTCTACAAATATTCCTTTTACTACGAACGTACAAAAATCGAAAGAAAGCCATAATTTTATAAACATATTTAGCCCAGTGACCCCGAGGATACCCGATCAAAGATGGACAGCCAGAACTTCATCCTGGGCCGGGCTGACTACATGTAAGTTATAAACAACCTTCAATTCTTAGAGGGGTCTGGTTGTCATGTGTATGTGAAATTGTACTGTTGGGGTCCAACGTTTTATTTAAATTGAGATAAAAGTAACTAAACCTCAGAGGCCCCTTTTCCAAATTGCGTGCTCTCAGTGAGTTATATCCAACAACTAATAATATTATGCTCAGTAGTAGCCCTTGCGACTCGGCTTACGAAATAACCACAGACGTAGTTAATGATGTTATGGATTTCACAGTGTTACAGCCAAAAACCACTTTATCAAAAGCGCAATTGTGGGTTCAGAATCTAATGAAGAATTCCGGCGCTCGTATACACAGAGAAGGTTCTTTGTCTCCTCCCAGATATCCTCCACCTGCAACAGACAACGAATTTTCCTTCTCCACAGGCCAAACAGAGAGGTACACCACAATCTAATATTTTTTATACGTGGCAAAACCACGCTTCGGCACGAATGGAATTCTTACATGAAACCTGCGTGGAACAATTCTTGCATTGTGCTTCACTCACACGTTGAACAAGAGTGAGGTTACCAAAAGCCTTATTTAAGCAAATCACTTGTAACTCCTTCCAGAGTCCTTTGGCGATGCCTATTGCGTACCATTACGAAAAAATTACGTTTAAAAAAAATAAGTTTAAGTTACCTGGCGATGTTCTCCTTCCGTGTTTGTTTTTGAACAAATATAAGAGTCAGTCAATTCTTATGCAGTTGTTGCAATTATTTTTGTAAAGGCTTGTACCAGAGACGGAACTTTATGAGATTTTTACAACTACACCAGAGCACGACCCTTTAACGAGCACAACTATAGTTACTGCATTACCAGGCTCTGCAGGGGAAATATTGTATGGAGGTATGTATCGCATGTCAAGTAAAGTTTTAGTAAATTACATATTTTTCGATAATTGTGATTGATTGTTCATAACTTTCATAACATTTATTCTATTGAAGAGTACACAAAGGCACCACATTCTGGACGCTACGCCACTTTCAGGACAGAAATGTGGTTCTAGTGAAAATTTTCAAAAACTGAAGAAAGTCGGTCGGTCCTTGTTCCCGAAGCCCTGTTCTTTCTGTTCCAGTTCATCGTGTGACAAAAGAAATCATGTGTTTTTTTATCTATGTTTAAAGGCATTGGAATCAAAACCACTACCGATTTGACCCCATCTCCAAGACAAGTCTACTTCAAGATGATGGAAGAACAAAACGAAGGATATCTGACCATCTTTCTATTGGAAATATTAAAAATTACTTCCTTGAAAGATGAGAAACTAGTTAAAGAAGTCTTACTGGAAGTAGAACTACATATAAATACGTTAGTACCCTTTGCCAAATTCCATAAAAAGTTGCACATTTTAGGCAGCAAAATTAAAATGGGACTGGGCCGGGCACGTCAGCCGAATGCATCTGGAGAGATTGACCACTATTGTCACCCAGTGGACCCCTCAAAATGGAGGCCCCGGAAAAGATGGCTTGATGATCTAGACGCCTATCGATGAGACTGGTGGACACGGTCGAAGGATTGAAAGGTGTGGAAGCGAGACGAGGAGGCCTTTGCCCAGCAGTGGGACATTACAGGCTAGTAAAAAAAAGTCTGCCTATCAAATATTGTCAAATTACGAAACTCTTTTTCTTCCACACCACACAGTACATCCATATTCACTTCATATTTTACAGTTGGTATAACACCGATCAATTGATGTGGTTCGGCCAACCCCTAGCTGACGTCATCCAAAAACTTTCCCGGTTTATAAGTGAAGCACCGATTGATTATGTAAGAAGTAAGTATCTATGATGGAATCGTTTTTAAGCCTAAATGTGGCCTTTTGAGTTAGATAAAAAATGATTTGACTTTAAAAAGTGCCTTTGTTGTTACGAAATTCGAGAATATCTCTCGCGGCTCTGGGTGAGGCAAGCGTCGGAGTAAAAACTCTTACGGATTTGCAAGCACCCCGTTCCAGCTCCTGCTTAGAACCGAGCTGCGGTAACTAATTACTCTTTACTCACAACCACGGAAATGAGGTAACCTTGAATTCTGGTCTTTATTTTTCCCAGGCTACTCATCAATGGTATATCAGTTGTTGAAAGTCAGGAAGACTGCTGTAGCAGTGGACGTAAACTCCATCATAGATTATGCTGATCTGCTGTATACGGATGATGAGGGAGGGCAACTCTTCGATGCCATAATGGAATACGAAGAATACCCAAATGGTAACATGACATGCCGTGACATGGCATTTCGTAACGTAGGCTATGACACATATTAATCAGTAATTCATTTCAGGTACGAAAAATGCAAAACAGCTTTGTGAATTTATATTCGACAGTTTTATGAGCCCCTACAGACGACTCAGCTATTCTGAGCGCAGGCAAACGCTTCTTGACTCTATTAACTATGCCTTAAAGATCAGATTCCCTTTGCGAACAAACTTTTTTGAAGATATTTTAAATTTTCAAAGTAAGTCTTAATAAAATACAATCTTTAAAAAAGAAAACACTTTCCCACACTCAGACTCTTATACATATGTATCGTGACTGCTTTAACAAACATACTCATGCCACCCAGACCTGAAAAAACAATTTGTGAATGTCACAAACAGTCGTTATGTTTGGGAACCAAACCAGAGGCACGTTGCCCAGCCACCGCGTCAACTGTACATTCACTTTACTTATACACGATTTTTAGGGTTCCGTAGCCAAAATGGCAAAAACGGAACCCTTATAGTTTCGTCATGTCCGTCTGTCCGTCTGTCCGTCTGTCCGTCTGTCCGTCTGTCACAGCCGATTTACTCGGAAACTATAAGTACTACAGTGATGAAATTTGATGGGAATATGTGTTGTATGAACCGCTACAAAATTATGAAAACTAAATAGTAAAAAAAAGAATTGGGGGTGGGGCCCCCCATACATGTAACTGAGGGATGAAAATTTTTTTTTCGATGTACATACCCGTGTCGGATATCAATGGAAAGGTCTTTTAAAATGATATAAAGTTTTCTAAAAAACATTTTTCTTAAAGTGAACGGTTTTTGAGATATCAGCTCTCAAAGTCGTAAAAAGTATGTCCCCCCCCCCCTCTATTTTTATAACTACGGGGTATAAAATTCTAAAAAAAATAGAGGTGATGCATGCTAATTAACTCTTTCAACGATTTTTGGTTTGATCAAAGTATCTCTTATAGTTTTTGAGATAGGTTGATTTAACTGTAATTTTGGTTAAAGTTTATTATATTTGCTGCTACGGAACCCTTTGTGCGCGAGCCCGATTCGCACTTGGCCGGTTTTTTATATTGTCTCTTGTGTCGTGGGTGCGTTCACAAATTTTCTCAAATACACAGCACACGAAGACTTTTGTTGTCGTCTTGTCTCTTGCAAAATTGATAAGATAATTTTAATTTTATTTTGATTATGTACCCTTCACAGCAACTAAAGCTAAATCAAAATATCTTCGAAAATTACACAATCGCAACACAAACAAAAGAATGAGAGAAATTAAGAAGCAAGAAGTTGTTGATGACGTCATAAAACACTTCTCTTCTCGACTGAAAAATATTGAATCATTGAAACGCTCATCAAACTATGCGAAAGATATGATAACACCAGTTGTCAACAATAATATGTTCGCGGAAAATAAAATATATTTTAAATCTTCTAAAGAGAAATTAAAATATAATGAATATGACGAATCGCCAATAAATTACAATAAAATATTATTCGATACATCTTTTAAAAACCAGGAAGAAAGTAAAATCGATGTAGACGGTCATACAAATCAAACATCACATTATATTGATTTTGATGAAACGCCGACGATTGAAGAAAATAGTCATGTTTCAACAAATGAAATCGACGGAATGAAGGAAAATTTACAAAATGCTATTGAAAACACACAAGGCAATGAAAATTATAACAAGATGAAAGCTTTAAAATCTTATGCTCAGATTTTAAATGAAGATAATAGTCACAATATTCCCAGTAAAAACTCAGGTAATTTTCAACAGAAGTTTTAGTTTATTCGTAAAAATGGTATTTGATCAGTATTTCCAGATAAAAGCGCTGTTGTGATAAAAGAATGGAACACATTTGAAATTTCACTTTCTACACACCTGACGTGTTTCAAACAGCGATCTCCAACCCGCCTGATACTGGCTTTTATGTAGACACCCAGCTATGGACTATTTCGATGTGTTAAAGGTGACATTTTATTATTATTAATTAAACAATATACTTTTGTTTTCACAGACTCAGACGTATCCCTACCAAGCGATGCCTATAGTTAAATGGACTATCAGAGAAGACAGTGACAGCTCAGGAATTAAAAAAATATATCTCTCAGTGTCCTTGTAATATTATTATTGACTTGTGTATATTAGGTTGTTTAGAACGTTAAACAAAACATGCAAATAAATAAAAATTAAAAGCGTCATATTCTTCGTATGGATTTCCCTGGAGAAGAACGAGCAAGATACTTCACGGCTACTTTTTCTTTCGGCTCAACGAGCAATGCACAATGCACATACAATATTATTGTAATAATAGCAGTCTAAGTACAAAACGAAATAAAATAATTCAACAATACACACGTTTTCAATTTATTGCAAACTGCCTCATTATAGTTGTCTAGTTGCGGTAACTCCGAGTAACTTGTGGTGGGGCAAGAAGATAATGACAATGACGGTAATGATCGTGTAAGGATAGTTTTTTATGGAATAGGAGGAAAACGAGCAAACAGATCACCTGATGGTAAGTGATCGGCGCCGCCCACAAAATGTTAATATATTGATACGAGTATGTTGTCAAGCTCCGGACACAGTTTTTCAACAATAGTTTAGTTGTCATCTTTTCTGTTACTAACGTAAGGTTTTGTTTCAATCTTTTCATGGCCACTTTAAAAGTAGCTTTTTATTAATACGTCTTTAAGCTTCAAAATATTTTACTCTCACTACTCTGTCTGCTTGTCTTCATTAAATCCTATATTTGCGAATTATTCTATCCCTCATTTATTTTTATGAAACTGAACCGCATTTCTATTATAACAACTTTCCATTCCGTAATTTTAGAGTGCTTTCGAAATCGTACAGGCTTGTGAAGATGCAATAAAAGCTAAGAATCAAGACAATACTAGTTCTTTTGATTGGCAGCTTTATTTAGTTTAGTTGTGATCTCCTTGGCGGGTCTATTGATTAAGTTAACTGTGTAGTTAGGTACAGTAGGCCTGTGTCGAAGTGTCCGAGTGACAATTTTAAACCGTCTCTGTGTATTTGTAATCGGTTTATTACTGAATCTACGTGTAAAAACATTTTTTTTCGGGTATCGGCCCGCTAGGTCTCAAAATGTGGGAGAGCCATGCTCGAAGCGTGGAAGACCAATGGTTTGACACGAATGGATCGGCTTGGCCGTAGTGATACCACGACCCCACAGAAAACCACGACGAGACGAAAAGACCCCTCGAGTGTGAGAGACTGACGGGAGCAATGATATTATAAGTAAAATGGTGTAGATAGGTTACATCAACAACATTCGATTTTCAAAAACGGCACACTAATGCACACAAGAATAAATCGTATGATACACGTTAAAGTGGGATGGCATGATCATCAGATCCTGATCTTATGAAAATGGGACCCTATCGGGAGTATACCTAACCTTTCAAACAAAACAAGAATTTTGGAAATCGGTTCATAAATGGCGGAGTAATCGGTAAAAATACAAAAAAAAAACTTAGTACCTCCTAATTTTTTTGAAGTAGGTAAAAATACAAAGTATGCCAACCTACAAGGCCCCTTTAACTGTACCTGGGCTAACCATTTTGGTGCCCAACGAGGGACTTAAGGAGGCTCATCGCCAATAAAAGGAATTAAAATTATTCAACAGAAAATAAAAAAGTCTACGTTCGCCACACGTAAAATTTATTTTGAAACATACACCAGGTTATGGGTCTTAAATCTTAAATACTTATCCTTATTACCACACCTTGGACGGGTGAAATATATCATAATGCGGAGGAGAAGAAAACTCCAAACCTCTTGTAATTCTTGCCCAGTCGTTCGCTCTATGACTTATAAAATTCGTATCACTCAGTTCATTACTCATTTCCGCAGTAGAAGTTTTTATTTTATTTTCATACTTTCTGTCATCCTTTGAGACATAACTATCGTCTAGAAGAAAGGTGCTGTTAAAATAACGAATCGTTTTATTGGTTGATTGTGTTGCTAGAGACAAATTTGCCGTTGTAAAAGTAACTTGTTTTTCATTCAATGACAAGGTGTCATTTGATCTAAATATTCTTTGGTCTGCCTCTAGTTCATGGCTTGGTTTCGCAGTTGTGTGATGCAATTTTGATTTTAACTTTTTGTGATGATGATGGTGATGGTGATGAGGTTTCGTCTTTCCCTGATGTAGTTTCATATTTGATGTTGTCATAAATATCTTATCAGATTTTAGTCTAACATGCAACGTTTGGTCGGACGACATAGTTTTCTTCACTTCTGTCATATTTGTTTTTAATACCTTTCTATATATTCTGGTTGCGTTACATTTATCGCATTTCTTACTAACAAGATCGCTCACGTTATCTGAAATGTTAAATCCTTTCATCAAACTTCTTTTTCTAGCTTCATCAGGTTTTTCATCTCTACCACTACTACCTCTTGTTAAGCATTGTACAGTGTGGTTTTTGTCGGTTGTTGGACAATCCTTCAGAGAGTTGGCTTGCTTCAATTCATGTATCTCTTTCTCTAAATAATTAAGTCTTTTGATGATTTTGTGGTTTAATGTTCCTAAATAATCCGTGTTTTTGCTTAAAGATCTTCTAGAATTCCTCAGTTTATTATCACGCATTGCATCTTTAAGATTATCGATTAACTTTTTAATGTTGTCTAAAAGTGGTATGTCACCTAGGTTCTTGTTATCAAACTCTAAAACAGCTTCTAAAGCCAAATTAACATTTCTGCTTGAATTCTTTGGTTGCTGTTGCTGTAGTGTGTTTGTACATGCTGAAACAAGGGGTTTGTTATATTTATTTTAAGTATTATGCATGCCTTTTGAATATTGAATGGGTTTAGGTATATTTTAATACATTAAGCACCAGTGAGGATATACGACAACGATGCTAGCGAAGGATTTGCCTCTGTCTGTGCCAGTCTGTCAAAGGTTTAATAGGATTCTGTATGACGGTATAATTCATTACACGACGGTGTCTTTGTGATGAAAAGAGAGAGATCTTAATGATGGTCGATGGAACAACGACATTACTATCAGATTTGATTTAAAAAAAATCAAATACCTTCTAAATAAGTATATCGGAATACAAATATTGCTCAGTATTCAGAAAGCACTAGTAATAGGAAACTCATTGGAAAATACAATAACAGTAAAATAAATACCTAATACGAAGAACAGCAGAACACAGGCGCACACCTTCATTCTAACATAAAAATACTAATATTTTGCTGTATCGTAAAACTTGTTGTAAATTGCTTGAGCAACTATTTTTATATTTTGTAATCAGATAAAATTATTACAACTATTTTATTGACAATAAACATTGGAAATGTTACCGATTTCAAACTCGATCTCAACAGTTTCTAGTTTTTCTTAGACTTGTGTTTCCTTTTCTTAAAACTTTGTGTTTATTAAATAAAATGAAAACAGTGAATACACAGCTAAATACAAATAAAGAAAAAGAGAGATATAAATATTAGCATGTGTTTAATTGTGTTAATATTATCATTATATTTATTCTTACATTATAGTTTAGTTAACTGTAATGCTGGAAAAACAGGTACTGTTATATTTTGGTTTTAGGTAATTCGTCTTTATGCTACAAAACATTACATAGGCGGACTTAATGCCGTAGGCATTCTCACCAGTCAACCTTAGGGTGATGCCATCATCCTCAACCCAAAACTAAGAATTCTGCCAATTAACATCAATCGAAAACATTAAATAACACGTTAAGATGCTAAGCAACCCGGCAGACTAATGATTTATCTTTTTGGAGAATTACCCTTTTAAACTTTAAAGAAAAATAACGTTATAGTATACCTGAATATTTTAAACCTTTTATTATTAAAATTTTCCTCTATATTCGTTTTGATCATGAAGCAACTGATCTCTTTAGTCTTAAACTACCAATATCTGATTTGAAAATAATATTTCACTCTAGGTTTGAAAATGCACCAAAGTTTTCCAGATAACATTAAATTTAAGAAACTGATTTTCAGATAATTTTAACGAGACAGTGCTTATGAGAAGGCACCGAGAAAGCATGCAAAAAGTGAATGCATTCTTCAGTAATCTAGTAATAGCATTTAATAAAGACAAAGCAGCGATATGGAACAAAGAAAGGGAAGAAACTGATAGAAATAACAAAGGAATGCAACAGACAATACATCTGAACCTTAGAGCTGGACCATTGGCGAATATCTTTCACTCCACTAAATCGACTCCCACTAAAAGTACTTTAAAACTGCATACACCTCCTGATTACGTCAACGAACCTTTGTTTCTGTTTCCTGGAAGAATTGAAAACGTTTTAGGTGCTTCTGCCAGAACTGGACCAACAAATGGAAATAAATTCAAAGAATCCTCTACAGTTAAACCAACCACTGTTACATTATGGTCCAAAGCGCTTGGATATGAATATTCGACTTATCCAAAAATTAAGCCCTTTCGTCCACCGAATTTACCAAATATTGATTCAGCAAATTTATTTTCACCAATTTCAAGTTCTACAAAACCGACACTTGCAAAATTTATTAAGATTTATAATTTAATAGCAGAGGTTGCCAATTTAAACCAGATAAACAGTACTTCATCGCTTTGGAGTGCATATAGTACTGTGCCAATAACCTTCAACAAATTTAGTACATCCAAGCCGAAGCTTTATTTCGATAAAAGTTTGGAGCCATCTTCTTTTCCAAATTACTCTAAAATAACTACAATCTCTTCAACACCTAAAACATCAGGCCCTTTAGCTCCCCTATTAACATTTAACGCTACACAGTTTTCGATTTCAAATCTGAAACCTTCTTCGCTTAAGTCTAATATGCCTCCTCGTACGTCGTCATCATACAAATTAACTACAGACAAGTTTCTTGGATTGTGGCAACAAGAGATATCTAATTTTGCGTCTCCTGACAGATGGAAGATTGAAGGAAAGTATTTTGCAAGTAAGACTTATATTTTTATTGTGATACGACTTAAGTTTCAGTGCTGATTCTAAATGTCAGTAAACTGGGACCTATCGAGTTTTTTTATCATAATTCTATGTTAAAACTAAAATCGACTAATCATTTTTTTTCCAACAGCTACACGGTTTTCACAAGGATGGCATTTAAATATCGGACCAATTCAACCAATTGCTCAATACAGACGCAACCGTATCAACCGTACTATACAAAGCAAAAGAATTGATTTACAGCACAACATAATTGGAAAATCATATACAAATTACTCTTATCTAAGAACGAAACAATATAAAAAATTTGTAAAAAAGTTAAATGGCAATCTCCATGTCTCAACTCAAAATGAAGAAAATAGTACTTTTAAAACGACTGTTATTGATGGAAGACTAGTTTATCTACCTTTAAATTCTGCTAAAGCTACTACACAAGGTAACTTGATCAAATCTCCATGAACTATGTAGCGAGGTTGACTGCAGTGTCAACTGATAGTAGCAAGGTTTTAAATAAGAGTATCGTTTACAGGTTTAGTTTCTACTGCATCGACCAAGTCGCCGAATCATCATTACTACGAGATGATGAATGAACTAGATGAAGGATATATGATGATATTTCTAATAGAACTTTGCAGAATAATTTCTGAACAGGATCTGGATCACATTCAAGCTGTCATTATACACATGGAAACTATAATCGATGAGTAATTTTGAAATTATACCATTGAATATTTTCAATCTGTGAGGTTTGCATTCTGTTTCAAAAGGCTCCACCTGGTTGAGGCCATGATGATTGAAGTTTAAGGCAAATTCATTCAAAGTTTGAATAACTATAAAGCCAATCTTTTGATCACTGACGACGTCTATATAATTGTCTTTCTTTAGTGGCGAAAAAGATTTGTTATGTGGCACAAGAATCTACCCCAGTATATGCTCGAAAAATATATCCAACTGTAAAATATTGCAGGCTATATAAAAATGGAAGCTTGACCTGGCTCGGAACCCCATTGCTAGACATCACTGTAAAACTATCAAGATTAATGTTTGAAAGACCATTCGATTTTATCAGATGTGAGTCAAAATACTTCAGATTTTTTATATAATTTTAATAGGACCAGAGCTCACGTTTGGTCTGATGTAAGGCAGTCACCAAAGTCCAGTGTTCCTCTATTCTCAAACCGTGGAACCAATTTAATAAGGTAACAAAGAATCTGTGAAACTGTTTGAAAAAGAGTTACCACAGAGTTTCTAGCTCGTTCATCTCTATCTCAATATCTTCACTAAGAGCCACACCATCAGATAGTCATTTTTGTATCTTTTATCTTTGTTTGATGTGAAAACTGTCTGTAATAGTGCAATAAATTATTTGACTTTGGCTACACTCGCAACACTAGATGTAGCACGAGAACGTTGCCAAACAAATCAGTCGAAACGCAGAACCATATGTCAACAACTCACGCTCTTTTGTAAAGAGGTAGTACTTGCCCTGTCGAGCATATTACTTACATTTAGCAGATAAGCTCTATCACCAACATCTTATATTAATGGATCCTTTTCTTCACCAGCTCAAGCAGCCACGATGTATCACATGCTACGTGAGAGGAAGCATGCACTCTCCGACGAAGTGAACTTATTATTAGATTATGCAGACTTTTTCTACGACGATGATGAGGGAGATGTACTGTTCAATTCTTTGAGAGAATTCGAGGCATTTCCTGATAGTAATTGTAGCCTTTTTGGTAAAGTTACTGGCTTACTCCACGTTATCATTGCAATTCTATGTTTATTCACTAAATTTTTACATTTTTCAGTATCAAAAACTTTTGACCTACTTTGCTCCAGTCTAATAGAAAACTTCCTACATCCATTTCATCGCCTCCACAACTCGGATCGGCGTCAGAGGTTAATAGACTTTATCAATAAAGTAATACGGGATAGATTTCCCAAACTCACTTCGAAAACACTTAAACAAAAGCGTTTGGACTCCAAAATAAAAGGTAAGCTTAACCGATCACTTGAAGAAATAGATTTAATTGTTAGTTGATGTTGAGTTGATAGATTAGCTCTAGGTTAGTCGCTCATCCATTGACAGAATATTGAGGCTGTGTGTCGAGAGCAGGAGAAGGAACGGAGTAAAACCCACTTCGTTTCTTCTCCTGCAGTTAGTAAGAGTTTGGGACTCCCTCGAATAAAGACTGTCAGAGTCACTACTGTTTAATCCAAAATTACGTTTGCAGCAAGAGAGACGAAGCATTTGCCGCAATTACGGGCAATCATGACTTCCCACTCGCAAAATAAAATAAAAAGAAAGCTGCATTTAGAACACAAACAACGAAACCTTCGAGTTCATAATTTAAGGACAAAAATAAAGAGACAAAGAAAAGATAGGTTTTATAGACGACAAATGAAGGAGAGACCAGAGGCCCAATCATTCCTCTTACCAAAACCCCTCCCCAATCCCAAATTCTCCAAATACCTTAACCCCTAAACCTGTCTGCAACACACTCGTCCATTGTTGCGGCGTTAATTGCTTACCATCAGGTAATCTGTCAGCTCGTTTGCCGTCTTATCAGATAAAAAAAGAATGAGAAAAAATACTTAAAGTTGAGAAGAGTGAATCCTGTTACAAACGCACAGAGACGTTACAAAGCGGTATCTTCGAAATATAATTTGAAAGCCGCCCGTGAGGAAACTACAAAACAATCCATACTGAATCTACATCGCAAACCAACCGAAGGGAATGCGAAGCTATCAAGAACCAATATGATTATTGATAGCGTCGCGCCTGTAACTCTCCTGGTGTTGCCTAAGGGCGGCGTTGATCATTTACCATCAAGTGATCAGTACACAAGAAATGCCATAAAAGGAATAAAGGATTAAGTAAAGACGTGAATCAATTTGTTTAAAGTTTAAAAATATATTTAAAACAGCACGGGGCCAAAACAAGGTCGAATCATAAAACTAACGACAGTAATGGAAAACATTAGGAATTTACTGTTTGTAAGAAAAAGCCCTCGTTGCCAAAGCTACCGAAGCTTTGTGTAATTTTATTTCTAAAAAACATTGCCCTACTTTGGCGTTTACTCATGTATCTGTAAGTGAGTTAACAAACATACAAATTCACGCACACAAGAGCCGAAAAAACGATTTGTGGATCACACAAAATGTTGTCCCGCGTTGAAATTGAACCCCTGACAGCCACTTCGACAATTGTGCATGCGGATTCTTCGTGATTGCCAATAATATTACTTAATTGGAATTTTTCCCGGAGTTCGACAACATACATTACACGGTCATCATCTTCCTGTGCTTATCGACTAGTAACTCGAGGTTGCCGCAATATGTCCATTAAATTGAATGGGAAGACTTACTTAAATTATAATTGAATATTTCGTAAATAAAAAACGTGTATATTATTATTGTTTTATTTTCTAGTGTATTCAGACAGTTATAATCAGAAGTAAAATAAGTATGCAATCGTAAGTAATAAGTCCATCGAAAGTTGATACTTATTCAAAAAGAGTTGTTATAAGTGAAGTTTTTGTACGTTCTTCTCTATATAGAAATCTACACCTTGGAAACACTATTGAGACACAGAAAAACGAAAACCATTAAGAATCTGGAAATAAAAAACATATTTTTTCCTTTAGTATTAATACTACTATCGTTACAAGTTTATAAGTGTGCATTCCCAGAAATCCATTTACAGCGGGGTCATGTGTAGTGTTGCAACCATTCGATCAATTAGTAAATTGCTTTAAATATAAAAGAAACAAATATTGAATAGCTGCCACGTATCACATCGCCTCTTCCAATCCTTAATTTGTTTCGTCTTCCATATTATTTTCTGAACATTTCTTTATTTGTTTGTAAAGTTTCATCTTTAGTGTCATCATTGAAATATGGATATATATTTATACGCCTAAAACTATCCATTTTACTTTCTTTCTGGTTTTCCAAATATGTACCAAATACTGGATTTTTATAATTTAATGTCATTTCCTTATCTTTTGTTATATGTATCTTCATCTTTTGTAGATTTATGATTTGTTTATGTAGTTGTTTTCCTGATATAATAATTGGTGATGACTGATGGTTTTAGATCATCTACATACTGTAATGTACTGTTCATTTTGATATAGTCGAGTCTTATGACATTATCAGCCAGTTCATGATTGTTATTATTTCTTTGTTTTCTGTTTCTGCTGGGTTGGTGCATTTCTTGTAGATATATCGATTTTATTCTGTTTGTTGTTAGTGCTGTTGAATACATATATTTTATAAAAAGCTGTGCTTGGCCAGTGGTACAAATCCCTTAGGGGTGCTTTTTAAACAGATAGGATAATAATGTTATCTAATGAATTAAATAGTTGCTGTCTCTGTCTTATACAAACATTCTGACGCGACGACATCATAATTATTCCCCAGGTAAGTTTCATCTAACCGTTGAAAAATCAGCCCTCGGTGTTCAACCTGTTACGCCAAAGCTAAAGCAGTAGATGGTAGTAGGTGTATGGTTTAGGTTTTCTGTAATGACCATAGGACAAAGGGATGTGTTTGTATATGTATGTTATGTATAAACTTACCTTCAGTTTTAAAAATACTTTCAATAGACCTTCGTGAAGGGAATCTTATCTTTAAGGCAGTATTAGTAGAGTCGAGAAGCGTTTGTCTGCGCTCAGAATGGCTGAGGCGTAAGTATGGTCTCATAAAACTGTCGAATAAAAATTCACAAAGCTGTTTTGCATTTATATTACCTGAAATTCATAATTGATCAATTATTATGCACACATCACACAGCATCAAACTATAGGTAGGAGCATTAACCCCCACATTTTCTTCTTCTTAAGGTGAATTGGCAATTTCAATTGTATAATGTGATATTATAAGTTCAGTTTAAGACATCTTAGCACAAGAATAGTGAGGGTCTTAACCCTCCGGCTAACTGACAGATTATTTATGTTTCCATACCAAAAAAAAAATGATTTACAAAAAAAAATTTCGTAGCTTAAGTACCATTTGGATATTGTTCATATTCCACTATGGCATCAAAGAGTTGCTCTCCCTCGTCATCCACATACAGCAGATCAGCAAACTCTATGATGGAGTTTACGTCCACTGCTACATCAGTCTTCCTGGCTTTAAGCAACTGATACATCATTGATGAGTTTCCTGGAAGAAAAAGATCATAAGTATTTACTTCGATTAGCAAAACAAATGAACATTTCTTTGAGACTTTACTTACTTCTTACATAATCAACTTCTGCTTCGCTTATGAACCGGGAAAGTTTTATGATGACGTCAGTGAGGGGTTCGCCCAACCATATTGGCCGATTGGTGCCATACCAACTGTGAAATAACACATATGTAGTGTCGATTTATCTTTGCTTACTTAGATCCATAAATCTGAATGATGGCTTACTAAGAGACGGGCACGAGCATATTACATATAATAGAGATAAACATGTATAAAATAGGTATGAAGATGTTACAACAAGTCCTAAATTGGCGCCGGTTACAAATAAGCAGAAAGGTAATTGATACTGACATGTATTGAGAAGAGATAAAACGCCAAACCTGAGCTTAATATAAATGTGAATTAAAGGATGCAAGATGAGACAGATAAAGGATCGAAATATGGGGCAGGGGAGAACGGAAGAAGACACATGGAAACCTCAAGTAACTTGAGTTAAGAGCAGGGATAAGATGAACAGCAAAGCGTACTTACGTATCTACATGTGGTTTTACTTCCACTAATACTTCTTTAACAAGATTTTTATCTTTTTCAATAGTTATCCTCAATATTTCCACAAGAAATATGGGCAAATATCTCTTCACCATCATTTTGTAGTAGCCTTGTTTGGCAGAAGACATCGGTGTAGTGGTAATTTCATCATCTAAGAGTTAATCACAAAAATAATACCGAACAGTTATATTTCCTAATAAATAGATTTCTAAGTCCCTCCCAAATCGAGATTTCAGCTAACCCATATTCTGTAGAAGGGGCCAATGTCCAGAATGTCATGATTATGATAAAAGTGAATTGATAGCATCCAGTTTATGACAAAGCCTTTATTTTTAGGGAGACTGTAATGGACTCCCATTTTACGACCAAAAATCCCTTTGCAGATAATGATACTGTAGTATGTAGCTTTTTTGAGGTGGAAAATTCATCAAATGATCATCCTGCTCTAGGTACGGAAAGAGGAAGGGCATTTTCACCACCCACAGCCAAACCGCTAAACCGGTTTTGTGGGAAAATATTTTAAATTAAATATCCGTACACCGTAGTGATTTTCAATAAAGAATAAATAAATTTGATATACTTAATTCAATAACTGACTAAAAGCACCTCGTTCCTTCTTCTGCTCTGAACTGAGACCTCGGTACATTACTTCGCTTGCACCCGCAACCATCGGCAAAGCTTGACTTGCGATACATACCTCCATGCAATACTTTCACTGCAGAGCCTGGCAATCCGGTAACTGAGGTTGTGCTCGTCAGCGGAAAGTTTTTTGATGTAGTGTTCAAAATCTCGTAACCTTCTGTCTCTCTAAAACAAGTGAATGAGTTTGAAACACATAAATCGGAAGAGTGGGAAAAAAGCGAATATATTAAATGTGTACCTTATCGTTTGACCGGTGACGGTGGGAAAATTGAAGACCGTAGTCGATGGGAGAGACCTCGAGGCAGACAAAGGGCCTTCTCTGTGTACAGGAACACCGAAATTCTTCATTTGTTGAAGCCACCACTGCGATTTGGATAAAGTGGTATTTTCCTGCGGCACTGTCGAATGTATATCATTATCAACTACATCTTGGAGTCATTAATTTAATATGAGTCGAGTCACAAGGGCTGCTACCGAGTAATGGGTCTCAGGGTAAAACCCTACCAGGAAAAGTATCAAGAGAAAATTCACATTGAAGGCTTGTGTTGAACAGTCCTCGGTGAATAGCGTGGGACTTCTAAGACAACTGGTGAAAACTCAGTATTTCATTTAATATGTCTAACTCTGTCTCTAGAGGGTTAAAAGGAATATTATATATTTTCATGCTTACTAGTAGTGAGCTTGGCAGAAAACGAAATCCACTTATGAACAGGTGTCCCCGAGGTCACTTTGTTGAACCATTTCTTCACATTTTCCACGTCTTTCTCTGATATGGTAATATTGGTTCTTAAATTCGCTCTTTGGACATTGCGCGGTAAATAGTTTGCAAGCACTGGTTTCATGGTTGAAGGCGTAGTAGTCGAAGGAGTATTTGTATAGAATGTTGGCTCCATTGCAATAGGTTTAAGAGTGTAAAGTTTATCGATATCTGGTGGCAATGTAACATACGAAGGAAAAGCTTCAGTTCTAAAAGAATATCTTCTTGTGACTTCACTATGAAAGGCAAAAGTTACAAAATATGATTTATTTGTGATTCCATAATACTTATCGATATCGGATTCTTTATCGAAATATCCGTAATCGTTCTTAAACATTTGTGTTCTATCGTTGAAGCTGGGTCCTGCTTCAGTCATTTTATCATTTGGCCTATGTTTGTAAGCTTCTTTGGTAAAGTATACTTGCGGGAAATCTAAAGGAGGAGGTTCGTATGGGTAGCCAGGGTAGTTTGTGTTCAAAGCGTAGCCCGTAGAGCGCGATATCGGTGGTTGTTGCAGAATTGGCCATGCGTCATCTTTTATTTCTTCTGGACTCTGTTCGGTTTTTTTTATTTCTTCTGTTGTTGGCGCGAGCGTTATTACTGGCACTTCGTTTTTTTCTAGTGTTGGTAAAAAAGTAGATGTTATGTCTTCGTGTATTGTTCCATCCAATCCTGGTTGGCCACCCCAAAACAGTTCAGTGACGTCATAATTTGGAAAGTAAATGTCCCTCTGTCGGAACTTCGGTACTTCTGTATTTTCGTTATCTTTTGATCTGAGGAATGTCCCTTCTTCCTGTAGTTGTTTTCGGATTCTATAGAGGATTGAAGCTATTTCCTTTGTAGGATTGTGTGATTTATTCGGAACCACACGAGTAACATTCTTACCTTTATTTACAGTTTTACAATGGAACAATTCGAAGGATAGGAACAAAGTTATTAGTATCGCTTTCATAGCGAATTATTCACTTCAAAGTCTTTTTAAAACTAGTCAAACGGAATGAAGGATTTTAGGAACTCTAAACACTGTTTGTTACTTATTTTTTAAATCACTCAGTTCATGGTTGGTGACAATTTTCAGAATTGCATATATGCTAAATGCTAGCCCTGTGTGATAACTGTTTCTGACAAAGTTTTTTCAATGTAAGATTGGTTTGAATTGTGTACAATTGATGCTCATTGCTCACGCAATGTGTAAAAAGTTTTATGGTTCAATAAAATTTTAGTATTTTTGTATTGAAATGAAAGTGTAGGCGTGTGATCCGCTGTTTGCCTTGGTTTTTGTTTTGTCTGTATTTCCATATACAATATTTTTTCCTTGAATTAATAGACAACATTTTCATTTTCATCGAATAAAATGTTCAAATAACACAATTACATATACAATAGTGAATGAATTACATATAAATAGCTATTGTGCGTTCAAAAAGTATGCTCTTAGCTTCCGCCAAGGGCTTCAATTTATTTTTTACTGGCTTTTGCCCGCAACTTAGTCGTGTGGAATAGTAACTTCCAGCAGAATTTTGGTTTAAAAACTATCCTATGCCCTTCCTCGAATTCCAAACTATGTCTGCACCAATATTATATTAAATATTATATCAAGTAATAAAATAGAGTCAGTATGTAATATTGTGCGACGACTTCTACCCTGTGTAGCAATCGAGTCGCCCCCTATTACATGGGACTCATACCATAACTGGTGAAAACTGGGTGATATGTGTATGTATATGTACACCCCTGCCTACACATTCGGGGATTATTTATATGTTATTAAGTACCAGTTAAGTGAAAACTCAGCAACAAGTTCACAGCGCACATCACACGGGACAGCAGCAAGCGTCGCTTCTTACACTTCACGCTTGCTTAAGGTGGATTGAAGAATTTATTATTCGAACGGTTTCCTCTGTGTCAGTTACGTCTAAATAATCTTAGAAAGTACATATAGTTTGAACAAAGTCACATCAGTAACTGCTGCATGCATGAGGGTATGGTTTCGGAATGCCCATTCGCCTTGAGAAAGCGTGGTCAATAATACCTAGACCTTCACGTGAGATGAGGTCCTTGCCTAGTAGTAACAACTTATAAATATGCGGATGATGTATGATATCAGAAGTGTCTTAAAGCAAGCAGCAATACAAACATTAAGGAAAATGAAAACAATAAAATCGTTTTATTATATTTTTATTTACTGCGTCGATATATAGTTTGACAAAATAAATATATTTAAAACACGGAAAAGAGTACGAGTTCCTAATGTATTTCAACACATAATTAACCCGAAAATCCACAAGAACAAAACAATAATATAATTAAATGTTAATGTAACACTATGTTTGTTAAACATCTTTGACAGACTTTTCTACTAGACATTTGTACATAACAATCGTATTTTTACTTCTAGTGTGGAACAATGGATGGTGTTTAGTACTTTGCAATTAAGTTGTTACCAATACATTGACGTCTGCTGTTACATTGTGCATTAGCAGGCGTGGGTAGTTCTTTCAAAATATTTCCTAATACTTTCATTACGGCGTTGCTAGTCAAAGTTTTATTCGTATTAACATTTGCATAGTTGATGCTAGAAGCTACTGTAGTAGATATAGGCGTGGTGTTTGTATGGACGTGTCCTTCAGGAGTTGTCCTTCAGGAGTTGTTGGTTGAATGGTGCTCGTAATATCCCTTGCACGTTTTGCTGTGACGACCTTTTCTGTTAGAGCATCTACTTCAGTCACTTTTACAGTACTTGTGTATTTTGTCGTGGTCGTACTTGGTGATGATGTTGCAGACGCGGGTAGATCTTCAACATTATTTTTAAATGCATATACTATGGCGTCACTAGTCGTAGTCTCATTCGTATTTGCAGTTGTAAAACTGGTGGTAGGAGCTACTGTAACAATTATTGGCTTCGTGTTTGTATGAACGTCTCCTTTAGCAGTCTTTGGCTGAATAGTACTCGTTGCAACTCTTAAAGCTTTTGCTGTGAAGAGTTTAGCAGTTGTAGTCTTTACTTCAACCGTTTTTACAGTTGTTGTATATTTTGTCTCAGTTGTACTTTGTGATACTTTTGTTAAAGTATTAGTCACGATTGATTGATTGTGTAACACCACTTGTCTTTCATCGTTTGACTGCAGTTTAATTGCACCATATTTTAATGGTTTCATCTCCCTTTCCTCATTTTCTTTTGTTGTATAATCAGGTACGATTTCTTTGAAACTGGAACCTTTTTCTTTGACTACTTTGTATTCGATTTGATATTCTGGCTTTTTCACTGAGCTCATTAATTCTTATTGTTTATCTCTAATTACATTGGGTGTCGTGATAATTTTAGCAGTTTTATTAACATGAATACTATTACCAGTATCTTCGCTTCCTGTATCTTTTACTTTATGTTTGACTGTCGTCTCAGCATCTACTTTGCCTTTACTTCTTCTAGCTATAACTTTTTTCTTTGTGTTTTTCGAGACTGTGTTTGTCTTATTCTTTACTTCTTTAAGTTCTTTTTCAAGCTGATGCAAACGCTGTATTATAGAAGGGTCTTTCAACCTGACTTCGTTGCTTTTATCTATGTCTTCAATAGATAGTCCTGCGTCAGACCGTGTATGGTGTTTACTGTATTGTCTCAGATTCCAATTTTGAGGGTGCGATAACATTTTGTATCTTTTGTGAATGGCAGCTGAGGATGCTGGGCGTAGAACGCCTATACGTGGCTTATTACTTGGAAGGTCAGATGTGAGAAAATTTTTCAATTGTTGAATGTTCTTTCTATGTTTCGAGGATGGCGTCCGCAAAATGGATGGGCCTCGATATGGTGCTCGAGGCAATTTTGCCGTTACATTATTTAGTAGTAGGTTCTGGCTGTAAGTTAGAGAATATATTAGTTGCAAGAATACTAGTTATATGTACTTCTTATTTTATTTGTTTCTATCGACGGTTTTTAGAATTCTCTTCGTATTTTCTTAGACAAATCTATATATATAAAAGAAAGTCGTGTTAGTTACACCACTTATAACTCAAGAACGGCTGAACCCATTTTGCTGAAAATTGGCATGGAGGTAGTTTAGAGCCAAGAGAAGGACATAGGATAGAATAGAGTAGGTAGAGTAGGTCAGGTAGAGTAGGGTAGGTAGAGTAGAGTAGGTAGAGTAGGTTAGGTAGAGTAGGGTAGGTAGAGTAGGGTAGGTAGAGTAGGGTAGGTAGAGTAGGGTAGGTAGAGTAGGGTAGGTAGAGTAGGGTAGGTAGAGTAGGGTATGTAGAGTAGGGTAGGTAGAGTTGGGTAGGTAGACTAGGGTAGGTAGAGTAGGGTAGTTATAGTAGGTTAGGTAAAGTAGGGTAGGTAGAGTAGGGTAGGTAGAGTAGTGTAGGTAGAGTAGGGTTAGGTAGGGTAGGGTAGGTAGACTAGGGTAGGTAGAATAGGGTAGGTAGAGTAGGGTAGGAATAGAAGGGTAGGTAGAGTAGGGTAGGTAGAGTAGGGTAGGCATAGTAGGGTAGGTAAAGTAGGGTAGGTAGGGTAAGTAGAGTAGGGTAGGTAGTCAAATGACGGGAGCGACGCCGCGGGTAAGAGCTAGTAAAAAATAAAACCTTAAGATGATTTTGGGAGTGGGATGAGTTGGGAAGATATTCTTAATTATTGTGACCAGTTTGCTACCAAATTGTAAAGAGCCTATATTCAGCAGTGGTCACACAAGTGGCAAAAATAATAATGACGATGATGATTATAAAAAACGATTTAATAAAACTTACTTAACATCCAATCTTACAAGTCCAAACATATTCATAACTTTGTTTGTAGATAGAATCTCATTTTCTTCGAATAAACTCTGTACCTTTTTATTGTTAGTGTATTTCTCTTTTTCATACTTTAGATTATGTTTGTAGGTAGTTCTGTGTTTTGAATCGTGTTTCTTTGCGTGTCTAGTAGTGTCGTGCTTATAAGATTTCTGACCATGTTTCTGTTTTATACCTTCTGTCGTACTTTTATATTTATTACGATGTTTTCCTTTAGATTTGATCTGTTCCTGTTTTTGTTTCTTCTCATGTATTTTGTGAGCTTTCTTGTGCTTATGTTTTCGAGGTTTCGGCGTTGTAGTCGTGTATTTATTCAGTATGTATTGCGGGATTATCCCTGTTGATTCTTCCACCCAGATTGTTAAAACTTTTTGGTTGTCTGGTGTAGTAGCCTTGACAGATCGATGAACAATTTTGAAATGTTTTTGATATTTTGGCGCAAGTGGTGTAAATGCTTCGGGATACAGTGTTACATACCTCATAGTATTGAACTCTTTCTGTCTTTCTAGTGACAGTTGTATTGAATTACTTTCAAGAGTTTCACTAGTTGATGATCCATCTTTGTCTGCCTCGTCTGCTGAATGAGCTGTCAGTTCTTTTTCCTCTTGCTTTATAGTCGGCATGATAATTTCAGGAAACTTCGATTGTGTTTTCTTTTCTTTTCTTTTTTGTTGGATCCTTTCTTTCTGGTCCTGAACTTCACTATCTACAAAATTATTTTTTAAGTCAGTTTGCTTTATTTCAATTCTCTCCAATTTTCTTTCAGATGGCTTCACAGCTTCTTTCTTATTCACATCGTAAAGGAGCGTTTTGTTCGCCCGAGTGTTTGGTATTGCAATTTTAGATGAAGTTCGTTTGTTTTTCTTCATGTACGCTTCTATCTTTGCTTTCAATTCTTTTCTAGTTTTAGGGTTTAATTGTGTGTAATGATCAAATATTATAGATCGAATGCCTTCTCTGATAATCCTGACTTAAAGTATTCCGATTCTTTTCCGAAGTCGGTTTTCCATAGTTATCTATGTAATCAATTTCGGTTTAGAGCCTTGCCCGTACAAGGAATTGATATAATCTACAATTTCTTTTGCACTTCTGTCGTAATTTTCTTCTTTTAACAAATCAAATAAACACATTGATGTACGCCTTAATCACTTTGACTGGCTTTCCTTTAATCGAATCCAATGTAGATCCAATTAACGATCTAAGCTCATAATTGTCCATCAATTCATGAAACTTACAACCTCTATAACGGTACTTCCTAATTTCATCATCCAGAGTTTCCAAAAAATCTATAAAAGTCGTGTCATCATATAAATTTAATATACTGACAGCTTGTTGAACAAATTCACTGAGCGATTTGATGCGTACATCTTTGGAATCCCTTCCATGGCTTCCTGTTTTATCAATTGCAGACTTTACTTTATTTACGAAGTTCTGTATGTTGTCAAGAAACTTTAAATCTGATTCCTTATCTTTGTCATGAAATTCTAGAACAGTTTCGAGAGCCAAATGGACGCTCTTCTCGCTCAAAGGTGAGAACAGAGTACTAAAGAACTACTACTTAAGTTTGCTGTAAATCAAATGAAAACTGATTTAAGAAGTTATAGAAAATATTAATACAGCGTGAAGATTGTCCAGCCAACTGATGGCAGCGAGACGGACTAGTCAACAAAACACGTACTTCATGGGCAGGGGTGTGTATAAGAAGACTTGGCCGCGGTGCATCCTGGGTGCGAGTGACAGTCGGAATATTGATAGAGTTGGAGTGCCTGTCACCCGTCACTGTAAGTACTGTAACCCGGTTGGGTTCTGGAGGCGGCAGGCTCTATACTTGCTGGTATAGAGTGTGGTCTCGGTGAGGACTTTCTTCCGCGCGATTCACTGAACGCAGCAGAGAACGTGGCGGAGGAACAATGCTGGCACTCGTTGTTTACTCAAAAAATGATGGGGACGTTCAAGCGTCCCAGGTAAGAGGATGGGCGAGGGCCTACTGAGAAGCTGGCAAGACCGCTCCCTCAGACTTCACCAAAATGGAGGTAACTGGTAGTTAGGGCCCTCGCCGTGTAGAAAACACAGCACATATGCTAGCCCGAAGACCTATACTGCGTTAGAGTTCGAGCTCCGATTTGCTAAGATAGAGCTCGCCACTGCTCGCGGAGGTCGACCACCCCGACCTATGCAGCGAGCGGAAGCCGTCGGCCCCGTCGAAGGTCACAGTCGAAGAACAGGGACAGGGACAGGGACAGGGACAGGGACAGGGACAGGGACAGGGACAGGGACAGGGACAGGGACAGGGACAGGGACAGGGACAGGGACAGGGACAGGGACAGGGACAGGGACAGGGACAGGGACAGGGACAGGGACAGGGACAGGGACAGGGACAGGGACAGGGACAGGGACAGGTTTGTTATACATTTTATATTTTTCACATAAACTATTTTATGTGTAATCCAATAAAATTATTACAATTTTTTTATTGACACTGAACAAAATAGTTTCCGATTTTTAACAATTTTTATTTCGAAATAGTAACGGGTTTATTAAAATACAGACACTTACAATACCACCAATTGTTACCAGACTGAATGTTTCGAAACAGCAAATTATTTAAACATTTCTAAGTAATAAAAATAACAACAAGCGGGTGTATCGTTTAAAGTATAATCTATTCGAATTACAATATCGCAGCGATTCAACAAAACAAAAAAAGAACATTCAAGACATAATTCCAAACTAGCTATTCTTCATGAGAAACATATGAACGTCTACATATGAAGTTCTATTTATTTTATGATTGACTTGAAAGTGCCTATTCGCTATGAAAGTAATATTGATTACTTTGTTTCTTAATTACGAATTTTTCGTCTGTCAAATTATTCGTAAGGGTAAGCATTTAAATTCGTTTATCATTTAACTGTTACAACAGAGCTTACGGCCCGCCTGATGGTAAACGGACACTTTGCCAAGGTGAAATTGATCAAAAATAGTTCATAATTTTGTTTCAGAACTCTTAAACGATACACTTCTGGCAAAGAAAGTACATAAATCCCTAAAACAAATCGACGCCCTCCTCGACGGAGTCCAAAAAGAAATTAACAAACAAAGGATCATCCTCAAATCTAGAATAGATTATGAAAACGCTTCAATACCAGATGACGGTGATTTTCTGAATTATGACGTCACAGATTTGTTTTGGGGCGAACAAACTGGATTGGATGGGATGACACATGAAGATAAGACATCTACATTATTACCAACACTACAAATAAACGTAAAAGAGATTACTTGGCCAAGTTTGACAACACCTGAGTACACTAGCACATTCTTCACTAGCTATCCATATGGACCTCCAACATTTTACGATTCCATCCCTGGATTACCTGTGCCACAGGAGCCTGTACCGTCACGGAACGATTCTTTTGGTATAATTATAACACCACCCAACTTCGTAAACATGACACATAAAGTTAAAAACGACGCTGATTACGATTATCACAAAGATTTCGGTTCGGTCAATATTGATGTCACTGAAAAATCATTTTTTGCAATTTTACCCTTTCATACTGATGCCACAGTCACTGCTAAAGCTTATCCACCTAATGTTTACTTTCCACTAGATATCGATAAATTTTACACTCTTAAACCTGGTGCAATTGAGTCAACCGAGTCTACAAATACCCCATTGACTACTACAGAGACCACGAAGCCAATGCTTTCAAGATATTTACCTCGGCACGTACCAAAATCAAAAGAAATGTATAATTTGATAAACAGGTTCTGTCCAGTTCGCAAAAACAAATTCGCGATCGAAAGAACGCCTGGTCAAAGATGGACTGCCAGAATTTTATCCTGGGCCGGGCTGACTACCAGTAAGTTATAAAATTTACACCTTTCATTAATTAAACAACTTACCTTCAATGTCCCATGTAATAGGGGCGATTATTCTGTGCACCGCATCCGTAGGGTAGCTGACAGTGGTTGGATGAGAAGAGCTGAACATCGAGCTCAGTGGCGTGCAATTGAAGAGACCTAAGTCCAGCAGTGGACGACATCAAGCTGATGATGATGATGATGATGATGATGATAATGCTATGCACTGGGCACTTCTTCAAATTGCGTGCTCTCATTGAGTCATATCTAAGAACCAATATTACTTCGCCGGATGTGATTGTAACCCGAGAGCCTATGGTCAGTCGCAGCCCCTGCGACCCAGCTAACGAAGCAACCACAGACGCAGTAAATAATCTTACTGATTTCACAGTGCAGCAGACGAAATCCACATTATCAAAAGCCCAATTATGGGTTCAAAATCTAATGAAGAATACCGAAGCTCGTGTACACAGAGAAGGTTCTTTGTCTCCTCCCATATCTCTTCTACAAGCAAAAGACAACGAATTTTTTTTCTCCAGAGGTAATACAAAAAGGTTCACTAAAATCTAATATATTTTATACATCCAAAACCACGCTTCGGAACGAATGGGATTGTCACAGGAAACCTGCGTGGACCAATTCTTGCATTGTGCACTCACGCGATGAACATAAAAATAAATAAAATAAATGTTTCACCCGGCTATCGCAACCGAAACCGTAGTAGCAGTTCTAGGGTCAGTAGGGTCAGTAGGGCGAGAAAGAGGGATGGAGCTATATGTATAGCGCGATTACGGATATTTCGATAAAGAATCCGATATCGATAAGTATTATGGAATCACAAATAAATCATATTTTTAAACTTTTGCTTTTCATAATGAAATCACAGGAAGATATTCTGTTAGAGCTGAAGCTTTGTCTGCTCCGGACTGTCTATTGTACTTAAGGTTATTTTCTATTTTTTTTTTTATATAAATATTAGTGTTTCACTACGCTTTTTGATCTGTGAAGGGATTTTTGTTCGTAGAATCCACTACAATCTCCCATAACCGATGTTGTCCGTTGTGTAAGACGTGTTCAGTACGACGAATTGACTACTGACTGCCTACGGATGAGATGATAACCTTGTCACAGCTGGACTCTATCATTTCACTTTTATCATTATCATGATATTCTGTTTGCTAAATTCTCTATTTGGTTGGGACTTAGATATCGCAGTTCAAGAGGTCCAGGTTTATCAGAAAATGTAACTGTTTGGTTATTTTTTGGTTGTTGTCTGTGTTTAACTCTTAGATGATGAAATCACTACCACATCCATCTCTTCTGCGAAACAAGGCTACTACAAGATGATGATGAAGAGAAATGAAGGATTTTTGCCCATCTTTCTTGTCGAAATATTGAGGATAACCATTGAGAAAGATAAAAATCTTATTAAACTAGTATTACGAGAAGTAAAACCATATGTAAACACTTAAGTGCGCTTTGCTGGTCATCTTATCTCTCTTTCTATCTTCTCTTTCCATTATCTCCTGTCCCATATAACGACATTATTTTTTCTCATATTGCACACGCAGTCAATCCTTTTTTCTTTCTGTCCATAAATTCACATCTATATTAAGCTCAAGCTTGGCGTTTCATTTTCATTTGTTCTCATTACATGTCAGTATCCAGGCGTCAAATTCGGGCTTGTCACAACATCCTCGTTTTCACCTATCTTATTCATAGTTATCTCTATTACATGTAACGTTATCTTATCCCTAATTTAGTAGCCTATCATTCAGATCCATACACATGGCTATATTAAGTTAATTCGACACTACATAAGTGTTATTTCACAGTTGGTATGACACCAACCGGCCAATTTGGTTGGGCGAACCCTTAGCTGACGTTATCATCAAACTTTCCTGGTTCGTAAGCCAAGCCGAAGTTGATTGTGTAAGAAGTAAGTAAAGTTTGAAAGAAGTGTCAATGGCGGATTGAATTACATAATTATAATATTTTTCTTCCAGGCTACTCATCAATGATGTATCAGTTGCTAAAAGCCAGGCAGACTGATGTAGCAGTGGACGTAAACTCCATCATAGAGTTTGCTGATCTGCTGTATGTGGATGACGAGGGAGGGCAACTATTCGATGCCATAGTGGAATATGAGCAATATCCAAATGGTAAGTTAAGAAAGATTTTTTTGTACCCAGCATATTTTTGGCTATGGAAACTAATATGTTTGTATAGCCAAAAACATGCTGAGTATGTCGGGTGGCCAAAGGGTTAAGACGCTTCTCGGTCGAAGATGTTCCAAACTAAACTTAAGTTATCAAATTATAAAATTCACTTTGAGAAAATGTAGGGATTAATGCTCCTACCCAAAGTTTGATGTTGTGTGATGTGTGTATAATAATTGATCAATTATGAATTTTAGGTACTAAAAATGCAAAACAGCTTTGTGGATTTATATTCGACAGTTTTATGAGACCATACCTACGCCTCAGCCATTCAGAGCGCAGACAAACGCTTCTCGACTCTATAAATAGTGCCTTAAAGAAAAGATTCCCTTCACGAAGGTCTATTGGAAGTATTTTTAAAATTGAACGTAAGTTTAAACACAATTAACATACACTAACACATCCATCTGTCGAAAACCTACTATAACCTACTACTATGATCTACTGCTTCAGCTTTGAGGTAACAGGTAGAACTGTACAAATTTTGTACCACTAGCCAAACATAGCTTTTCATAAAATATATGCATTCTACAGCATAAACAACAAACAGAATAAAATCGATATATCTTCAAGAAATGCACCAACCCAGCAGAAACAGAAAACAAAGAAATAATAACAATCATGAACTGGCTGATAACGTCATAAGACTCGACTATATCAAAATGAACAGTACATTACAGTATGTAGATGATCTAAAACCACCAGTCATCACCAATTATTATATCAGGAAAACAACTACAAAAACAAATCATAAATCTACAAAAGAAGATAAGGAAACGACAATAAATTTTAAAAATCTAGTATTTCGTACATATTTGGAAAACCAGAAAGAAAGTAAAATGGATAGTATTAGGCGTATAAATAAAAATCCATATTTCAATGATGACGCTAAAGATGAAATCCGTAACTTGTAATAAAGAAATGCTCAGAAATATAGAAGACGAAACAAATTAAGGATTGGAAGAGGCGATGTGATACGTGGCAACTATTCAGTATTTGTTTCTTTTATATTTAAAGCAATTTGCTAATTGATCGAATGGTTGCAACACTACACACGACCCCGCTGTAAATGGATTTCTGGGAATGCACACTTATAAACTTGTGACGATAGTAGTATTAATACTAAAGGAAAAAATATGTTTTTTATTTCCAGATTCTTAATGGTTTTCGTTTTTCTGTGTCTCAATAGTGTTTCCAAGGTGTAGATTTCTATATAGAGAAGAACGTACAAAAACTTCATTTATAACAACTCTTTTTGAGTTAGTATCAACTTTCGATGGACAGGTCGAGCGATGCACAATTTGCATACTTATTTTACTTCTGATTATAACAGTCTGAATACACTAGGCACGTTTTTTATTACAAAATATCCAATAATAATTAGAGTAAGTCTTCCCAATCAATTGCATGGACATATTGCGGCAACCTCGAGTTACTCGTCGATAAGGACAGGAAGATGATGATGATGTCCGTGTAATGTATGTTGTCAAACTCAGAGAAAAATTCCAATAACGTAATATTATTGGCAATCACGAAGAATCCGCATGCACAATTGGCGCAGTGGCTGTCAGGGGTTAAATTTCAACGCGGGACAACGTTTTGTGTGATCCACAAATCGTTATTTCGGCTCTGGGCGATTTGTGTGCGTAAATGTGTATGTTTGTTAACTCACTCACACATACAGGAGAAAACGCCAAAGTAGGGCAATGTTTTTTTAGAAATAAAATTCGACAAGCACCAACCGAAGCTTTGGCAACGAGGGCTTTTTCTCAGAAACAGTAAATTCCTAATGTTTTCAATTACTGTCGTTAGTTTTATGATTCGACCTCGTTTTGGTCCCGTGCTGTTTTCAAACTTTAAACAAATTGATTCACGTCTTTACTAAATCCTGTATTCCTTTTATGGCTTTTCTTTATGGAAGAGGAGGAAAACTGGTGTACTGATCACTTGATGGTAAATGATCGACGCCGCCCATAAACAACACCAGGAGAGTTACAGGCGCGACGCTATCAATAATCATATTGGTTCTTGATAGCTTCGCGTTCCCTTCGGTTGGTTTGCGATGTAGATTCAATATGGATTGTTTTGTAGTTTCCTCACGGGCGGCTTTCAAATGATATTTCGAAGATACCGCTTTGTAACGTCTCTGCGTTTGTAACAGGATTCACTCTTCTCAACTTGAAGTATTTTTTCTCATTCTTTTTATATTTGATAAGACGGCAAACGAGCTGACAGATTACCTGATGGTAAGCTATTAACGCCGCAACAATGGACGAGTGTGTTGCAGACAGGTTTAGGGGATAAGGTATTTGGAGATTTTGGGATTGGGGAGGGGTTTTGGTAAGAGGAACGATTGGGCCTCTGGTCTCTCCTTCATTTGTCGTCTATAAAACCTATCTTTTCTTTGTCTCTTTATTTTTGTCCTTAAATTATGAACTCGAAGGTTTCGTTGTTTGTGTTTTAAATGCAGCTTTCTTTTTATTTTATTTTGCGAGTTGGAAGTCATGATTGCCCGTAATTGCGGTAAATGCTTCGTCTCTCTTGCTGCAAACGTAATTTTGAATTAAACAATAGTGACTTTTGACAGTTTTTATTCGAGGGAGTTTCAAACTCTTTCTAACTGCAGGAGAAGAAACGAAGTGAGTTTTACTCCGTTCCTTCTCCTGCTCTCTACACACAGCCTCGATATTCTGGCAATGGATGAGCGACTAACCTAGACTCAACTAAGAATTAAATCTATTTCTTCAAGTGGTCGGTCAAGCTTACCTTTTATTTTGGAGTCCAAACGCTTTTGTTTAAGTGTTTTCGAAGTGAATTTTGGAAATCTATCTCGTATTACTTTATTGATAAAGTCTATTAACCTCTGACTCCGATCCGAGTTGTGGAGGCGATAGAATGGATGTAGGAAGTTTTCTATTAGACTGGAGCAAAGTAGGTCAAAAGATTTTGATACTGAAAAATGTAAAAATGTTGTGAATAAACATAGAATCGCAATGATTATATGGATTACTCCATATAATCATTGCGATTCTATGTTCATTGCCAATAACTTTACCAAAAAGGCTAGAATTACTATCAGAAAATGCCTCGAATTCTCTCAAAGAATTGAACAGTGCCTCTCCTTCTTCATCGTCATAGAAAAAGTCTGCATAATCTATTATTAAGTTCACTTCGACGGAGAGTGCATGCTTCCTCTTACGTAGCATGTGATACAACGTGGCTGCTTGAGCTGGTGAAGAAAAGGATCCATTAATATAAGATGTTGGTGATAGAGCTTATCTGCTAAATGTAAGTAATATGCTCTACAGGGCAAGTACTACCTTTTCACAGAAGCGCGTAAAGAGTTGACATATGTTTCTGCGTCAAATCAGTCGAAGATTTGATTGGCAACGTTCTCGTGATACATCTAGTGTTGCGAGTGTAGCCAAAGTCAATTAATTTATTGCACTATTACAGACAGTTTTCACATCAAACAAAGATAAAAGATACAAAAATGACTATCTGATGGTGTGACTCTTAGTGAAGATATTGAGATAGAGAAGAACGAGCTAGAAACTCCGTGGTAACTCTTTTTCAAACAGTTTCACAGATTCTCTGGTACCTTATTAAATTGGTTCCACTATTTGAGAATAGAGGAACACTGGACTTTGGTGACTGCTTTACATTAAATTTGAGCTCTGGTTCATTAAAATTATATAAAAAATCTGAAGTATTTAAACTCACATCTAATAAAATCGACTGGTCTTTCAAACATTAATCTTGATACTTTTACAGTGATGTCTAGCAACGGGCTTCCGAGCCAGGTCAAGCTTCCATTTTTATATAGCCTGCAATAATTTACAGTTGAATATATTTTTAGAACATATACTGGCATAGATTCTTGTGTCACATAACAAATCTTTTTCGCCACTAAAGGAAAAGATAAACTGTCTGGAGTCTGTCAGTAATCAAAAGATTAATTTTATAGTTATCCAAACTTTGAATGAATTTGCCTTAAAATTTTATAAATTTCAATCATAATGGCCTCAACCAGGTGGAGCCTTTTAAAACAGAATGCAAACCTCACAGATTGATAATATTCAATGGTATAATTTCAAAATTACTCATCGATTATAGTTTCCATGTGTATAATGACAGCTTGAACGTGATCCAGATCCTGTTCAGAAATTATTCTACAAAGTTCTATTAGAAATATCATCATATATCCTTCATCTAGTTCATTCATCATCTTGAGGTAGTGATGATTCGGCGACTTGGTCGATGCAGTAGAAACTAAACCTGTAAACGATACTCATGTTTAAAACCTTGCTACTATCAGTTGACCTCTCTACGTTGTTCATGGAGATTAATCAAGTTACCTTGTGTTAAATTTTTTAAAGATTTTAAAGGTAGATAAACAAGTCTTCCATCAATTACAGTAGTTTTAAAAGTACTGTGTTCTTCATTTTGTGTTGAGACATGGAGATTGCCATTTGACTTTTTTACAAATTCTTTATATTGTTTCGTTGTTAGATAAGAGTAGTTTGAATATGATTTTCCAATTATGTTGTGCTGTAAATCAATTCGTCTGCTTGGTACAGTACGGTTGATACGGTTGCGTCTGTGTTGAGCAATAGGTTGAATTTTTCCGACATTTAAATGCCATCCTGGTGATATCCGTTGAGCTGTTGGAGAAAAATGATTAATTCTGATTAGAAACTTGAAAGGTGCCAGTTAACTGACATTGAGAATCAGCATTGAAATTTTAGTTCTATTACAAAAACAATAAAAGTCTTACTTGCAAAATACTTTCCTTTAATCTTGCATCTGTCAGGAGACGCAAAATTAGACATCTCTTGTTGCCACAATCCAAGAAACTTGTCTGTAGTTAATTTGTATGATGACGACGTACGAGGAGGCATATTAGACTTAAGCGAAGAAGGTTTCAGATTTGAAATCGAAAACTGTGTAGCGTTAAATGTTGATAGGGGAGCTAAAGGGCCTGATGTTTTAGGTGGTGAAGAGATTGTAGTTATTTCAGAGTAATTTGGAAAAGAAGATGGCACCAAACTTTTATCGAAATAAAGCTTCGGCTTGGATGTACTAAATTTGTTGAAGGTTATTGGCACAGTACTATATGCACTCCAAGGCGATGAAGTACTGTTTGTCTTGCTCAAATTGGCAACTTCTGCTATTAAATTATAAATCTTAATAAAATTTGCAGGTGCCGTTTTTGTAGAACTTGAAATCGGTGAAAATAAATATGCTGAATCAATAATTGGTAAATTCGGTGGACGAAAGGACTTAATTTTTGGATAAGTCGAAGATTCATAGCCAGGCGCTTTGGACCATAATGTAACAGTGGTTGGTTTAACCGTAGAGGACTTTTTGAATTTATTTCCAGTTGTTGGTCCGGTTCTGGCAGAAGTACCTACAACGTTTTCAATTCTTCCAGGAAACAGAAACAAAGGTTTATTGACGTAATCAGGAGGTTTAAGCATTTTTAAAGTACTATTAGTGGGAGTAGATTTAGTGGAGCGAAAGTTATTCGCCAATGATCCAGCTCTAAGGTCCAGATGTATTGTCTGTTGCACTCCTTTGTCGTTTCTATCAGTTTCTTCCCTTTCCTTGTTCCATATCGCTGCTTTCTCTTTATTTAATACTATTGCCAGATTACTGAAGAAGGCATTAACTTCTTGCATGCTTTCTCGGTGCCTTCTCATAAGCACTGTCTCGTTAAAATTATCTGAAAATCACATTCTTAGATTTAATGTTATCTGAGAAACTTTGGTGCATTTTCAAACCTAGAGTTAAATATTATTTTCAAATCAGATAATGGTAGTTTAAGCCTAAAGAGATCAGTTGCTTCATGAACAAAACTAATATAAAGGAAACTTTTAATAATAAAAGGTTTAAAATATTCAGGTATTATATAACGTTATTTGTCTTTAAAGTTTAAAAGGGTAATTCTCCAAAAAGATAAATCATTAGTCTGCCGGGCTGCTTAGCATCTTAACTTGTTTTTTAATATTTTCAATTGATGTTAATTGGCAGAATCCTTAGTTTTGGGTTGAGGATGATGGCATCACCCTAAGGTTGACTGGTGAGAATGCCTACGGCATTAAGTCCGCCTATGTAATGTTTTGTAGCATAACGACGAATTACCTAAAACCAAAATATAACAGTACCTGTTTTTCCAGCATTACAGTTAACTAAACTATAATGTAAGAATAAATATAATGATAATATTAACACATTTAAACACATGCTATTATTTATATCTCTATTTTTCTTTATTTGTATTTAACTGTGTATTCACTATTTTCATTTTATATAATAAACACAAGAATTTAAGAAAAGGAAACAAGTCTAAGAAAAACTAGAAACTGTTGAGATCGAGTTTGAAATCGGTAACATTTCCAATGTTTATCGTCAATAAAATAGTTGTAATAATTTTATCTGATTACAAAATATAAAAATAGTTGCTCAAGCAATTTACAACAAGTTTTTCGATACAGTAAAATGTTAGTATTTTTATATTAGAATGGAGGTGTGCGCTTGTTTTCTGCTGTTCTTCGTATTAGGTATTTATGTATTTTACTTTTATTGTATTTTCCAATGAGTTTCCTATTACTAGTGCTTCCTGAATACTGAGCAATATCTGTATTCCGATATATTTAGAAGGTATTTGAAGATTTTTTTATTCAAATCTGATAGTAATGTCGTTGATCCATCGACTAACATTAAGATATCTCACTTTTCATCACAAAGACACCGTCGTGTAATGAATTATACCGTCATACAGAATCGTTACAGAATTCTATTAAATCATTGACAGACTGGCACAGACAGAGGCAAATCCTTCGCTAGCATCGTTGTCATATATCCTCACTGGTGCTTAATGTGTTAAAATATACTTACCTAAACCCATTCAATATTCACAAGGCATGCAAAATACTTAAAATAAATATAACAAATCCCATGTTTCAGCATGTACAAACACACTACAACAGCAACCAAAGAATTCAAGCAGAAATGTTAATTTGGCTTTAGAAGCTGTTTTAGAGTTTGATAACAAGGACCCAGGTGACATACCACTTTTAGACAACATTAAAAAGTTAATCGATAATCTTAAAGATGCAATGCGTGATAATAAACGGAGGAATTCTAGAAGATCTTTAAGAGAAAACACGGATATTCTAGGAACATTAAATGACAAAATTAAAAGACTAAATTATTTAGAGAAAGAGTTACATGAATTGAAGCAAGCCAACTCTCTGAAGGGTTGTCCAACGAACAACAAAAACCAAACTGTACAATGCTTAACAAGAGGTAGTAATGGAAGAGATGAAAAACCTGATGAAGCAAGAAAAAGAAGTTTGATGAAAGGATTTAACATTTCAGATAACATGAGCGATCTTGTTGGTGAAAAATGCGATAAATGTAACGCGACCAGAATATATAGAAAGGTACTAAAGACAAATATGACAGAAGTGAAGAAAACTATGTCGTCGGACCAAACGTCGAATGTTAGACTAAAATCTGATAAGTTATTTATGACAACATCAAATATGAAACTACATAATAGAAAGACGAAACCTCATCACCATCACCATCATCATCATCATCACAAAAAGTTAAAATCAAAATTGCCTCACACAACTTCGAAATCAAGCCATGAAATAGAGGCAGACCAAAGAATATTTAGATCAAATGACACCTCGTCATTGAATGAAAAACAAGTTACTTTTACACCGGTGGCGACCGAAACTACGTCAACGGCAAATTTGTCTCTAGCAACACAATCAACCAATAAAATGATTCGTTATTTTAACAGCATCTTTCTTCTAGACGATAGTTATGTCTCAAAGGATGACAGAAAGTATGAGCATAAAACAAAAACTTCTACTGCGGAAATGAGTAATGAACTGAGTGATACGAATTTCATAAGTCATAGAGCGAAAGACTGGGCAAGAATTACAAGAGGTTTGGAGTTTTCTTCTCTTCCGCATTATGATATATTTCACCCGTCCAAGGTGTGGTAATAAAGATCAGTATTAAAAACTTAAGATCTATAACCTGGTGTATGTTTCATTAATAAATTGTGTGTGTGGCGAAGGTAGACTTTTTTATTTTCTGTTGAATAATTTTAATTCCCTTTCTTGGCGATGAGCCTCCTCGTTGGGCACCAAAATGTTGTAGGGCTAGCCCAGGTACAGTTAAAGGGGCCTTGTAGTTTAGCATAGGTTGTATTTTTACCGACTTCAAAAAACGGAGGAGGTACTATGTTCGGCTGGTTGTTTTTTTTTTGTATGTCGCCATTTATGAACCGATTTCCAAAATTCTTGTTTTGTTTGAAAGGTTGTACTCCCGAGAGGGTCCCATTTTCATGAGGTCAGGATCTGATGATCATGCCATCCCACTTTAACGTGTATCATACGATTTATTCTTGTGTGCATTAGTAAGCCGTTTTTGAAAATCGAATGTTGTTTATGTAACCTATCTACACCATTTTACTAATAATATCATTGCTCCCGTCAGTCTCTCACACTCGAGGGGTCTTTTCGTCTCGTCGTGGTTTTCTGTGGGGTCGTGGTATCACTACGGCCAAGCCGATCCATTCGTGTCAAACCATTGATCTTCGACGCTTCGAGCATGTTTCTCCCACATTTTAAGACCTGGCAGGCCAATACCCAAAAATGTTTTTAGACGTAGATTCAATAATGAACCGATTACAAATACATATACAGAGTCGGTTTAAAATTGTCACTGGGACACTTCGACACAGGTTTTCTGTACCTAACTACATAGTAAACTTAATCAGTAGACCCACCAAGGAGTTCACAACTAAACTAAATAAATGTAACAATCAAAAGAACTAGTATTGTCTTGATTCTTAGCTTTTATTGCATCTTCACAAGCCTGTACGATTTCGAGAATAATTCGCAAATATAGGATTTATTGAAGACAAGCAGACAGAGTAGTGAGAGTAAAATATTTTTAAGCTTAAATACGTATTGTATTTAAGCTTAAAAATATTTTACTCTATCAAATCTCTATTAAAAAGCTAGTTTAAAGTGGCCAAGAAAAGATTGAAACAAAACCTAACGTTAGTAATAGAAAAGATTAAAACTAAACTATTCTTGAAAAACTGTGTCCGGACCTTGACAACATACTCGTATCAATATATTAACATTTTGTGGGCGGCGCCGATCACTTACCATCAGGTGATCTGTTTGCTCGTTTTCCTCCTATTCCATAAAAAAAACTATCCTTACACGATCATTACCGTCATCGTCATTATCTTCTTGCCCCACCACAAGTTACTCGGAGTTACCGCAATTAGACAAATTTTAACTATAATGAGGCAGTTTGCAATAAATTGAAAACGTGTGTATTGTTGAATTATTTTATTTCGTTTTGTATTTAGACTGCTTTAATTACAATTATATTGTAAGTATGTGCATTGTGCATTGCTCGTCCAATACATTGATGCTAATTGAGAAAAAGTAGCCGTGAAGTATCTTGCTCGTTCTTCTCCAGGGAAATCCATACGAAGAATATGACGCTTTTAATTTTTTTTTATTTGCATGTTTTGTTTAACGTTCTAAACAACACAAGTCAATAATAATATTACAAGGACACTGAGAGATATATTTTTTTAATTCCTGAGCTGTCACTGTCTTCTCTGATAGTCCATTTAACTATAGACATCGCTTGGAAGGGATACGTCTGAGTCTGTGAAAACAAAAGTATATTGTTTAATTATTATATTATTATTAATAATAAAATGTCACCTTTCACACACCGAAATAGTCCATAGCTGGATGTCTACATAAAAGCCAGTATCAGGCGGGTTGGTAAATACCATTTTTACGAATAAACTAAAACTTCTGTTGAAAATTACCCGAGTTTTTACTGGGAATATTGTGATTATTATCTTCTTTTAAAATCCGAGCATAAGGTTTTAAAGCTTTCATCTTGTTATAATTTTCATTGCCTTGTGTGTTTTTAATAGCATTTTGTAAAGTTTTCGTCATTCCGTCGATTTCATTTGTTGAAACATGACTATTTTTAATTCCGCTAGGTGGCGCTGCACCGAGCATGACGTAAAAGTAGACGCGCCGCATTTAAATTTCTTTTAAAAATAATAGTAGTGCATAAAAGTTAATGAAGACCAAGTACCTTGACAAATTAACAACTAATTACCAAGTGCAAGTGTTATCCAAGTATAAAACTCATAAATAGTGCAGTTATAACAACATAAACTCGCTACTCATAGCCGACCTAAAAGTCAAGAAACAAATTTAATTTTGTACCTATATAAACTTATTATTGTGTTTAAAATAACTAGTAAATAACCAAAACTAATAACAATAACAATTAGAATGTGTGTAAAAGTGCAAAAAAGTGATTAACAGTGATTTGAAAAATAAAAACATCAACCGCCAAAACAGAAAATAAACAAAAAGGATATTGACCCTCTATATTTCTTAAATGAAACTTTCTCTTAACAGTACTCTAATTTTGTCAAGAATTAATATGTTCGAGTGGCTGAATGCACATGACTTTATACTACGAGCACGTGTGAGTAGACGCGAGTTCGAAACCCAGCAAAGACCGTTCACTTTTTGTACGTTTTATAAACAGATTTATTTGTCAAAAATATTAGTCTGTTTCTCCTTGGTAAAATACCTCTAGAAAAACAAATTTCGAAGAAAAAGTAATTTGATTTTAAAAGGAACAAAACTCAACAACTACCACAAGATGGCGTCACTAGTACGATGTTATAAATGTAAAAAAATGGTAAATATAAAGAAAACAGCACTTTGTTCCGCCTGCGATAATCGTTATGAGTTAGATTGTGATGGTTACCCCGAAGCAACGTACAAACTCATAGATCCTGAAGGTAAAAAAAACTGGAGATGCAGAGCTTGCATTAGAAACAAGAGATATAACAATGGTGACGTCATCGAGGCATCCAACGTGACCTTGCGTAAAAAACTAACAATAAAACCATCATCACCGACTGAACTATTACATAGCACAAAGGTGCAACGATGCCTAGCACCCAAACCCAATAGCGCACCCAACAGCACATCATTGTTTGATTCGCAAGTACTTAACGACTGTGAAACATCAGATGAATCCTACACTACTCCCAATAAACTGTCAAGAAGTATGGACGGAACAATCTCAGATCTTATCTCTATCTCTGATATGAAGGAAACTATAAATCAACTCACAAACAAGCTTCAAAGTACAGAAAACGAAATGGAAAACATTTCGTTAGAAAACCAGGACCTGCATAAACAAATTAATAAATTAACTATAGAAATTACCACTTTAAAATCCCTATGTCATTCTTCATTATATGAAAGTCCTGTTACAACAAGAAAATAAAACATGTTCCCTCAAAGCAAAACATGTGTTCAACCCCGTCTTCTCCAGTATCATCAAGAAGGAGCACCAAAAGTAACGACAATGAAATAGTACTAGGATTGAAACAGAAAATTCTATCCTTGGAACAGCAATTAGAGGCTGCTCAAAAGGAAATCACCGCTCTCACTGAACGCATCTATTTAATAACTACTACACCAGTGTCGCCGCCGCCGGGAACTACACTGGTGACGCCGCCGCCGGGAAATACACCGGTGACGCCGCCGCTGCGACTTCGGTCTCCGAAGCACAAAATACACATGATAAGTAGCGAAATCTCAAATAGGTTATATAATATTATTGAAAAGGCTCATTTACATAATAGTGAAATATGTCACTACCGTATGCCTAAATGTGGTCTGAAGGTTTTACTGGACGGTATTGATAAAAAAGTAGAAAACTTCACATACTCTGACTTTTGTATTATTTATATTGGTGAAGAGGATTTCCGTAGAACACATAATTATATAAATCTTGTTACATTTATCCGCGAAATACTTATGCCATTGCAACACACTAATTTTATTATATGCCTACCGACATTTAAATATATGGAGCACACAAATGTAATGTTTAATAGCCGAGTGGATACCTTTAACAACTTGCTATGTTTGGATGTGGAAACATATAATTATGCGTATGTTTTAGACTCCAATTATAATTTGCCTTACACTCATGATACATACAATTTATTTGGAAATCTTAATTATAAGGGCATAAGAGTTGTGATATCAGATCTAGTAGATCTTATTTTGTATGTAAGCACATTGACAATAGATCAAATGGAAGCTGACTGCTCCCAAAAGGCTCAATCGCTTTGTTTCTCAAACACCCAAACACAAGAGGAATCTCGTTTTTTTCTATAATTACCTCAATGTTCTGCATCAAAACATTGCAGGTCTAATTAATAAATCGGATGCCCTGTTAGTGAGATTAGAAGAGCTGTCACATAAAGGAATAAACGTAGATGTCATCTGTATTACAGAACATTTTGTAGAATCGGGTTATGAATATTTACTAAACATACCCAATTATTGTCTAGCAGCCCACTTCTCAAGAAATGTAAAGCGGGGGGGCACATGTATTTTTGTTAGGGTGGGTTATGTGTACAAAGAGATATCTGATATATCAAAACAGTCCGTTTCAGGAGTGTTCGAGTGTTGTGCAATAGAAATGATACCGCACAATATAATTATTATTTGTATTTACAGGGTACCTAAGCAAAATTATTGCGTATTCTATGAAAAGCTACATAACATATTAAAAAAAATAATTTTGCTAAGAAGAAAGTAATCATAACAGGCGATTTTAATATTGATGTGTTAAAGAAAAACAAAATTGCCCTAGAACTAGAATCTTTTCTTTTACAGTATAATTTAAAGTTAGCACTTTACATGCCCACTAGACTAAGCAGTAGTACGTGCATTGATAACTTTGCTCACAACTTTCAAAAGGGATGTAAAGCACAAGTAATCGATTTGGTTCTTTCTGACCACACATCACAATTACTTAAAACTCCCACTAAAAAAACTAGTCTGCTTAAATCCTGGAAAATTGAAAAACAAGAAATCTCCCGCGAAAATTTAATAAAATTTAAATCTTGTTTGGAATGTCTATGGTTTTCACAAGTGTTCAACACAAATGATGCAAACGAATCTTATGACAACTTTATGGAAGATTTTTTGCTTCTATATAAACTATGTTTTCCTAATAAAATCATAACTGTTAAATGTAACAAACGGGTAAAATGGATTTCTCACGGCATTAAATATTGCAGTCAAAAACAAAGGCAGTTGCTTTGGACGTACCGTTTCAACCCTAATTACAAAAACAAACAGATTTTAAAAAATTACACTAAGTTGTATAAAAGAATAATGAAGCTAACGCAAAAAGCACAGAATAACTATTATATTAATACATCCGACAATAAGGCTAAAGCTGCCTGGCAAATAATTAATAACTCCAAATCGTGTTTCCCAGAAGAGTCCATATTAAAAATAAAAATAAATGATTTTATCATTGAAAATCCTACAGACATTGCAAATGAATTTAACAAATATTTTATTGATGACGTTGAAAGTAATATTAGAAATGGCATTCCACCAACTCATAAATCAAATTCTTCTATTACAACATCACAATCATTGTTCATGTCGCCTGTATCAAACCAAGACATAAGTAAAACAATTAATAGTCTAAAAAATACAAGTACTGTTGGTTACGATGGTGTATCCACTAAAGTAATTAAATATGTAAAGGACGTAATAGCGCCACCACTGACTCACATAATTAATTTGTGTATTACTGAGGGCGTATTCCCAAATAGTCTGAAAAGTGTAATTATTAAACCATTGCACAAAAGAGATGATAAAACAAATATTAAAAACTATAGGCCAATTGCAAAAATACCAATATTATCAAAAGTAATAGAGAAAATAATTTATCAGTCTCTTTACGAATATCTTGAAAAGTATAAATTATTCTGTAACGAACAAAAGGGATTTAGGAAAAATACTACAATTAATATGGCAATTTTTGAACTAATATCTAGAATCATATCATCAGTAGATAAAAGAAATCCCATTTGCGCAATCTACACAGACATGACTAAGGCATTTGACTTTGTAAACCATAAGATTTTACTACAAAAACTTGATAGCTACGGTATCAGAGGAAATGTATTGAAACTAGTAGAATCGTATCTCACTGACAGATATCAGTGCACAGAGGTTACTAGAATTTGTCCTAAGACTAAACTGGTTACAACCTACAAATCTAAACCAAGACGTATAAATTATGGCGTGCCGCAAGGCAGCGTCTTGGGGCCGCTGCTATTTTTGATATACATCAATGATTTTCCTAAAGTCACACGTCAAAAAATGGTCCTCTTCGCAGACGACAGTACTGCTATAATTGAATGTAACAATCCACGTACTTACCAAAATGATATTAATAATTCCCTTTCTGAAATCATTGACTGGCTGAATAACAATAATTTAATTATTAATCTAAATAAGACAAAAGTAATGCACTTTTATCAGCGACGAGAAAACCCAACTTTAAGTGTCTCATACAAGTGTAACGAAATAGAAGAAGTCAGTCATATCAAGTTCTTGGGTATAACGATTGACAATAAACTCACTTGGAAGCCTCATACTGAAGAATTATGTAAACGACTTAGCCAATCAGCATATGCGCTCTCCCAGTTGTCGAAAAAAGTAAATATTGAGACCTTATTAACAGCGTATCATGGACTAGTTTGTTCAGTTTTACGATATGGGCTTGTTTTTTGGGGGCAGTCCGCTAATAGAGATCTAGTTTTCAAATGCAAAAGCGCTGCATAAGGGCAATGTGTAATATTAAAATAACTGATAGTTGTGTACCTTTTTTCAAATCCCTAAAACTACTCACACTGCCATCATTGTACATTCTGGAAACAGCGCTATTTGTAAAAACTAATTTACATCTGTTTGTTAAATTATCAGACGTCAGAAAAACTCCTATGCGTACTAAATACTTAAATCAATTATGTCACACAAAATGTAAAACGGCTTTAATGTCTAGAAGTTTCTTTGGTATTGCTCCTAGAATTTATAATAAAATACCAGATAAAATAAAACAATTACCTGTCCACAAATTTAAGAAAACTTTGCAAAAAATTTTAATTGACAAATGTTATTACACAATTGACGATTTCTTAAATGATTAAATTCCTGCCTACAATGTTATTTTTATTATCTTCAGTATTTACTAACTTTATTAGTTTTTTAATTGTGACATTTTTTAATTATGACATTTTGTTAAATTGTAACATGTTTATTTCTTATTGTAAGCCACAAAAATATCTTAACTTAAACTGCAAAATATATTTGTATGTCTTAGCATAGACAAAACATAGCGCACTGTAATTTACCTTTAAGATCTGTATTTTTGTTACCTATGTTTTACAAATAATAAATGATTGATTGATTGATTGATTGATTGATTGATTGATTATTCTATTGTACAAAAATGGGCCTAGGAAAATGAAAAATCTTTTTATAAAGGCGTGTTTTGACACTGATGTTGAATTGCAAACTATGTCATTCCGTCTTTTGTTAGTAAAATGATTAGTATTGAAGGTGAGTAATGAGTGCTATTTACGTATTAATTGTACTATGTAAATTTGGCGAACAGTTAATACATTGCAGGTTTTATATAGAATTGATGTAGGGAAAAGAAAAGGAAGGGTAAATGCTACTTTAAGGATAGCCCTCTGAGCACGTTCTAGAGGTAGAATAACCGTTTTTGATGCACCGCCCCATGAAGTGATACAATACTGTATAATAGACTGACATAAGGCTTGGTACACTTGCGTGATTAATTTCATGTCGCCGATGTATCTAATTTTTTTGAAAACGTGCATCAGCTTTCTGACTCGTGATACCAGAATGCTAATGTGCTGTTTGAAGCAAAGTGTTTCATCGAGTGTGATGCCGAGATATCTGATGGATGTAGTTTTTAGAATACAAGGACAGTTACATGTACCCGCCAGTTTATTTATACATTTATGTGCAAATAATTCAGGTATAATGGTGGAATCTGGTATCTTACGCATAGAAAATTGAATAAATTTTGTTTTGTCTGCATTTAATGTTAGAACAAAGCCAACTATTTACCGAGTTAAAGGCCAATTGAGCGTTACTGTATAATTCAGAGTTACTATTGGACGAAAAAATTAGAGCAGTGTCATCGGCGTATGATATTAGTTTCCCATAATGCATTTTAAGATTACACAGATCGTTGATGTATATTAAGAATAGAGTAGGACCTAGTATACTCCCTTAAGGCACTCCATACCTAGTGTTTTTCTGAAATGAACTTGATACTTACATTAAATATTTTAACACATTGATAACGGTCATCGAGATAATCAGCAAAAAGTTTGAGCTGCGTACCTCTGACACCTATGCATTCCAGCTTCTTTAGAAGCAGTGGAATAGACACAGTATCAAAAGCTTTGGCAAGATCAATAAAGATTCCCAGCACGTGGTTGCCTTTTCCCAGTTCTTGTGATATAAAATCTGTGAGTGTATGTACTGCATCAGCTGCTGACAAATTTGCTCTAAAACCAAATTGCAATGGTGACAAGATGTTATTTTTATCGAGGTAGTTTTTTAATCTAGTATTAATAATTTTCTCGAGAATTTTGGATATTGAGGGCAGTAGTGAAATAGGTCTATAGTTATTTACTGACTCCTTATTACCTGATTTGAATACAGGAACAACTACTGCCTTTTTGAGACATGTCGGAAAAATGCCCTTAGAAAGACACTCACGAAAAATATGCGTCAGTGGGGGGACAAACACGTGCTATAAGTTTTAAGGACTCTATTACTGATGCTGTCACAACCAACTGCACAATTATCCTTCAATCCCGTTATAATTCGAGCAATTTCATATTCGTCTGTGTCTAATAGAACAAATGATTTTTCTGTATAATTGTTTGATTGTCGATAACTTGTATTTGTCCGATTTTGAGAGTATGACTGTAACTGTGTAGCAAGATTTTTACCCACATTTAGAAAGTACTTAGTTATTTACATTGTTAGCAGACAAGTATGATGACGATTCGGTATGTAGTAAATCTGAACACGATTCTTGTTGTTTTGTTGTATAAGTTACATTTTTTATGTGCTCCCACAGCTTTTTACTATTCTTCCCAGCCTGCTGCAATACGCTTTTGTCATAATCATTTTTTAAGTTCTTCAACAGTCTATTGCAAAAGTTTCTGTATATTTTGTAAGTTAATTTTAAATCAAAATTATCTGGAAAACGTTTAGCTCTATGGTGTAGTTTATCCCGATGTCTGATACACCTAACTAGCCCAGGCGTAATCCATGGTTTTATGTTGCAATGTCTGTTTTTTGTTTTTACTGTTGTTGTATTCTGCAAAATTGCTTTTTCTACATTATTAATTAAATACGACATTGACGCATTAACATCAGCAGAATAATAAATAGGAGCGAAGTCAATGTTGCGCAAGTCATGTTCAAATTTGTTTATGTGAAATCGAGACCTAAATTGACGATGATTATGCTTCGGTAGCGAGATGTTTAATATTAGTAAAACAGCATGATGATCAGTTAGTGTAGAGTTAGTGACAAGGCTAATATAGTTTGAGTTAGATTTTACCATCATATGATCCAAACAGGAACCGCTTTGATGTGTTGACAATTTATGAGCTGCTAAAAGTCCATGATATGCACATAAGTTGAGATAATCCTGTGTTCCTGAGTCATAATTCTCGGAATTTATGTTAATATTTATATCACCGGTTAGTATTACATTTCTAAATGAGGTTAGTGTTTGACATGTCTGATTTAATGAATGAAGAAACGAGTCTAAGTTTCTGGAGGAAGGTGGTCTGTAAATAGCTATTATTGCTGTAGTTGTATCAATTTTAATGACCAAGCAATTGCATCCTGGTGTAGTAGGATAGGTAAAGTAGGGTAGTGTAGGTGGTAGGGTGGTGTAGGTGTATAAGGTAGGGTAGGTAAGTAGGGTAGGTAAATAAATAAAATAAATATCGCAACATGGTTGTTGTTCTTCAAGATCCAAAAAAAAAGTTGCTGGGACATGAAACTCCCACATGATACTGAAATATGACGAGGGAAAAGGAATAAGAAGCTGTCCGACAGATGTCATAAATATTTATTTACCAAAGACCAGATTACCATCATGTGTATGATCGAAGGGATCCAACACTAAATAAGTATAATCTGCGGCAGGACGTGTAATGGGAGAGTTATATCTTCTTAAATTACAACTAGTTGTCGACGCTTTAATTCGACTTGTCATAAACGCATTGATATTTAGCCTTGCTTCTTTTTTACTTACTTCTGTAACGTTTACAGTAGAATTTGATTCAGTATTGATGTAATTTCTCTTGGATTTTCGATGTGCTTGCTTCTAATAACAGGTTCTATTTGATTAGTTTTGTCAGATTCGTCATTCGCTCGCTCATATTTGTTTCATCGTCAGAATGGACTTTGTCAAATTCTTCTGTAACTAAAGTTTCGTAACGTTGTGTATAAACGTGACGTAGTTTCTCCTGGAAATACTCTATGGAATTCGAAGACGAGTCTAAAACATCTTCTGATCCCATTATGTAAATCGACTTCTTTCTGCTTTAAGTCTACCTTCTCTCGTTTCTTAGCTCTTGCTTTCATACTAAATGCTTCTTTCAAATCATTACTGGACTCTCTGTCTTCTGCTCTAGGTTCAGATGTTACGTGTGCAGGCATGAACTCATGTACAGGGAATGTTATCACATTCGCTGATACATTGAAGTTATTAGTAGAAGACGGAATATAAGAAATACGGTTTATGTTAAAAGCTGAACTTGACGTAGCTTGAATCTGATTCAAAATCGTCTGTATTTTTTCTTTCAATGCTATTTTAGCGTTCACATGTAAGTTTGTATAGTAATCGAATATTAAAGTCCTTAGACCATCTTTTACAATTTGCTTCAGATTACTTTCTAGTCTTCTAACTTTGGGCTTGCTGTAATATTCCAATTTATTTAAAATCTTTTCAAATTTGTCTAGAGTTTCGGGTCCATACAAGGAATTGATAAAATCAACAAAATCTTTGACTTTCTTGTTATATCTTTCGTGTCTGAGTATATCGGCAAAAGCATTTATATTAGTTCTTGTTTGAGATACCGGTAAACCACTGATCAAGTTCAGTTTAGCTTGCAACACCCTTCTAGTCTCATAGTTTTTAGTGAGTTCAGAGAACTTACATCCTCTATAATGATAGTTCCCAACTTCTTCATCTAAAATATCGATGAAATCTCCAACCGTAGTTTCATCATAAGTATTTATTATTTGAATCGCTTGTTGTATGAATTCAGTGAGGGTTCCTACTCTTGGTTCTTTGAAATGGATTTTGGGTACCTTACCGACAGCTTTAGGTTTTGCAAATAGTTTTGTGGCGATGTCAAGTGTTCTCTCTTCATTTAGATGGAGTTTGTCATTAAATATTTGTTTGAGAATTTGGCCTTGAATGCTGGCTTTGATGATAGCTGAAATTAAATTGATTATTTTGTAAAATTTGTGAATCTATTTTGTCGTAGTAGCTTTGCAATTTTTTTAATATTGAAAAGAAATAAGAAATTTTAATGGCAATTACAAAATATTTTATCAGGTATAACTGTTTCACATGTCTCGCCGTTTACCCAGCATGCAAAATTTGACAATTATCGTTGTGGGAAGTTATAATTTGAAATATATTAACTATATTAATGAAGCTTCTCAGCAAATTCGAGAAACGAACAAAAAATTCATAGGTACTTATGCAATTCAATATCTTTTTTTTTCACAAATCACTTTTTTCTTATAGAAATATAAATAGAAAGCTTTGACGGATACGGATAGATTAAAGATTTAAGACTTATAGAAAAAAGAGGTGGTAGCTAATAATCTAGAAATAATGTTATCAACTAATACATCTGCATCGCCGATCCGGAGATCGTACTGTTTACGGTTAGAAGCAAAAAAGTAAGTTTTTATGGACGTCATTGTATGGAGTGAGATCTTTAATTGGAAACAGATGTACCTCCAAGGTATAAACATTATCAAATACAAGGCTAAGATCTTTATATTAACGTGCCTTATACATTTATAATATTTGGGAGTAACTCAGTAAAAATATGATGAAAATAAAAACAAAATAAATACCTAATAATGTGAACAGCTGAACACAAGCGCACACATTCATTTTAATATAAAAATACTAATATTTTACTATATCGTCAAACTTGTTGTAAATTGCTTGAGCAACTACTTTTATATTTGTAAACCGATAAAATTATTACAACTATTTTATTGACAATAAACATTGAAATGTTATTTTATAAAGTTCAGGTGCTCTCTTGGCAAATATTTTCATAAACAATACATTTGGAACGGATTCGAATCGGGTAGATATTCGATTTTGGAGATGTTTTACAACATTATTAATATTGTGTAAATGAATGCGAATTTGACGTAACAGTTATGAATAATGCTTCTATTTTTTATATTTTTGTTTGTGAACTCTAATTTGTTATTTGGTCAGCAGTTTCAAGCAGGTTTGTGATCAACATATTTTGTTATTTTATTGATATGGAATATAAAACAAGAAACACCATGATCTCTAAAAAATCTGTTACATGTCAAAATACAATGTCCTATTTCGTGAGGTTTTTAAAAAAATATTATTCACGTGCACGGACGCATGGTATTGTCTTCATGAAATCATCAACAACACATGTTATCGAGGAAAGCGCCATATACTAGACAAATACAAGTAATTTTCAACGAAGCCTACCTCCCTACCAGCTTTACTGTTGCCATTTCCTCCTTCTTCAACAACTGACGACTCACATTGTACTAGTGAGTCTTTTTTACATAGCGATCATCGTGTGTTTTTTAATTGAATGTGGCCAACTTGGCTAGTGCCCCCTGCTGTATGCTCACTGTCAGCCAGTTGTATTTAGAATCTCATACAATACCATCAAACAATACTACCAATTCAGAGTGGAAACAACGACTGTCGCAACCGAGGGCCGGGCACACTACCATAGCAGCGGTAAGACCCCTCTTTGAGGAGTGGCTTGAGAGACGCCACGGCGTCCTCACCTTCCGTCTGACGTAGGTGCTTACCGGGCACGGCAGCTTCGGTAGGTTCCTGTTTCGGATTCAGCGGGAGGAAACGCCCGAGTGTCGTCATTGTGAGGACCACCTAGAGGATACGGTGGAGCATACGGTAGCGGTATGCCCTGCCTGGGCTGAGCACCGCCGTATCCTCAGGGAAGTGATCGGCGGCGGCGACCTCTCGCGCCCGGCCTTAGTCGAGGCCATGGTGCGGAGTGAGAGGAACTGGGACGCCGTCTCCTCCTTTTGTGAAGCAGTCATGCTCGCAAAGAGAGAGGCGGCCCGCGTGAGGGAGCAATCCTCCTCCTCACGCCCCAGCAGCCGCAACTGGCGACACTACGGGCGTCGGGGATCGAGGGACGATCTCCGGCCACCGTAAGCACGGGCCTGCGGTCAGCGAGGTAGGGCAGCTCGCCGCCCGACCAGAACCAGGCCCGAGCGTACGGCGCGTAGCGTTCCGCGCGCGCCTCAAAGAGCCATTCGACCACCACAGACGGGGCCCTAAAGGGCTGATGTTCAGCCGGGGTTGCGGGGTAAGCGCAATGAGGTACCGCGACCTCGGCACAGAGCAGGAGAAGGAACAGTTGGGTTTTTAGTCAGTAAGAGTCTGACACTCCCTCCTGCCCGGCCCTGGGCGGGAGAAGTCATTTGATGATTTTCCCTTCACAAAAAAAAACAATTAAATTTCATTGAAAATACTATCGTTAATAGTAAAACTTAATAAAATTGCTATCAGTGTCAGCTACTACACTAATAATAATCTCATAATTAACTAATACCTCTAACCTACAGCGCAAAGAATTATACCATTTGAGGGATCTGAAAATCAGATTGAAAGGCAAAGTCAAACGACTGTAGATCCAGTTCTTTCATCAGTTAGTTTATTCGGATGAGCAGAAAGAGGAGATTGTAAAACTCATAGAAAAACAAGTCGATATACCCATAGAAGACATCACTGATGAACAGCACGACAGCAAAATGGTACACCAAGACACTTTGACCAAACAATCAGATTCCAAAGATGTTAAAAGTAAAGAAATAATCACAGAACCTAAACCGAGTGTGGCCTTAGAAGAAGCAAATGTAAGAAACATACCTATTAAGGTAGTGACATCTGACGGAGATGCAACTAAAACAAAATATCGTAAAAAGGAAGGAAATATTTCATCAGATGACCATCATAAAGAAGAGAATGAACCTGCTGCGGAACGTAATGAAAGTACGCCGGAAACTCCTGGTAGAGCGGGTGATAGTAAAATTATTGATATCAGTGATGGGAGTGGTGAAACGCTTATAATAGATGGAATGGATGACGCGCAACTAGATAAACTTGTTGAAATAATTAGTATGGAAAGAAAAAACACAAAAAAGGAACAATCGACAGAGAGAAAACAATACCGCGACGATACAACATCAAGGAACCTCACAAAACTGGATGGACCAAACGTACGAAATGTGACTACGGTAATGAAAGTAAATATAAAACGTTAGTAGTAACTTTAATTTCTTCTACTAATCTATGATTTAAAAATGAATCGCAAAATGTGTTGGTAAGCGCGTAACTCAAAAATGGCTGGATCAATTTTGCCAAATCCTTTTGTTTTGTATTTATTATTGTCAGGAGAAGTTTCCAATGAAAGAAAATATTAGAAAAAGAAAGGGAAAAGTTGGAGAAAAGGGTTTCATTGTTAGCGAGATAGTTAGACTCGTGCGAAGCGAGGGTGGGCCGCTAGTGATATCATAAATATGATTACAGCTTGTATAGAGTCGTCACTCGACCTAAGACAATAGTAATTATAAGTTTATCTGCTATCCAGGTATACCGCAATCTACAACCACGATGCTTCCATACTTCCAAATGATTGATGATCTGAATGAGGGGTATATGGTGGTGTTTTTAATCGAACTGATGAGGATCATGGCTTATAAAGACAAAGATGATCTATTTGAAGTTCTCGTTCATACTGAACAGATAGTGTTGCAGTGAGTATAATATACTTTGTTCACTTTCTTTCTTCGATTTTTTTCTCAATTGCTTTCGGCTTTCGTGTTGAACTTTGAAGAGGCTGTCTACTTATGTGATAAGATTAAATTAACATTATCCATTTCTCTTTCAGACTCTATCAAGCTGGAAAACTTATCTGGCTCGGTCAGCCTCTCTTAGATATCACAAAGAAATTGGCAAAATTCGTCGCAGAAGCTGAAACGAAAGTTCTACAAAGTAAGTCATACACATGGAAGCTGTGACCCATGTAGTGTTTTGACCAGTCAATTGGTGGTAGTCAGGTTCACTTGGCAACGACACAGTCACGTACTTGGATACCATCCTGAGCTCATGTTCACAACATATAATTAAGCGGGTAGTTACACGTAAAGTAGTAAAGTAGTGAATTTTCGCGTTACTAACCGCTTAGTTCTATGTTGTTAACATGAAACGCGAAAGTGTAAAAGTTAGGTAATGTTCACATGGGAATTACATTTATTCTAATGGTGTTCTTGCAGAATACGCTTTGGAACTAAAAAGGAAGTTAAGTGGGCGTCAGCAAGAGCTATCTTCTGAAGTAAATACCATCATAGACTATGCCGATATGTTGTATGACGATGAAGAAGGCAGGAAGCTCTTCAGTGTGCTCAAAGATTTTGAGGAATATCCTAACAGTATGTACTTATCGCATATTATTCGATTGATGAAATCTGTTGATTCGGTTTTGATTTTGATTTCTTACGTATTTTAGCTACACAGCGGGGCTATACAGTATGTTTAGCATTGATAGAAAACTTCCTTAAGCCATATCACCGACTCAGTAATACAGAGCTACGCCGACAATTGCTAGACTCTATTAACTTGGAGCTAAGAGCTAGAATTCCTGTGGCAGACCGAGAGGGGAATGCGTTGAAATTTCTAGGCATTAGCGAAGGTACGTTAAAGTCACTGCTGTTCCCTCAAGCTATTAACAACCTGAATAATTACAAATTTTATAACCACCATTACTTTCATAGAAATGCAACAAAGGCCGTCAGTGGAATCAGACAGCGGTACAGTCTTGTTTTCAAGGAAAATACAAAATAAATTGAGACAGAAACTACAAAAGCTGAAGTCGAAACCAAAGCATACATCAAACAAGAGGAAAAAAACAATAACCCAGCCAGATTACAGCAACGAAAATTTGTTTTGACGTAGATTCAGTAATGAGCCGATTGCAAGTATACAGAGACGGTTTAAAATTGTCACTCGGACACTTCCACATAGATCAACTGCATCTAGCTACACAGTAAACTTAATCAGTAGACCCACCAAGGAGTTCACAACTAAACTAAATAAAGCTAACAATCAAAAGAACTAGTATTGTCTTGATTCTTAGCTTTTATTGTATCTTCACAAGCCTGTACGATTTAGAAAGCACTCTTAAATTACGGAATGGAAAGTTTTTATCATAGAAATGCGATTCATTTTCATAACAACAAAACGCTTTTTCACAGTCAAATGAGGGACAGAATAATTCGCAAATATAGGATTTTATGAAGACAAGCAGACAGAGTAGTGAGAGTTAAATATTTTGAAGATTAAAGACGTATTAATAAAAAGCTAGTTTTAAAGTGGCCATGAAAAGATTGAAACAAAACCTAACGTTAGTAATAGAAAAGATGCCAACTAAACTATTGTTGAAAAACTGTGTCCGGAGCTTGACAACATACTCGTATCAATATATTAACATTTTGTGGGCGGCGCCGATCACTTACCATCAGGTGATCTGTTTGCTCGTTTTCCTCCTATTCCATAAAAAACTATCCTTACACGATCATTACCGTCATCGTCATTATCTTCTTGCCCCACCACAAGTTACTCGGAGTTACAGCAATAAGAGAAATTTTAACTATAATGAGGCAGTTTGTAACAAATTAAAAACGTGTGTATTGTTTAAATTATTTTATTTCCTTTTGTATTTAGACTGCTATAATTACAATTATATTGTAAGTATGTGCATTGTGCATTGCTCGTCCAATACATTGATACTAATTGAGAAAAAGTAGCCGTGAAGTATCTTGCTCGTTCTTCTCCACAGGAATCCACAATTTGCACATTTTGTTGAACGTTCTAAAGATCCAAAATTATATAACTCAACTATAACATTAAAAGGACATAAAGACAACATTTTCCTTTAAATTCCTGACACTGTCTTCTCTGACAATCCATTTAACTATAGACATCGCTTGGTAGGGATACGTCTGAGTCTGTGAAAACAAAAGTTCATTTTAAAAATAATAATTAAATGTCACCTTTAACACACCGAAATAGTCCATAGCTGGATGTCTACATAAAAGCCAGTATCACGCGTCAGGTGTTTAGAAAGTGAAATTTCAAATGTGATCCATTATTTTGACACCACAGCGCTTTTATCTGGAAATACTGATCAAATACTATTTTTACAAATAAACTAAAACTTCTGTTGAAAATTACCTGAGTTTTTACTGGGAATATTGTGATTATTATCTTCATTTAAAATCCGAGCATAAGGTTTTAAAGCTTTCATCTTATTATAATTTTCATTGCCTTGTGCGTTTTCAATAGCATTTTGTAAATTTTCCTTCATAGCGTCGATTTCATTTGTCGAAACATAACTATTTTCTTCAATCGTCGGCGTTTCATCAAAATCATTATAATGTGATTTCTTATTTATATGACTGTCTACATTCATTTTGCTTTCTTCCTGGTTTTCAAAAGATGTATCTAATAATATTTTTTTGTAATTTATTGGCGATTCGTCATATTCATTATATTTTACTTTGTCTTTAGAAGATTTAAAATATATTTTATTTTCCGCGAACATATTATTGTTGACGACTGGTGTTATCATAGCGTTCGCATAGTTTGATGAGCGTTTCAATGATTCAATATTTTTGAGTCGAGAAGAGAAGTGTTTTATGACGTCATCAACAACTTCTTGCTTCTTGATTTTTCTCATTCTTTTGTTTGTGTTGCGATTGTGTAATTTTCGAAGATATTTTGATTTAGCTTTAGTTGCTGTGAAGGGTACATAATCAAAATAAAATTAAAATTATCTTATAAATTTTGCAAGAGACAAGACGACAACAAAAGTCTTCGTGTGCTGTGTATTTGAGAAAATTTGTGAACGCACCCACGACACAAGAGACAATATAATACTCGTGTATAAGTAAAGTGAATGCACAGTTGACGCGGTGGCTGGGCAACGTGCCTCTGGTTTGGTTCCCAAACATAACGACTGTTTGTGACATTCACAAATTGTTTTTCCAGGTCTGGGTGGCATGAGTATGTTTGTTAAAGCAGTCACGATACATATGTATAAGAGTCTGAGTGTGGGACAAGTGTTTTCTTTTTTAAAGATTGTATTTTATTAAGACTTACTTTGAAAATTATAAATATCTTCAAAAAAGTTTGTCCGCAAAGGGAATCTGATCTTTAAGGCATAGTTAATAGAGTCAAGAAGCGTTTGCCTGCGCTCAGAATAGCTGAGTCGTCTGTAGGGGCTCATAAAACTGTCGAATATAAATTCACAAAGCTGTTTTGCATTTTTCGTACCTGAAATGAATTACTGATTAATATGTGTCATAGCCTACGTTACGAAATGTCATGTCACGGCATGTCATGTTACCATTTGGGTATTCTTCGTATTCCATTATAGCATCGAAGAGTTGCCCTCCCTCATCATCCGTATACAGCAGATCAGCATAATCTATGATGGAGTTTACGTCCACTGCTACAGCAGTCTTCCTGACTTTCAACAACTGATATACCATTGATGAGTAGCCTGGGAAAAATAAAGACCAGAATTCAAGGTTACCTCATTTCCGTGGTTGTGAGTAAAGAGTAATTAGTTACCGCAGCCTCGGTTCTAAGCAGGAGCTGGAACGGGGTGCTTGCAAATCGGTAAGAGTTTTTACTCTGACACTCGCCTCACCTAGAGCCAAGAGAGATAATAATATTTTCGAATTTTATGTCAACAAAGGCACTTTTTAAAGTCAAATATTTTTTTACCTAACTCAAAAGGACACATTTAGGCTTCAAAAACTATTCCATCATAGATACTTACTTCTTACATAATCAATCGGTGCTTCGCTTATAAACCGGGAAAGTTTTTGGATGACGTCAGCTAGGTATTGGCCGAACCACATCAATTGATCGGTGTTATACCAACTGTAAAATATGAAGTGAATATGGGTATACTGTGTGGTATGGAAGAAAAAGTGTTTCGTAATTTGACGATATTTGATAGGGAAACTTTAGAAAGAAAAATGGCAGACCCAAATATATGAAGCCAAAAAGTTGACGATGTTGATGTAAAATTTGCAACTTTATATGGAATTTGGCAAAGGGTACTAACGTATTTATATGTAGTTCTACTTCCAGTAAGACTTCTTTAACTAGTTTCTCATCTTTCAAGGAAGTAATTTTTAATATTTCCAATAGAAAGATGGTCAGATATCCTTCGTTTTGTTCCTCCATCATCTTGAAGTAGACTTGTCTTGGAGATGGGGCCAAATCGGTAGTGGTTTTGATTCCAATGCCTTTAAACATAAATAAAAAACACACGATTTCTTTTGTCACACGATGAACTGGAACAGAAACTAGAGGGCTACGGGAACAAGGACCGACCGACTTTCTTCAGTTTTTGAAAATTCTCACTAGAACCAAATTTCTGTCCTGAATGTGGCGTAGCGTCCAGTATGTGGTGCTTTTGTGTACTCTTCAATAGAATAAATGTTATTAAAGTTATCAACAATCACAAATATATAAGTTACTAAAACTTTACTTGGCATGCGATACATACCTCCATACAATACTTCCCCTGCAGAGCCTGGTAATGCAGTAACTATAGTTGTGCTCGTTAAAGGGCCGTGCTCTGGTGTAGTTGTAAAAATCTCATAAAGTTCCGTCTCTGGTACAAGCCTTTACAAAAATAATTGCAACAACTGCATAAGAATTGACTGACTCTTATTTTTGTTCAAAAACAAACACGGAAGGAGAACATCGCCAGGTAACTTAAACTTATTTTTTTTAAACGTATTTTTTTCGTAATTGTACGCAATAGGCATCGCCAAAGGACTCTGGAAGGAGTTACAAGTGATTTGCTTAAATAAGGCTTTTGGTAACCTCACTCTTGTTCAACGTGTGAGTGAAGCACAATGCAAGAATTGTTCCACGCAGGTTTCATGTAAGAATTCCATTCGTGCCGAAGCGTGGTTTTGCCACGTATAAAAAATATTAGATTGTGGTGTACCTCTCTGTTTGGCCTGTGGAGAAGGAAATTTCGTTGTCTGTTGCAGGTGAAGGAGATCTGGGGGGAGACAAAGAACCTTCTCTGTGTATACGAGCGCCGGAATTCTTCATTAGATTCTGAACCCACAATTGCGCTTTTGATAAAGTGGTTTTTGGCTGTGACACTGTGAAATCCATAACATCATTAACTACGTCTGTGGTTATTTCGTAAGCCGAGTCGCAAGGGCTACTACTGAGCATAATATTATTCGTTGTTGGATATAACTCACTGAGAGCACGCAATTTGGAAAAGGGGCCTCTGAGGTTTAGTTACTTTTATCTCAATTTAAATAAAACTTTGGACCCCAACAGTACAATTTCACATACACATGACAACCAGACCCCTCTAAGAATTGAAGGTTGTTTATAACTTACATGTAGTCAGCCCGGCCCAGGATGAAGTTCTGGCTGTCCATCTTTGAACGGGTATCCTCGGGGTCACTGGACTAAATATGTTTATAAAATTATGGCTTTCTTTCGATTTTTGTACGTTCGTAGTAAAAGGAATATTTGTAGAAACTGTTGGTTCCATTGTAAAAGGTTTTTTTTTATTAATTTCTTTTTGGACTCCGTCGAGGAGGGCGTCGATTTGTTTTGGGGATTTGTGTACTTTCTTTGCCAGAAGTGTATCATTTAAGAGTTCTGTAACATAGTTAAAATATTTATAAAATATTCGTGATCAATTTCACGTTTACAAAGTGTCCGTTTACAATCAGGCGGGCCGTAAGCTCTGTTGTAACAGTTAAATGATAAACGAATTTAAATGCTTACCCTTACGAATTATTTGTCAGACGAACATTTCATAATTAAGAAACAAAGTAATCAATATTACTTTCATAGCGAATAGGCACTTGCAAGTCAATCATAAAATAAATAGAACTTCATATATAGACGTTCATATGTTTCTCATGAAGAAAGTTTGGAATTGTCTTGGATGTTATTTTTGTTTTGTTGGAACGCAATGATAATGTTATTCGAATAAACTTAAGACGATCCACTCGCTAATCGTATTTTTTATAAGAATTATTTAAAAATTCCGCTATTCGAAACATTCATTTTAAGTCTGGTAACAGTTGGCGGTATTGTGAGTGTCTGTTTAATAAACCTGTTACTATTTCGAAATAAGATTGGTTTCAAACTACGTACAGTTGATGATTGTTGGCTTGTTAGAAATCAGAAACCTTTCTGTTCAGTGTCAATAAAAAAGTTGTAATAATTTTATTGGATTACACATAAAATACTTTATGTGAAAAATATAAAATGTATAACAAAATGTAAAATATTAGTATTTTTGTATTAAAATGACGGTGTGCGCTTGTGTTCTACTGTTCGCCGTATTCGGTATTTATTTTCTCATTATTTCCACACAGTATTTTTCATTCACTTCCTTTTATATAATGAATTGAAATAATTATTTACTGTCGCATATGAAGTACAAATAATATAATTTAATATTTTTTACAACGCAGAGCTTTTAACTGCTACGTTCAAAATGCATGCGCTTGGCGTAAAGCTCGGACGTATTCTTTTTTCATCTCATGTTAATGCACGTACCTGGAAATTATAATGACATAGTTGCACGAATGTGTAATAAGTTATCGAAACAATTATTTTAATAAATTAATATATGAATATTATAACTTTTTAATAATGTTATTATATTCATTTGTTAGTTTATTAATGTCCGTAAGGATTGGGGAGCCACATCAGATTTTTTAAATCTGATCTCACCATTGTTTAGCAGCAATGTAGCTTATTTTGCAGCACGAAGTCTAGATTTTGGAGCAAAATATATCACTAGTTATTTTAATGCAAAAGTGGCTCCTCAACCTAAACGTCTGAATTGAGGAGCCGCCTGGAACTCGTTAAGTAATAGATAAATTTTAATTATTAACTGTCGCATGTGAAGTACAAATAATATAATTTAATAATTTTTACAACGCAGAGCTTTTAACTGCTACGTTCCAAATGCGTGCGCTTGGCGTAAAGCTCGGACGTATTCTTTTTTCATCTTATGTTAATGCACGTACATGGAAATTAAAATGACATAGTTGCACGAATGTGTAATACGTTTTTTTTTTCTTTTTTTTTTTAATAAAACATTGCCCCACTTTATGGTTTTCGTGTCTAATATAAGAAGTTGTGGGCGCGTTTACAAACATACAATTTCACATACACAAATTCCAGACCCGGAACCGGACCGGACCAGTTCCTCAATCTGAACGTCTGAATTGAGGAGCCACCTGGAACTGGTTTAGTAATAGATGAATATTTATGATTTTTTTTTAACTTTAGTAGCAATATTGCATATTACCGTCTAAAAATTTCGCCGCCCGACCAGAACCTGGCCCGAGCGTACGGCGCGTACCACAGACAAGGCCGTAAAGGGCTGATGTTCAGCCGGGGTTGCGATGTCCAGCCGGGGTTGCGGGGTAACTGTCCCTGTCCCTGTCCCTGTCCCTGTCCCTGTCCCTGTCCCTGTCCCTGTCCCTGTCCCTGTCCCTGTCCCTGTCCCTGTCCCTGTCCCTGTCCCTGTCCCTGTCCCTGTCCCTGTCCCTGTCCCTGTCCCTGTCCCTGTCCCTGTCCCTGTCCCTGTCCCTGTCCCTGTCCCTGTCCCTGTCCCTGTCCCTGTCCCTGTCCCTGTCCCTGTCCCTGTCCCTGTCCCTGTCCCTGTCCCTGTCCCTGTCCCTGTCCCTGTCCCTGTCCCTGTCCCTGTCCCTGTCCCTGTCCCTGTCCCTGTCCCTGTCCCTGTCCCTGTCCCTGTCCCTGTCCCTGTCCCTGTCCCTGTCCCTGTCCCTGTCCCTGTCCCTGTCCCTGTCCCTGTCCCTGTCCCTGTCCCTGTCCCTGTCCCTGTCCCTGTCCCTGTCCCTGTCCCTGTCCCTGTCCCTGTCCCTGTCCCTGTCCCTGTCCCTGTCCCTGTCCCTGTCCCTGTCCCTGTCCCTGTCCCTGTCCCTGTCCCTGTCCCTGTCCCTGTCCCTGTCCCTGTCCCTGTCCCTGTCCCTGTCCCTGTCCCTGTCCCTGTCCCTGTCCCTGTCCCTGTCCCTGTCCCTGTCCCTGTCCCTGTCCCTGTCCCTGTCCCTGTCCCTGTCCCTGTCCCTGTCCCTGTCCCTGTCCCTGTCCCTGTCCCTGTCCCTGTCCCTGTCCCTGTCCCTGTCCCTGTCCCTGTCCCTGTCCCTGTCCCTGTCCCTGTCCCTGTCCCTGTCCCTGTCCCTGTCCCTGTCCCTGTCCCTGTCCCTGTCCCTGTCCCTGTCCCTGTCCCTGTCCCTGTCCCTGTCCCTTTCCCTGTCCCTGTCCCTGTCCCTGTCCCTGTCCCTGTCCCTGTCCCTGTCCCTGTCCCTGTCCCTGTCCCTGTCCCTGTCCCTGTCCCTGTCCCTGTCCCTGTCCCTGTCCCTGTCCCTGTCCCTGTCCCTGTCCCTGTCCCTGTCCCTGTCCCTGTCCCTGTCCCTGTCCCTGTCCCTGTCCCTGTCCCTGTCCCTGTCCCTGTCCCTGTCCCTGTCCCTGTCCCTGTCCCTGTCCCTGTCCCTGTCCCTGTCCCTGTCCCTGTCCCTGTCCCTGTCCCTGTCCCTGTCCCTGTCCCTGTCCCTGTCCCTGTCCCTGTCCCTGTCCCTGTCCCTGTCCCTGTCCCTGTCCCGCTCGCTGCATAGGGTTAATAGACTGCTCCGCGATCAGTGGCGAGCTCTGTCTTAGCCAACCGGAGCTCGGATTCCAACGCAGAATTGGCAGTCACCAGTCAGGACAGCTCCTGCCGCATCCAAAACAGCTCTTTTTGTAGCTCTCCGTTCCTGCCAGCTTAGGCCTTCCTGTCCCTTACCTGGGACGCTTGAACGTCTCCATCATTGTTCCTCCGCCACGTTCTCTGCAACGTTCAGTGAATCGCGTGGAAGAAAGTTCCCTAGCGAGGTATAGACTCTATATCAGCAAGTATAGAGCCTGCCGCCTCCAGAACCCAACCGGGTTACAGTGACAGCTGACAGTCACTCCAACTCTATCAATATTCCGACTGTCACTCGCACCCAGGATGCACCGCAGCGAGGTCTTCTTATACGCACCCCTGCCCATGAAGTACGTGTTTTGTTGTCTAGTACGTCTCGCTGCCGTCAGTTGGCTGGACAATCTTCAAGCTGTATTAATATTTTCTATAACTTCTTAAATCAGTTTTCATTTATTTTACAGCAAACTTGAGTAGAAGCGCGGCTCTGTCCTCACCTTTAAGTGAGAAGAGCGTCCATTTGGCTCTCGAAACTGTTCTAGAATTTAATGACAAAGAAATCAGATTTAAAGTTTCTTGACAACATACAGAACTTCGTAAATAAAGTAAAGACTGCAATTGATAAAACAGGAAGCCATGGAAGGGATTCCAAAGATGTACGCATCGAATCGCTCACTGATTTTGTTCAACAAGCTGTCAGTATAATAAATTTATATGATGACACGACTTTTATAGATTTTTTGGAAACTCTGGATGTTGAAATTAGGAAGTACCAATATAGGGGTTGTAAGTTTCATGAATTGATGGACAGTTATGAGCTTAGATCGTTAATTGGATCTACATTGGATTTGATTAAAGGAAAGCCAGTCAAAGTGATTAAGGCGTACATCAATGTGTTTGTTGATATGTTAAAGGAAGAAAATTACGACAGAAGTGCAAAAGAAATTGTAGATTATATCAATTCCTTGTACGGGCAAGACTCTAAATCGAAATTGATTAAAGTTTTACGAGACATAGATAACTATGGGAAACCGACTTCGGAAAAGAATCGGAATAGTTTAGTCAGGATTATCAGAAAAGGCATTCGATCTATAATATTTGATCATTACACACAATTAAACCCTAAAACTAGAAAAGAATTGAAAGAAAAGATAGAAGCGTACATGAAGAAAAACAAACGAACTTCATCTAAAATTGCAATACCAAACACTCGGGCGAACAAAACGCTCCTTTACGGCATGTATAAGAAAGAAGCTGTGAAGCCATCTGAAAGGAAATTGGAAAGAATTGAAATAAAGCAAAGTGACTTAAAAAATAATCTTGTAGATAGAGAAGTTCAGGACAAGAAAGAAAGGATCCAACAAACAAGAAAAGAAAAGAAAACACAATCGAAGTTTCCTGAAATTATCATGCCGACTATAAAGCAAGAGGAAAAAGAACTGATAGCTCGTTCAGAAGCCGAGGCAGACGAAGATGGATCATCAACAAGTGAAACTCTTGAAAGTAATTCAATACAACTGTCACTAGAAAGACAGAAAGAGTTCAATACTATGAGGTATGTAACACTGTATCCCGAAGCATTTACACCACTTGCGCCAAAATATCAAAAACATTTCAAAATTGTTCATCGATCTGTCAAGGCTACTACACCAGACAACCTAAAAGTTTTAACAATTTGGGTGGAAGAATCAACAGGGATAATCCCGCAATACATACTGAATAAATACACTACTACAACCCCGAAACCTCGAAAACATAAGAACAAAAAAGCTCACAAAATACATGAGAAGAAACAAAAAAAGGAACAGACCAAACCTAAAGGACAACATCATAAGAAATATAAAAGAATGACAGAAGGTATAAAACAGAAACATGGTCACAAATCTTATAAACACGACACTACTAGACACGCAAAGAAACACGATTCCAAACACAGAACTACCTACAAACCTAAACCAAAGTATGAAAAAGAGAAATACACTAACAATAAAGAGGTACAGAGTTTATTCGAAGAAAATGAGATTCTATCTACAAACAAAGTTATGAATATGTTTGGACTTGTGAGATTGGATGTTAAGTAAGTTTTATTAAATCGTTTTTTAAAATCATCATCGTCATTATTATTTTTGGCACTTGTGTGACCACTGCTGAATATAGGCTCTTTACAATTTGGTACCAAACTGGTAACAATAATTAATAATATCTTCCCAACTCATCACTCCCAAAATCATCTTAAGGTTTTATTTTTTATTTGTCTAAGAAAATACGAACAGAATTCTTAAAATCGTCGGTAGTAACAAATAAAACAAGAAGTACATATAACTAGTATTCTTGCAACTAATATATTCTCTAACTTACAGCCAGAACTTACTACTAAATAATGTAACGGCAAAATTGCCTCGAGCACCATATCGAGGCCCATCCATTTTGCGGACGCCATCCTCGAAACATAGAAAGAACATTCCACAATTGAAAACTTCTCTCTCGTCTGACCTTCCTAGTAATAAGCCACGTATAGGTCTATTACTCCCAGCATCCTCAGCTGCCATTCAGAAAAGATACAAAATGTTATCAGACCCTCAAAATTGGAATGAGAGGAAAAACAGTAAACACAATACACGATCTGACGAAGGATTTATTGAAAAACGTGATCAAAACAATGAAAATATGTTAAGAATTAAAGACCCTGCTCTAATACAGCGTTTGCATCAGCTTCAAAAGGAACTTAAAGAAGTAAAGAATAAGATAAATACAGTCGCGAAAAATACAAAGAAACAAGTTGCAGCAAGAAGAAGTAAAGGCAAAGGAGTTGCTGAGACGGCAGACAAACCTAAAGTAAAAGATACAGAAAGTGAAGATATTATTAATAATATTCAACTTACTAAAATTGCTGAAGTAATCACGACTCCCAATTTAATTAGAGATAAACAACAGGAATTAATAAGCACTGTCAAAAAGCCAGAATATCAAATCGAATACAAAGTAGTCAAAGAAAAAGGTTCCAAATTCAAAGAAATCGTACCTGATTATACAACAAAAGAAAATGAGGTAAGAGGACTAAAACCCTTACAATACGGTGCAATTAAACTCCAGTCAAACGATGAAAGACAAGAAGAGTTACACAATAAATCAATCCTGATTAATTCTTCAACAAAATCATCACTAAGTACGACCACGACAAAATATATAACTACTGTGAAAACAGTCGAAGTAAATACTAGAAAGGCTAAACCCTTCACAGCAAAAGCTTTAAGAGTTGCAACGAGTACTATTCAGCCAAAGACTGCTAAAAGAGACGTTCATACAAACACGAAGCCAATAGCTGTTACAGTAGCTTCTACCACCAGTTTTACAACTGCAAATACAAATGAGACTACGACTAGTGACGCCATAGTATATGCATTTAAAAATAATGTTGAAGATCTGCCAGCGTCTGCAACACCATCACCAACTACGACCACGACAAAATATACAACTACTGTAAAAGTGACTGAAGTAGATGCTCTAACAGAAAAGGTCGTCACAGCAAAACGTGCAAGGGATATTACGAGCACCATTCAACCAACAACTCCTGAACGGCACGTCCATACTAACACCACGCCAATATCTACTACAGTAGCTTCTAGCATCAACTTTGCAAATGTTAATACGAATAAAACTTTGACTAGCAACGCCGTAATGAAAGTACTAGGAAATATTTTGAAAGAACTAGCCACGCCTGCTAATGCACAATGTAGCAGCAGACGTCAGTGCATTGGTAACAACTTAATTGCAAAGTACTAAACACCATCCATTGTTCCACACTAGAAGTAAAAATACGATTGTTATGTACAAATGTCTAGTAGAAAAGTCTGTCAAAGATGTTTCACAAACATAGTGTTACATTAACATTTAATTATAATATTGTTTTGTTCTTGTGGATTTTCGGGTTAATTATGTGTTGAAATACATTAGGAACTCGTACACTTTTCCGTGTTTTAAATATATTTATTTTGCCAAAGTATTTTATCGACGCAGTAAATAAAAATATAATAAAACGATTTTATTGTTTTCAATTTCGTTAATGTACTGCTGCTTGCTTTAAGACACTTCTGATATCATACATCATCCGCATATTTATAAGTTGTTACTACTAGGCAAGGACCTCATCACGTGAAGGTCTAGGTATTATTGACCACGCTTTCTCAAGGCGAATGGGCATTCCGAAACCATACCCTCATGCATGCAGCAGTTACTGATGTGACTTTGTTCAAACTATATGTACTTTCTAAGATTATTTAGACGGAACTGACACAGAGGAAACCGTTCGAATAATAAATTCTTCAATCCACCTTAAGCAAGCGTGAAGTGTAAGAAGCGACGCTTGCTGCTGTCCCGTGTGATGTGCGCTGTGAACTTGTTGCTGAGTTTTCACTAAACTGGTACTTAATAAAATATCAATAATCCCTGAATGTGTAGGCAGGGGTGTACATATACATACACATAACACCTAGTTTTCACCAGTTATGGTATGAGTTCCATGTAATAGGGGTTGACTCGATTGCCACACAGGGTAGAAGTCGTCGCACAATTTTACCTTGAACTCTAGTACGCTTGTTTCTTGAAGGTTTGAAGGTCGTATCGGTTCGGGAATACCGCCGCCGGAAGATCATCATATTTTTTTTTCTGTGCGAGGCAGAATATTTGTCTATTATGAGGTCGTCTTAAAAAATCAAAATATACTTACATAAAAATTAAACTCGCTTATTCAAATCCAAATCCAAACTAATATTATAAATGCAAAAGTAACTTTGTCTGTCTGTCTGTCTGTCTTTTATTAACACCTAAACAACTGAACTTATTTGTGTAAAATTTGGTGCAGACATAGTTTAGAATTTGAGGAAGGACATAGGATAATTTTTAAACCAAAATTCTGCTGGAAGTTACTATTCCACGCGACTAAGTTGCGGGCAAAAGCCAGTAAAAAAATTAAATTGAAGCCCTTGGCGGAAGCTAAGGGCATACTTTTTGAACGCACAATAGCTATGCCTACATGCACGCAGGATTGAAAATAATAAGAGTCATCATTCACTATTGTATATGTAATTGTGTTATTTGAACATTTTATTCGAAGAAAATAAAAATGTTGTCTATTAATTTAAGGAAAAAATATTGTATATGCAAATACAGACAAAACAAAAACCAAGGCAAACAGCGGATCACACGCCTACACTTCCATTTCAATACAAAAATACTAACATTTTATTGAACCATAAACCTTGTTACACATTGCGTAAGCAATAAGCATCAATTGTACACAATTCAAACCAATCTTATATTGAATAAACTTTGTCCGAAACAGTTACTAGCCCACAGACATTTATGCAATTCTGAAAATTGTCACCGACCATGGACTGAGTGATTTAAAAAATAAGTTACAAGCAGTGTGTAGTGTTACTAAAATTATTCATTCTGTTTGACAAAACTAAAGAAGCTATTCTCAGGCGACTAGTTTTAAAAAGACTTTGAAGTGAATAATTCGCCATGAAAGCGATACTAATAACTTTGTTCCTATCCTTCGAATTGTTTCATTGTAAAACTGTAAATAAAGGTAAGAATGTCACTCGTGTGGCTCCGAATAAATCACACAATCCTACAAAGGAAGCAGCCTCCATCCTCTATCGAATCCGAAATCAACTGAACAGTCCTCCTAAATTTTCCTCTTTTCTCCTTCAGTAAATACAGAAGTACCAACGTTCCGGCGGAGTGACATTGACTTTCCAAATTATGACGTCACTGAAGTGTTTTGGGGTGGCCAACCAGGATTGAATGGAACAATACACGAAGATGCAACATCTACTTTCTTACCAACACTAGAAGAAAACATAGTGCCAGTAATAACGTTCGCGCCAACACCAGAAGAAATGGAAAAAATCGAACCGACTCCAGAAGAAATATGGCCATTTCTGAAACAGACACCGATAACACTGGGCTTCACTTGGCACACAAACTACCCTGGCTACCCGTACGAACCTCCTCCTTTAGATGACCCGCAAATATACATTACCCAAGATCGTTTTCCATCGACTCCGGTCTTCAATTTTCCCGACGGCCCCGGTCAAACGACAAGGTACACATGTATATTCTCGTGATGTTTTCCTTTACTATATTCGCTTTTTTCTCACTCTTTTGATTTATGTGTTTCAAACTCATTCACTTGTTTTAATTGCTTTTGAAAAGTTTTATACCAGAGACAGAAGGGTACGAGATTTTGAACACTACATCAAAAAACGATTCACTGACGAACACAACCTCAGTTACCGAATTGCCAGGCTCTGCAGTGAATGTATCGCATGGAGGTATGTATCGCAAGTCAAGCTATGCCGATGGTTGCGGGTGCAAGTCAATTAATGTACCGAGGTCTCAGCTCAGAGCAGAAGAAGGAACGAGGTGCTTTTAGTCAGTTATTGAGTTATATCAAATTTATTTATTACTAGCTAATCTCGCGCGGTTTCACCCGTTTCACCCGCTGCTTGGCTCCATTGAATCTTAGCGTGATAGCCTATAGCACTCAGGAACATTGTATAAGTAAAAGAATTTTGGAAATCCGACCAGCGGTTCCAAAGATTATCCCCTATATTCAAACTTACAAATTTTACCTCTTTATAATAATAAATTTATTAAAAATCACAACAGTGTACAGATATTGAATTTACAATATTTTCCCATAAAACCGGTTTAGCGGTTTGACTGTAGGTGGTGAAAATGCCCCTTCCTCTTTCCGTACTTAGAGCGGAAAAGTCAATTGATGAATTCCCCCTCAACAGACTATTCCAAACTATAATATCACGTCTTCTGATCTGTGAAGGCATTTTTGGTCGTAGAATGGGAGCCCATTACAATCTCCCTAACAACCAATCTAGTTCAGTACGACCAACTGACTACTGCCAACGCATAAGCTTTGTCATAACTGGACTCTATCAATTCACTTTTATCATAATCATGACATTCTGGACATTGGCCCCTTCTACATAGGATGGGTTAGCTGAAATCTCTATTTGGTACGGACTTAGAGATTGCAATTCAAGAGGTTTGGGTTTATTAGAAAATATAACTGTTCGGTATTATTTTTGTGATTAACTCTTAGATGATGAAAATACCACTACAACGATGTCTCCTGCCAAACAACGCTACTACGAAATGATGGAGACGAGAAATGAAGGATATTTGCCCATATTTCTTGCGGAACTATTGAGGATAACCATTGAAAAAGATGAAAATCCTGTTAAAGAACTCTTACGAGAAGTAAAACCACATGTGTTTGCGTGAGTACGCTTTGCTGTTCATCTTATCCCTGCTCTTAACTCAAGTTATTAGAGGTTCTCATGTGTCTACTTCCATTCTCCCCTGTCCCATATTTCGACATTTATTCGTCTCATCTTGTATCCTTAAATGCACATTTATATTAAGCTCAGGCTTGGCGTTTTATCTCTTCTCAATACATGTCAATATTTTTTATCTTTCAGCTTATTTGTAACCGGCGCCAATTTGGGACTTGTTATAACATGTTCACACCTATTTTATACATGTTTATCTCTATTACATGTAATATTCTCGTGCCCGTCTTTTAGTAGGCCATCATTCTAGTTAGTGCCCATTTACCTATAGATTCATAGATCTAAATGTTCAAAGATAATTCGAAACACTACATAATAATATGTGTTATTTCACAGTTGGTATGAAACCGATCGGCCAATGTGGTTGGGCGAACCCCTCGCTAAAGTCATCGTGGAACTTTCCAGGTTCATAAGCGAATCAGAAGTTGATTATGTAAGAAGTAAGTAAAGTCTCAAAGAAATGTTCATTTGTTCTGCTAATCGAAGTAAATACTTATGATCTTTGTCTTCCAGGCTCCTCAGCAATGATGTATCAAATGCTGAAAGACAGAAAGACTGATGTAGCAGAGGACGTAAACTCCATCATAGAGGATGCTGATCGGATGTATACGGAGGACGAGGGGGAGCAACTATTCGATGCTTTAGTGGAATATGAACAATATCCAAATGGTACTTAAGCTACGAATTTTTTTTTTGTAATTCTTTTTTTTTGGTATGGAGTTATAATTAGTCTGTCGGTTAGACGGAGGGTGAAGATGCTCACTATTCTCGTGCTAAGATGTCCCAAACTAAACTTATAATATCAAATTATACAATTGAAATTGCCCATTCACCTTAAGAAAATGTAGGGGTTAATGCTCCTACCTATAGTTTGATGCTGTGTGATGTGTGCATAATAATTGATCAATTATGAATTTCAGGCACTAAAAATGCAACACAGCTTTGTGAAATTCGCGGGTTACTCACGTGTAAATGATGAGAAAAGCTCTACTAGTTTCGAACCACAGAGGGGTTCTTCCTCATGAGCAGCGTGCGCGGACGCGGCGACGTCGCGCAGCCTACTGGTTAGCGTTGGCGCCTGCATCGCTGTTGATGGTTGCGCTGCGGCGAGGCATCCGCCCCGGTGAGACCGCGATACTGGTGGAGGTACGTCGATGACGTATTCGCAATCATCAACCGGGAACATGTAGCTGAATTTGTGGGACACTTGAACTCAGTGCACGGCAGTATACAATTCACCACTGAAGAAGAGAGAGAAGGGATGTTGCCGTTCTTGGATGTCCTCGTAAGACGAGAAGAAAGTGGTCGATTGTCACACACAGTGTATCGAAAACCGACACACACAGACCGATACTTACGAGCTGACTCACATCATCATCCCTCCCACCTAGCCGCTGTCCCGCGGACTTTGATAAACCGGGCGCTGAGTCTATGCGATCCACAGTACATTGACGACGAATTTCACCATTTAAAAAGGGTACTGGAGAACAATGGATACAACTGGCGTCAATGTACTCGACTAGCGAGCAGCTCGAGTAGGAAGCGACCAGCAGTTGCGGAGCGGACTCCAGCGTTCTTACCCTACGTGAAAGGAGTAACCGACAGAATCGGACACCTGCTGCAACGTAAATATAGCATCAGGACGATCTTCCGCCCACCCGGTCAGCTGAGACAACTGCTACGCTCGCCAAAGGATAAGGATCCACTAGCTGTGCCCGGTGTGTACATTATACCTTGCGACTGTGGCTCAAGTTACATCGGAGAAACTCGGCGCAACATCACAACCAGGCTAAAGGAACATATACGTAGCGTGAAGAAGATGGACATCCAGGCATCGGCTGTGGCTGAACATGTTTGCGGCACGGATGCGGCTCACTTCATACGTTTTGATAAGGTCTCCGTACTAGCGAGGGAGAAATACTTCGTTCCGCGAAAAGTGCGAGAGGCCATCGAGATTAGCCGACGTCCTTGCTTCAACAGGGATGGTGGCTGGGCATTGCCACCCGCGTGGAAGCCGAGCTTGGAGACTACGTCGGTCCGTAGCGTATCCAGTCTGGAGTGTGACACAGTAAGCGTCATATGTAACACAGACTTTGTGCCGGGCCCGGAATCGAACCCACTACCCGCGCCACTGGTGAACGTACCGTGCGCCTCAACATCGTCACACGCGCCGCCGCCGGAGATGGCAGCAAACGCGCGTGGTATCCGGCAGATGGCGCGTTGGACTCGCCGCAGCGCAACCATCAACAGCGATGCAGGCGCCAACGCTAACCAGTAGGCTGCGCGACGTCGCCGCGTCCGCGCACGCTGCTCATGAGGAAGAACCCCTCTGTGGTTCGAAACTAGTAGAGCTTTTCTCATCATTTACACGTGAGTAACCCGCGAATTTTAGTTAATTTAGTATGTCTCACGATAGTTATTATAAAAACACAGCTTTGTGAATTTATATTCGACAGTTTTATGCGACCATACATACGCCTCGGCCATTGTGTGCCCAGACAAATGCTTCTCGACTCTATTAATACTGCCTTCGCAAAAAGACACCCTTCACGAAGGTCTATTGAAAGTATTTTTAAAACTGAAGGTAAGTTTATACGTAACATACGTCATACATACACAAACACATCCCTTTGTCCCATGGTCATTACAGAAACCCTAAACCATACACCTACTACGATCTACTGGTTTAGCTTTGACGTAACAGGTTGAACACCAAGGGCTGATTTTTCAATGGTTAGATAAAAGTTACCTGGGGAATAATTATGATGTCGTCGCGTCAGAATGTTTGTATAAGACAGTGACAGCAACAATTTAATCCATCAGATAACATTATTATCCTATCTGTTTAAAAAGCACCCCTAAGGGATTTGTACCACTGGCCAAGCAAAGCTTTTTATAAAATATATGTATTCAACAGCACTAACAACAAATAGAATAAAATCGATATATCTCCAAGAATTGCACCAACCCAGCAGAAACAGAAAACAAAGAAATAATAACAATCATGAACTGGCTGATAACGTCATAAGACTCGACTATATCAAAATGAACAGTACATTACAGTATGTAGATGATCTAAAACCACCAGTCATCACCAATTATTATATCAAGAAAACCACTACATAAACAAAACATCAATCTACAAAAGATAAGGAAACGACAATAAATTATAAAAATCCAGTATTTGGTACCTATTTGAAAAACCAGAAAGAAAGTTAAATGGATAGTATTAGGCGTATAAATATAAATCCATAATTCAATGATGACGCTAAAGATGATACTGCACAAACAAGTAAATATTCAGTAACTTGTAATAAAGAAATGCTCAGAAATATGGAAGACGAAACAAATTAAGGATCGGAAGAGACGATGTAATACGTGGCAGCTATGGTGGAATTTGTTTCTTTTTATAATTAAAGCAATTTACTAATTGATCGAATGATTTAAATTCTACAAACAACCCCGCTGTAGTTGGATTTCTGGGATTGCACACTTATAATAAACTTGTGATGGTAGTAGTATTAATAAAAAGGGAAATAAAATTAACACTTCACAAAAGACATGTTTTTATTTGTACATTTTAATGCGTCTCTCTCAATATTGCTTCCAAGGCGTAGATTTCTATAGAGATGAACTAGCAAAAACTTTATAACACGAGAGGAGTTACAGGCGCGTTGCTATCAAAATGAAATGAAAGCAATTTTTAATTATGTATAAAGAATATTGGGACTGTCATCGCCAGGCTGTCTAAATATGTTGTCCTTAAGTTAACTTCTTTTTCGGATTCTTTATCTAAACATTAGTGTTACACTGTTCTCACATATTATTATCAGAACCGATTCAATGATGTAACAAAGAAATGAATTGCAAAACTGATTGAAAAAGAGTAACTTGAGAGTTTCTTGCTCCCATAGCAATCTACACTTTGGAACGAGCAAATAGCTTCACTATAGGACTGACCGACAGACGCTTAGAGTTGAACCTCTTGAAATACTTTTTTCCTTTTTTCTGCTTGACGATCAAAAGTGCGTATTGTGGTCTAATAGAATTTTGACTTTGACAAGAATCATATTCCTCCAATTATGTTACGATCAATCCTTAGCAGCGAAAATCGTCTGTCGTAGAGCTAGTTGGTGCAAGTAATATATGTATACTTTCGCTGCTAAGGATTGTGGAATCATTTGGAATTGAAAAAGACAAATCATGTAAACAACTTTTTAATTTGTTGATTTATCTGTAAACCATTTTATTAGGTACATAGAACAACTTACAAAAGTTTTGTGTAAAATTTCATCGCACAAGGCGATCTCTTTTTTTATGTAATGGTTCGGCAAACGAGCATACGGATTACCTGATGGTAAGCAATCGGCGCCGCCCATGGACACCCGCAACGGAGGACTTACGAGTGCTGACCTTTTAAGGATTAGGGATTTGGAGACTCAGGGATTGAGGAGAGATTGGGGGAGGGGAAGGATTGGGCCTCCGGTAACCTCACTCACACGACGAAACACAACGCTGTGGTTGTTTCACGCCGGTTTTCTGTGAGGCCGTGGTATCACTCCGGTCGAGCCGACCCATTCGTGCTGAAGCATGGCTCTCCCACACTCTTAAAGAAAACCTATAATAAAGCTTTTATAGATGTTTCACTATGAAAAAGCGAGTAACAATATGACTAATTTCTTCATTACACTTTCCACCTCACTATTCTGTACAGAAAGTCGAAATTATATTGCGAAATGGTCAAAGCCATAATTTAGTAGTTTCAGTAGTAGACGACTTATTAGAAAACAGAGTTCCATATAAATGCATTTTCAAAGAATCTTCCTCGTCACTATAACTTGAAGCCTCTACAATTCTCAATCCTTCCCCTTCCCGGACCCTTCCCCAATCCCTAAATCTCCAAATCCCTAATCCCTAAAAGGTCGGCAACGCACTCGTAACTCCTCCGTTGCGGGTGTCCATGGGCGGCGTTGATTGCTTACCATCAGGTAATCCGTCTGCTCGTTTGCCGACTTATTACATATAAAATATATATATATATAAAAAAAATCTCTTTAAATATTTATTAGTAATTTTCCTAACGTCTTTTAAAAAATATTCGTCAAAATTGTAAAGCTTCTTTAGTTGATCAAAATCAATAGTTTCCTTAGAGTGGCGCTGTCGTCGCTTTTTGCCTTCAGCTCTTTGAATGACTTTATTTTCTTTTGTGAATTCTAAATAGTCTTTTTGTTCGTAGAAATAAGGAAATGGTGTTTTGATATGATGTGTGATTTGCAAGGAATTCCCTTCGGTTGGTCTGCGATGTAGATTCAATGTGGAATATTTTGTAGTTCTGTCACGGTCGGGCTTAAAATGAAATTTCGAAGACACCACTTTGTAACGTCTCTGTACGTTTGTAATAGAAGCTGATGGATCTAAACTTTTATCAGGCGAGATTTTCTTTTTGAATGTACTCAATTTATTGAACATTTTTGCCACAGTTCTAGGTGCACTCAAAGATGATGAAGTTCTGTTCGTTGTGATAAAATTGGCCACTTTTACTGGATTATGAATCTGATTAAATTCCACCGCTCTTGCGTTTTTTGAAGTTAAAATTGGTGAAAATAAATGTGCTCTATCATTATTTGATAAATTCGATGGACGAGTGAACTTCGGAAATGGTTGCTTTGCAAAACTTGTTACATTACTAGTCTTTGTAAATGTAAGATTGCTTGGTTTAACTGTAGAGGATTCTTTGAATTCACCTCCACTTGTTTGTCCAGCTTTGGCAGAAGTATCTAAAACGTTTTCAGTTCCCTCAGAAAGCGGGAACGAAGGTTTATTGATGTAATCAGGAAAAGGACTTTTAGTGAAAGTAGATTTAGTGGAGTAAAACATTTTCGCGAATGATCCAGCTCTAAGGTTCAGATGTACTGTCTGTTGCATTCTTTTGATATTGTTATCAGTTTCTTCCTCTTTCTTATTCTTTTTCCCTGCTCTCTCATTGTTTAATACTATTGCCAGGTCTCTGAAGAATGCATTCACCTTTTGCATGTTTTCCCGGTGCTTTTTCATAAGCACTGCCTCGTTGAAATTATCTGAAAATCAGTTTCTTAGTTTTATGCTAGCGTATAAACTTTGGTGCATTTTCACAGCTAAAGTCAAATATTATGTTTAAATTAAAATATAAGTATTGTTAGAATGTTCAGTTCATAAACAAAATAAAATACTACCTCTTTTACCAGCATCACAGTTAGCTAGACTATAATGTAAGAATAACATTAACATAGTTATACACATGCTTCTGTCTTTATATCCCTTTTTCTTTATTAGTATTTGGGAATATACTTATTAACTGTTTTTATTTTTACAATAAACACAAGTCTAAGAAAAACGAGAAACTGTTAAGATCGTGTTTTAAATCAGTAACATTTCCAATGCTTATCGTAAATAAAATAGTTGTAATAATTTTATCGAATTGCAAATATAAAAACAGTTCCTCACGCAATGTATATCAAGTTTTATGATACAATAAAATATTAGTTTTGGGACATTAAAATGAAAGTGTGCGCTTGTGTTCTGCTGTTCATCATATTTAGTTTTAAATTCAATAGTATTTCATTTTGAATAATGGTTACTTAAATTCATTCTTTACGTTTTCTTTGTAAAGCTTTATTATACGCCTTTTAAATGAAATCAATAGCAACAGCATGCAACAGCAACCAAAATGTCCAGACAGAAATATAAAACTGGCTTTGGAAACTGTTCTAGAATTCATTAACAAGTACCATTCAGGAGACATACACCTTTTAAACAACATTAAAAAATGTATCGACAAACTTAATTAAGCAATGCTCAAGTTTAAAAAACATTCGAATAACATTAACCAGAAACACAGAATATCTAGGAACACTAAACCATTAAACCATCTGAAGAATTTAGAGAAAGAGATGAAGGAATTAAAGCAAGACAAAAGTCAAACTTAAGAAGAAGTCCAAATAACTGAAAACGAGATTGCATCACACGAATGTTAAATAAAGTCATGAACTGGAATTATTTGTGATTGAATTGTTGAGAGGAGTCGGTGTTTCCTGATAGTTACAATCCGGGTATCTTTAAGTCAAGAGTGAATAGGTTACTTCTAAGTAAGCGCGCTCCATTGTCGACCGCATCGTCGCTTTCCATCAGGTGAGATAGCGGGCAAGCGCGAGCCTATAATCAATAAAAAAAAAGAAAAAAAAATACTTTTACGACAGTGGTGACCGAAACATCGTCAACGGTAAATTTGATTCTAGCAATAAAAACAACCAATTAAAATGATTCCTTATTTTAACAGCACCTTTCTTCTAGTCGCTAGGTAGTTTGTCTTAACGGATGACAGAAAGTTTGAGAATATATATATATATATATAAATAAAAATTTCATCTGCGAAAATGCTTGAAGAACTGAGTGATAAGAAATCTATAAGTCATACTGCGAAAGACAGGGCACGATCTAAAAGAGTTTTGGCGTTCTCATTGCGATTTATTTCATCCATCCAAGCTGTATTGCTTGTGAGGACTACTTTTAAGAATTAAGATATATAACGTTGTGTATTTTCGAAATAAAGTTTGTGAGTGGTGAAGCTTTTTATTTTCTCTTGAACAATTTTAATTCTCAGTGTCTCCTTAAGTCCCACGTTGCGCACCAAAATGTTGTAGGACATGCACAATGCACAGGTATCCTTAATGGAGCCTTGTAGCTTGTCATACTTTGTATTTTAGAAACATTCAATTTGGACGATGAAGTCACAAACGGACGATGCCTTGAGTGTACATAAACGAGGCCTTATGGTGGCTGTTCCCTAAAAGTAGTGCGGAACACGGTTAGGCCATTAAAAGGGACATCTTTGCATTTAAGAAAAAAATTATATTAAAAAATTGCAATGCCTCAGAATGGCAATCTATGCAAATTATGTTTAGCGCCATCTGTAAGTTGTTTCTCGGACTGATTATCTTTAATGTGTGTCAATAGATGTCACTGCATATTCTTTTAAATTACGCATATCGAAAGTAGATGGCGCTATTTGAAAGTAATGTTCAAACATTTCTTATCTAAGCCGTTTAGCGTAAAAAGTCACTATTTTGATTACCAACGAATTATAGACCAAATATTATTAGATTTTACTTACTAACTCTTTGATGATGTAATATTTTCAGAAATGCTTATCCTACAGTTTGTGGTCTGTAAGGCGAAGGGGTGCCCATGCTGCTTTGAAGTAAAAAAAAATTAATTTTATTTTTATTGCTACGAATTATTTACTATAGATATTGAATCAGTTACACAGACAACTGATTAAATCGTGAGTTTAGACCTCGTCGCGGGTTGGATTTCCGCACGGAACAATTCTTTGTGCGATCCACAAATTGTTGTATGTGAAATTGTAAGTTTGTAAACCCAACCACGACACAGGAGAAAATCAAAGCGTGGGACAAAGTTTAAACAAAAACCACGGTTTCTGATGGTTTTGGTTTGTTTTCCACCAGTGTATTTTATGATGCAAACAGTAACTAAATATAACACGGGTACAACGAAGGCCAAAGAGACGTTTGATGTCGCTTTAAGTAACAAAACAATTGAGTTTCTTGCTATCAACTAAAAGTCACTAATTTTTCGAAAACATAATTTTGTATGCTATTATTATTGAAATAGTGGCAAAGGGAACACCAGAACACAAGCGCACACTTTCATTTTAATGTTAAAATACTAATATTTTATTGTATCATAAAACTAGTTATACATTGCGAGAGCAAAAATTTTTATTATATTTGTAATCCCATAAAATTGTTACAATTATTTTATTGACAGTAAATATTGGAAATTTTACTTATTTTAAACTCAATATTAGATGTAAATTTAAAACCATGTTCCTGTTGACATTTCGGTACTACATGTTAAGTTTTATTTTCATTTAAAATTAAAAATAAATAATGTTATTGTTACTGATTATTACGTTATCGTATTTATTAATCAATGAAAGCAAAGCAGAAGGTATGTATTGGGAGTATATTTACACGTTTCCTTTGCGTTGGTATGCTTAAAAAAAGTGTTAAATAAACGGGTATAAAATGAATATTGTTCAAGTTTGAAAAAAAATATATTTATATTTCAGTGTTTAACAAAACAGTATTTAATCAGCATCAAGAGAATTTCCGTGAAATCAGAACAATTCTGAAAGAAGTTAATCATAAATTACAGGATATCGAGAAACTATTGAGAGCAAATGAAGAAGTAGTAATTACTGAGCAGGATTTAGTTGTAAATAGAGCAAATTCATTATTCGAAACTTATAGTAAAAGAATAAAACAATACAAATTACTTGAAAATTTTAAGAGGGCCAACAGAAAGTCTTCCTCACCAACTGTACTATCTGCTCTTGAAGATAGTTCTACAACTTCTCATCCATCATATATTTCAAAGACAACTGCAAATTCAGTATCTGTATTGCAACGAGGAAATAGCCAAGAGTAAGTTTCAAATGGTTCGCCCGCATTACTTCAGACTACAATCTAACTCTGTTCATATTTTTAATCGTTATTCTATATAATAATACTATCAGCCTGTCCCCGCTTTGTAATGCTGTTGTTCCCATATGTTTTGTATGAATTAACTAATTCAATGTTCCAGAAGTAAGCCATCACCAGAGTTACATTTAAGAACAGAACAGGACTATTACCGACAGCTGGAAGACTACAATGAAGGGTATCTAGTGGTCTTCATGATGGAGCTGGCCAGACTAGTCGCTGTCAAAGCTGACGTTCGCAGCATATTACGACATACGGATTCTATACTATTTGAGTATGTTGTAATATAACATCTATTACCGGTGCCTCGATTAAGTCATAAAAGAAAAAGACCAGAAGATCGTTTTCTTTTTCTTATAATGGAAAAGATCTAGACATTCATATGTTCCCAATCTTCTTTCAGATCATTAAAATCAGGAAAGCTTGGCAGTTTGGGATACCCAGTAACGCACGTACTTTTAAAGTTTGGAGTTTTTGTCTCCGATGAACCTATTGCAGTTGTCAGAAGTAAGTAGAGTTATGACTTAATGTTATTATTTGTATCTAGGGTGCATTATGTGTAGTACTATTTGCTTGTTGCGTTTTGAGCCTCATGTGATAGAAACTCTTGTTATAGGTTCAGGTTGTGTAAAATTCATGTTTCTACGAATGAGCATTCTCCGCCGGATGGCACGAAACAACGCTTGCATTGTGTTTCTGTGTGTGGGTGATATTATTAACGGCCTGATACTTCTCTTCCCTCCAATTTCATGTCCCTAAGTCAAAAGTCAAACTGACTTGGCACGGTCATAATATTGATTTCTCTAAACTTTTCTCTAAAAGACTCACGACGCTTTAGGTTGTAAATAGCTCTGATGGCACGCTTTTGCAAGACAAAGATAGACTCAATGTCAGCAGCCTGTCCCCACAACAAGATGCCATACGACATAATGCTATGAAAGTAGCTGAAGTACACCAGTCTTGCAGTGTCCACATCTGTTAGCTGCCGGATCTTCCAGACAGCAAATGCTGCAGAGCTCAACCGTCCTGCCAGAGATGTGATATGGGGTCCCCATTGTAGTTTGTCATCTATGGTTATACCCAGAAACGTAGTTTGTTTTACAAATTCCAATTTCTTACCGTTTAATAATATGTAACATTCGTTACTTTTAACATTTGGCAAACTGAATCGCATACACTTTGTCTTTTTGTTGTTTAGGACTAAATTATTAACTGTAAACCAATTCTTAAGCTTCGTAATAGCATTATTTACGTCGTCATAATTATCTGTCCGTCAATTCTTTTTAAAAATCAACGATGTGTCATCAGCAAGTAATACCATTCCCGGTTCACGTTGAACTATGTAAATGAGGTAAATCATTTATGTACACTAAAAACAGGAAAGATCCTAATATCGAGCCCTGTGGTACGCCCATAGGTATGCTAGCACCCTGGGAGTTCACTTTATTTACTTGTACTTTGAACTGCCTATCCTGCAGGTATGATTTTAATAAATTGAGAGATACCCCTCGAATACCGTAGTGTTCCAACTTCAGCAACAGTGTCGATTCAGTCAGCAATAAATTATTTTGTGATATAATTTTGTACGCAATTTGTGTTTTTGTGACTTCTTTTTAACTGCTAATTGCCATTGTTTTGTAAATGAGCTTTTTCGGTGTAACTCGTTTATTTCTTCATTTCCGATAAATTATTCATTTTATATAACATGCTGAGGTCAAGGAATACATCACTGGACAGCGATGTGAACTCCATCATCGATTACGCGGACATGCTGTACGAGGATGCAGAGAGAAAGCTGCTATTTGATGCACTTCATGATTTTGAGGCTTATCCTAATGGTATGGTAATAGATTACTTGTGTTATTTTCCTGAATAATTATGGAATGTTCCAAGGTATGCTAATAGGCACCAGTCCCCATTACATGAGACTCAAAGCATAACTGGTGAATAATATAAACACCAAGTCCTTAACTAAAACTCACTATTGCCTTTTTACACCTATTTCAGTGACAAGAACCAGTGCGGAAGTCTGCCAGAGTCTGGTAGACAGTTTCTTCGCTCCGTACCGTCGTCTGTTGATGTTAGAGAAGAGACACATACTTCTGGATGCCATCAACTATATGCTAAAGACCAGGTTCCCGAATAGGAACCAAAGCTTAAAGATATTATAGTTCATAAGTACTGTATCACCTTAATTAAATTATTCGTTTGTGACCTTTGCATGTCGTTAGACTTGGCTACTGTAATTACTACATATATTAAAAAAGTTTTATGAATTTTGTTACTTTATTATATTCCAAATTAATCTGCAATCGTTTTCAATAATATTTTTATTTTCCTTCTATAGCGTAGCTAGCCAGATCATTCTAAAGTAAAGATTCCTAACGTAAATAAATAAATAAATATCGTTACATGGTTGTTGTTCTTCAAGATCCAATCTTTCACCACTACCATCCCCAATTTCCGTATTCCTTATCCTTACATAATTAACAACCCACAAACGGCCGGCAACGAACTATCAGGTTATAAGCCTGCTCGTTTACCAACCTGTCTCAGAAGAAAAGTTGCTGAGACATGAAACTCCCACATAATAACATGATACTGAAATATGACGAGGGAAACGAAATAAGAAGCTCTCCGACAGACGTCATAAATATTTATTTATCCAAGACCATTACCATCACGTGGATGATCGAACGGATTCAATTCTATATAAGTATAATCTGCGGCAGGACGAGTAATGGGAGAGTTATATCTTCTTAAATTAGAACTAGTTGTCGACGCTTTAATTTGACTTGTCATAAACACATTGATATTTAGCCTTGCTCCTTTTTTACTTACTTCTGTTACGTTTACAGTAAAATTTGATTCAGTATTGATGTCATTTCTCTTGGATTTTCGATGTGCTTGCTTCTAATAACAGGTTCTATTTGATTAGTTTTGTCAGATTCATCATTCGCTCGCTTGTATCTGTTTCATCGTCCGAATGGACTTCGTCAAAGCCTTCTGTAACTAAAGTCTCGTAACGTTGTGTATAAACGTGACGTAGTTTCTCCTGGAAATACTCTATGGAATTAGAAGACGAGTCTAAAACATCTTCTGATCCCATATGTAAATCGACATCTTTCTGCTTTAAGTCTACTTTCTCTCGTTTCTTAGCTCTTGCTTTCATACTAGATGCTTCTTTCAAATCATTACTGGATTCTCTATCTTCTGCTCTAGGTTCAGATGTTACGTGTGCAGGAATGAACTCATGTACAGGGAATGTTATCACATTCGCTGATACATTGAAGTCATTAGTAGAATACGGAACATAAGGAATACGGTTTATGTTAGAAGCTGAAGTTGGCGTTGTTTGAATTTGATTCAAAATCGTCTGTATTTTTTCTTTCAATGCTATTTTAGCGTTCACATGTAAATTTGTATAGTAATCGAATATTAAAGTCCTTAGACCATCTTTTACAACGTGCGCCAGATTACTTTCTAGTCTTCTAACTTTGGGCTTGCTGTAATATTCTAATTCATTTAAGATCTTTTCGAATTTGTCTAGAGTTTCGGGTCCATACAAAGAATTGATAAAATCAACAAATTCCTTGACTTTTTTGTTATATCTTTCGTGTCTGAGTATATCGGCAAAAGCATTGATATTAGTTCTTGTTTGTGGTACCGGTAAACCACTGATCAAGTTCAGTTTAGCTTGCAACACCCTTCCAGTATCATGGTTTTTAGTAAGTTCAGAGAACTTACATCCTCTATAATGATAGTTTCCAACTTCTTCATCTAAAATATCGATGAAATCTCCAAACGTAGTATCATCATAAGTATTTATTATTTGAATCGCTTGTTGTATGAATTCAGTGAAGGTTCCTACTCTTGGTTCTCTGAAATGGATTTTAGGAACCATACCGAGAGTTTTAGGTTTAGCAATATGTTTCGTGGCGATATCAAGTGTTCTTTCGTCATTTGGATGGAGTTTGTCATTAGATATTTTTTTGAGAATTTGACCTTGATAGCTGGATTTGATGATAGCTGAAATTAATTTGATTATTTTGTAAAATTTGTAAATTTATTGTTGCTTAGTGACTTTCCGATTTTTTCAATATTTATAGGAAATAAATTATAATTGCTAGAAACATGTTATGGTATTATAAAATCTTTGAAAATTTTGACGGATTCGAATAGATTTAAGATAAACTAAAAGAAAAATGAGGTGGTGGCTAATAATCTAAAAATAATAACATCTGCATCGCTGATCCAGAAATGGTACTGTGTACGGTTAGAAGCAAAAAAGTAAGTTTTTATGGACGTCATTGAATGGAATGAGATCTTTAATTGGAAACAGATGTTTTGAGGCATACATATTATCAAATACAAGCCTCGGAACTTTATATTAACTTGTCTTATGCTCTTATAATATTTGGGGAGTAACTCAGTAAAAATATGATGAAAACGAAAACAAAATAAATACCGAATACGGTGGACAGCAGAACACAAGCGCACACATTCATTTTAATATAAAAATACTAATATTTTACTGTATCGTAAAACTTGTAAATTGCTTGAGCAACTACTTTTGTATTTGTAAACCAATAAAATTATTACAGCTATTTTATTGGCAATAAACATTGCAATGTTATTTTATAAAGTTTTGGTGCTCTCTTGGCAAATATTTTCATAAACAATACATTTGGAACGGATTCGGATCGGATAGATATTCGATTTTGGAGATGTTTTACAACATTATTAATATTGTGTGAATGAATGCGAATTTCACGTCACAGTTATGAATAATGCTTCTATTTTATACATGTTTGTTCGTGAACTCTAATTTGTTATTTGGTCAGCAGTTTCAAGCAGGTTTGTGATAAACATATTTTGTTATTTTCTCGATATGAAAAATAGAGCAAGAAACACCATGATCTCTAAAAAATCTGTTTCCTGTCGAAATAAAATGTTCTATTTCGTGAGGTTTTTGAAAAATATTATTCACGTGCACGGTATTGTCTTCATGAAATCATCATCAAGGCACAAAAACACATGGTATCGAGCAAAGCGCCATGTACTAGACAAATACAAGTAATTTTCAACGAAACCTACCTCCCTACTAGCTTTACTGTTGCCATTTCCTCCTTCTTCAACAACTGACGACACACATTGTACTAGTGTGTCTTTTTTACATAGCGATCATCGTGTGTTTTTGAATTGAATGTGGCCAACTTGGCTAGTGCCCCCTGCTGTATGCTCACTGTCAGCCAGTTGTATTTAGAATCTCATACAATACCATCAAACAATACTATCCATTAATTAATTTCATTGAAAGTATTATCGTTAATCGTAAAACTGAATAAAATTGCTATCAGTGTCAGCTACTACACTAATAATAATCTCATAATTAACTAATACCTCTAACCTACAGCGCAAGGAATTATACCATTTGAGGGATCTGAAAACAATCAGATTGAAAGGCAAAGCCAAACGACTGTAGATCCAGTTCTTTCATCAGTTAGAGGAAAAATACTGGACGACTATCGTGAATACCTCGATACATTAAATTCGGATGAGCAGAAAGAAGAGATTGTAAAACTCATAGAAAAGCAAGTCGATGTACCCATAGAAGACCTCACTGATGAACAGCATGACAGCAAAATGGTACACCAAGAGACTTTGACCAAACAATCAGATTCCAAAGCTGTTAAAAATAAAGAAATAATCACAGGACCCAAAAAGAGCGTGGCCTTAGAAGAAGCAAATGTAAGAAACATACCTATTAAGGTAGTGACATCTGACGGAGATGCAACTAAAACAAAATATCGTAAAAAGGAAGAAAATATTTCATCAGATGACCATCATAAGGAAGAGAATGAACCTGCTGCGGAACGTAATGAAAGTACGCCAGAAACTCCTGGTAGAGCGGGTGATAGTAAAATTATTGATATCAGTGATGGGAGTGGTGAAACGCTTATAATAGATGGAATGGATGACGCGCAACTAGATAAACTTGTTGAAATAATTAGTATGGAAAGAAAAAACACAAAAAAGGAACAATCGACAGAGAGAAAACAATACCGCGACGATACAACATCAAGGAATCTCACAAAACTGGATGGACCAAACGTACGAAATGTGACTACGACAGTGGAAGTAAATATGAAACGTAAGTATTAACTAAATACTTTCGTCGAATTATATATAAATACGATAACTGCCAGCATAGAGCCGTTGCTCGACCTAAAACTACAGTAACTAAGTATAAGTTTATCTGCTATCCAGGTATGCCGCAATCTACAACCACGATGCTTCCATACTTCCAAATGATTGATGATCTGAATGAGGGGTATATGGTGGTGTTCTTAATCGAACTGATGAGGATCATGGCTTACAAAGACAAAGATGATCTATTTGAAGTTCTCGTTCATACTGAACAGATAGTGTTGCAGTGAGTATAATATACTTTGTTTACTTTCTTTCTTCGATTTTTTTCTGAATTGCTTTCGGCTTTCGTGTTGGACTTTGAAGAGGCTGTCTACTTATGTGATAAGATTAAATTAACATTATCCATTTCTCTTTCAGACTCTATCAAGCTGGAAAACTTATCTGGCTCGGTCAGCCTCTCTTAGATATCACAAAGCAATTGGCAAAATTCGTCGCAGAAGCTGAAACGAAAGTTATACAAAGTAAGTCATACATATAAGCTGTGACCCATGTAGTGTTTTGTCCAGTCAATTGATGGTAGTTAGGTTCACTTGGCAACGACACAGTCACGTACTTGGGTATGGTCATGAGCGAATGTTCACAGCAAATAATATATTTGAATACTTTGGAAGGCTTGACGTTCCAACCTGGTTGCAAAGGTCGTGTACTGAATTTTCGCGTTAATAACCGCTTAATTCTATGTTGTAAACATGAAACGCGAATGTAAAAGTTAGTTAATGTTCACATGGGAATTACATTTATTCTCCTTGCAGAATACGCTTTAGAACTAAAAAGAAAGTTAAGTGGGCGTCAGCAAGAGCTATCTTCTGAAGTAAATACCATCATAGACTATGCCGATATGTTGTATGATGATGAAGAAGGCAGGAAGCTCTTCAGTGTGCTCAAAGATTTTGAGGAATATCCCAAAAGTATGTACTTATCGCATATTATTCGATTATTGAAATCTTTTGATTCGGTTTTGATTTTGGTTTCTTACGTATTTTAGCTACACAGCGGGGCTATACAGTATGTTTAGCATTGATAGAAAACTTCCTTAAGCCATATCGCCGACTCAGTAATACAGAGCTACGCCAACAATTGCTAGACTCTATTAACTTGGAGCTAAGAGCTAGAATTCCTGAAGTAGACCGAGAGGGGAATGTTTTGAAATTTCTAGGCATTAGCGAAGGTACGTTAAAGTCACTGCTGTTCCCTCAAGCTATTAACAACCTGAATAATTACAAATTTTATAACCACCATTACTTTCATAGAAATGCAACAAAGGCCGTCAGTGGAATCAGATAGCGGTACATTCTCGTTGTCAAGGAAAATACAAAATAAATTGAGACAGAAACTACAAAAGCTGAAGTCGAAACCAAAGCATACATCAAACAAGAGGAAAAAAACAATTACCCAGCCAGATTACAGCAACGAAAATATTTTTAGACGTAGATTCAGTAATGAGCCGATTGCAAATATACAGAGACGGTTTAAAATTGTCACTCGGACACTTCCACATAGATCAACTGCATCTAGCTACACAGTAAACTTAATCAGTAGACCCACCAAGGAGTTCACAACTAAACTAAATAAAGCTAACAATCAAAAGAACTAGTATTTTCTTGATTCTTAGCTTTTATTGCATCTTCACAAGCCTGTATGATTTCAAAAGCACTCTAAAATTACGGAATGGAAAGTTTTTATAATAGAAATGCGGTTCAGTTTCATAAAAATAAATGAGGCATAGAATAATTCGCAAATAAAGGATTTAATGAAGACAAACAGACAGAGTAGTGAGAGTCAAATATTTTGAAGCTTAAAGACGTATTAATAAAAAGCTAGTTTTAAAGTGGCCATGAAAAGATTGAAACAAAACCTAACGTTAGTAATAGAAAAGATTAAAACTAAACTATTCTTGAAAAACTGTGTCCGGAGCTTGACAACATACTCGTATCAATATTTTAACATTTTGTGGGCGGCGCCGATCACTTACCATCAGGTGATCTGTTTGCTCGTTTTCCTCCTATTCCATAAAAAACTATCCTTACACGATCATTACCGTCATCGTCATTATCTTCTTGCCCCACCACAAGTTACTCGCAGTTACCGTAATTAGACAAATTTTAACTATAATGAGGCAGTTTGTAATAAATTAAAAACGTGTGTATTGTTACGTTATTTTATTTCCTTTTGTATTTAGACTGCTATAATTACAATTATATTATAAGTATGTGCATTGTGCATTGCTCGTCCAATACATTGATGCTAATTGAGAAAAAGTAGCCGTGAAGTATCTTGCTCGTTCTTCTCCAGGGAAATCCATACGAAGATTATATGACACTTTTTAATTATTTTTATTTACATGTTTTGTTTAACGTTCTAAACAACCTATATACACATGTCAATTATAATATTAAAAGGACACTGAGAGATCATTTTTCTTTAAATTCCTGAGCTGTCATTGTCTTCTCTGATAGTCCATTTAACTATAGACATCGCTTGGAAGGGATATGTCTGAGTCTGTGAAAACAAAAGTGTATTGTTTAATTAATAATCACCTTTGTAACGTTTACGTTAGTGGTAGGTAGGTGTAGAAAAAAATAAAAAATAATTACTAGTTCAATTATTATAATATATTAAGGAAAAGGTATCGGCAGAGCTGGGTGTGAATTTAAAATATCGAGCGCGCGTTAGGCTCTTGCCCGCCTATAG